TCCATCAACAACACTATAGACGACGACGAGTTCGAGCGGTGGAAGCGTAGCGAGCCGCGCGCGGAGAAGGGTAGCAATCACGCAAACAACCCTATTAAATACTGGGTAGAGCTACGCGATCGCTACCCTAACCTTAGCAAGCTCGCGCTCGACGTACTCTCTATCCCAGCCTTAAGCTGCGAGTGTGAGCGCCTGTTTAGTGAGCTTGGCGACCTCCTCGAGCCGCGTCGCCGCGCTATAAAACCGCAACTTCTGGCGGCTACACAGTGCGTAAGACGGTGGCAAAGAGCCGGCTTAGGCGACTCCGAGGTCGCGGCTAAGTCGACGACGACGGACGACGAGATAGAGCTTTTGTACGACCTTAGTAGCTGGGGTGGCGACTATCACGAGACTTAATACTAAGAAATTTTATAGTATAGACTATCAAGCTATCAAGTCAAGCCTCAAGCAAGCTACCTATCTCAGCTTGATTATGTGATCAAGTCAAGCTGCTCACCATCTCATCAAGCTTCACTCGAGCCAGTCAGCCGGCTTGACTTGACTTGCTTGTTGGAAAGTCTGGTGTTGTGAGGCTGGAGAAGATGATCATGGCAGATTGCAACGAGCCGCTTCCACTTCGCTTCGATTCGGTCCGCCAGAACGCAGAATTAGAACACGAACGACAACCACACCCACGGTCCACGGTCTAAGCTTTGGGATGTCCTTGCGATACGAATCTCACCGACTCAACTCTTTGCATGCCGAGCTACTGCGGGTAGGACTATAATAAGGAACAAACTACAGGGTATTACGAGATAAGTCAATACGCCATCGTATCGTCCCATCCTCGTCTCTGAACCAGCCAATTCGCGTCAAGACCTTGTCCTCCTTGATTATGGTGTCCATGCCCTTTTCTCTAATCACTGCGAGTAGACGTTCGCTACCAGCGATGAGAACCAGCACGTCGGCAATGCATTCCACATTCCGCATCATTCCGCCATAGTACCTTCTTTGTACAGATGCGAGAATGATGATGGTGATGATGAGCCATATCAAAATACTTGTGGCTAGCCAAAAGGCGACAGGATTCATCGTGAGCACTTCAACCCGGGTGGTTGTTGTAGCTGTCGTTGTGGCACTAGTATTACGGACGATGTCCTGAAACTTTGGAGCTACAGAGCCGTCAGGAGTGTATTGAGTCGGCATGTCGCGCATTGGGGTATTGACTTTGAGGTCCATGCCCCTGGGTTGATAAACGTTGCCGCCATGCTCGCGAGATAGGTTGTTGCTGGCAAAGTGCTGGAAGAAGGTTGAAAAGATCTTTTGGGATGTTTGAGCTAAGACTTCAGGATCCAGTAGGGCGGTGGGGCTAAATCCTACTTGTGCATAAGCGGCGTAGGACATGAAATCGAGGTTGAGGCCTGTTGTGTTGTCTTGCATGTTGAAGACCTTGTCCCGTAGACTTTCTCCCAAAGAGCTGCTTTGATAGCTGCCATTAGGAGCCTCCAAGCCAGCGAGAATGATATCTGCGGCGTTCAAGATTGATTTCATGAAGAATGACCCGTAGCTTTATGCTATGTTAGATGGCACAAATTCTATGTCTAGAGCTCAACTCACCTTATGGTAACATCGAAATTGTAAACATAGCTCGGCCTACTGCCATTCCGGTAATTCGAAGTGTACGAACCGTTGTATCGACCGTCTTCAGAGAAATTACGCCATTGGAATGCATCAGACCAAGCCACATCTTCTCGAAGAGGAGTATCAAGAATGCGATGATGCTGTACTACACCCGTACTAGGCTCGACCGTAACTTCCGCTCGGCTTGATTCAAAGGTGGGCATGCAATTCAATGCTTGTATAGCAGGTGGCTCGGAAAAGTAGAGCATTTCGATGGGTGGCTCCGTTGTCCTTTCGAAATCTATGGGGCCTCGTATCCATTGGACTGTAAAATTCCCGGTGGTACTAATCAGGGTAGAAGTGTTACCATAAAGAGAATATCTTCCCGACCAATCCTCCGTCCAATAAGCAATTATGGATGAATTATCCGGTGCGTTTTCCGTGATATCAGCGCAGCATTGTGCTGAATCCGCTCGAGCAGTGAGGTAAATTGTGTAATTGCCGTCCCGAACCAGTTTCTTTGGCATGTAGTATTTATGTAATCCGGTGAAGTTGTTCATTGCCGAACTTTCGTTCTGCACATCAGACCAAAGGGCTATATTGCTGGGCCAGTCAACGGCACTGCAGTACAAACGAGCGCGAATTGCAGATGTCTGTACTGTCAGATTTTTCAACGGACGATTGTCTCCAAAGACATCTGAAACGGATACAGGCACAAAGCTCCAATCATCTTGACTCCATTCTGTAACGGTTTGGGCCATGCCAAGACCTATTCTGGTACAAGTTGGGTACTGCTCTCGCTACCACACTTCGTACATCCCACATTCATATATATAGCTGCCCTCCTTCATAGCTACTCCGACAATGCAATCCCCCTCTTCCTCGTTCCCACCGCTACAGTTATGAGCCCGGCTTGCCGTTAATCGACTGCATTCACATCCCGCTTTAGTTAAGACTTACTGTTATAATTAGTCTAACAGTAGACGTCTATCTTAACGACAGCAGTTATCATCAGCTATCGCCATGGCTACGATGAATAGTGATCTTCTGATCACGAAGACGACGGTGATTCTCGATCAACCGTCAGATTGGCAGAAGTGGATCTTCCTGCGCAAAGATAGCGCGCAGCGGAACGATCTATGGGCGTACGTTAACCCTAACGTTGCGACAGAAACAGTACTCAAGCTCGAAGATGAGAAGCCTGCGAAGAAAGAAGCAGGAGTTTTCTACGGACGAGGCCGAACGGCCGGCATGGTTTACGACCTCGAGCATCTCGATGAGCACGAATACCGGAAGTACTCAGCCTGGTACACTAGTTACCAGAAGGAACTAACAAAGTTCGAAAAGAAAGAACTCGCTTTAAGGCAGTTCAACAGCGAGATCGCGACAACGATCTCAGAGCGTCGACTTCATTGGATCATGAATCTAGATACGCCGCACGCACGATTGAGGAAACTCAAGAACCAGCTCTGTCCATCGACAGCAGAGCGAGAGACTCAGCTACTCTCGCAATACCTGGCGCTTCGCAAGATGCCAAAGCGCGCCAACATTGAATCCTGGCTTGATAGCTGGGAGGAGCTCCTTGAGCTTATGGCCGCGGCTGAGATGGCAGAAGTGAAGGGTACAAGGGCACAGCGGGACTTTCTCGACTCGGTGCAATCGACTGATGATTCATGGGCTACATCACAAAGGATTAGCATGATCGCAAAGCAAGAGGAAGGAGAGTCCTTCTTACCAGCGGTTGATCTTGTGGGGCGATTTCGACTATACTATCGGCAAACGAAACCAGTGGCTTCAACGCTGGGAACCTTTGCGGCGTTAGGCGACCCACAGGAAATATCACAGGATACTGATAAGTTTCGAAAGATTAACTGCCTGTGTGGAGAGAAGCATCGCTTTATTGATTGTCCGTACGTCAACTCAGCAAAGCGTAGCTCTGGATGGAAGGCGGATTCAGATATGAAGAAGAAATTCGATACTATCCGAAGCAGAGGCGAAGGCAGCAGAATCTCAGCTGTATTAAGATCAGTAGAAGCAAAGCTCGCTAAGCAAGCTCAGCAGAGTAAGCCTCAGTCAGCTGCCTTTGACGATGGAAGCACGAAAAGTGGTCGAAGCTCAAATGCTTGTCTCCAAGTAGAGGCTACTCAGCAGTCTCCATCGCTGCTAACGCGATGGATACTCGACCCAGGATCGAACCTTCACGTGTCTAATCATCGAAATTCGACTTGGCGTAAGCTTGCAGATGCTAACGCCCATGACGAGATCTTAGCTGGAGGTCAGCGTATTCCGATCAAGGAATGGGGTGAGGTTGAGATCATGATCAACACGCCTCACGGAACATCCCAAATTAAGCTTACTTGGGTAGCGTATATCCCGAGCTTCTTTACCTCTCTTGTCGCTCTCTCACGATGCCGTACGATGGGAATTGAGTTCGACTCAGGTCGAGACTGCCTATACCAGAAGTCGCCAAAGAACGTCGTGTGTAAGCTTAGTCCCGAAGGAGGGCATTGGCTGATGGATTCGGACGAAAATGAGAGACCGCGTGTAGAAGACCTGCAGTCTACGAGTGTAGCAGAGTCTACAAGTGTAGCAGAGTCTGTTAATGCAGCAGAAAAGAGAAGGATTCAAGCGGTGAAACCATCGTACGCTGATCGACGACCGCTTGAGCTAACGGCGGAGGAAGCCCATGAGATTTGGGGCCACCCGAGCGCTAAGGTTATCTCAAAGCTCGAGCAGGGTGTCGATGGTGTAAAGATTAAAGAAGGCACAATAGCGCCAACTTGGGAGACCTGTACGACATGTATTGAAGCAAAGCTTCATAAGTTCAAGAGCCGAAGGCCTCCGCGAGAACCAGCCACCCGACCATTCGAAAGATTGGCTATCGATCTCGTACAGCTGCGTGAGACAGGCGAGCGCTGCTATAACGGTGACGTTTGGCTATTCCATGCGGTGTGCCAGAATTGCAAGCTTCACCTAGCCGCATGCCTACCAAACAAGTCAGCACCAATGCTCTTAACGGCAGTCGAGCGCTTGCTAGCACGAATTAAGACTCAGTATGGTGTCAAGGTTCGTGCAGTGAAAATCGACGGCGAGCGAGGATACAGCCTACTACATCAGCTCTTTCTTAACCGAGGTATTGAGATTGAAACAAGAGCTCCGTACACTGAGGAGCAGAACGGCCTCATCGAGCGCGCTGGCTCAACAATAATCGTCCGAGCTCGCGCAATCCGAATTGGATCCGGTCTGCCCAAGGAGCTGGCCAACGAGTGCGTCATGACCGCAGTATATCTACTCAATCGAACACCAGTCGAGTCTCTTGGCTGGAAGACGCCTTATGAAGTCGCAGGTGGACACAAGCCTTCGATGGCTCACCTAAGCAAGATAGGCGCACAGGCGTACTACCTCAACACCAAGCTGAAGCGTGGCGACAAGATGGAGTCTCGAGCGCTTATCGGCCACTTAGTTGGATACGATTCCACCAACATTTTCAGGATATGGCTCCCAGAGTCACACACTGTTATCCGCACCCGAGACGTCGTATTTCGTCCGAATACAAGATACGATGGCAGAACAGTCTACGCAGATTTGAGGGTGGCACGTACAGTAAAGACAGTACTTGATATCGCCGACTACGAAGGCGAGATAGAGGAACTAGAGATTAGTGAGCTTCTAGAGCTCGCTGCTCCGCTTGGTTTGCATGGCACTGAGATCCTAGAAGAGGATGAAGCACATAATCAGTTGATAGAAGAGCTATTACAGCAGTCAGCGAAAGGGGATCAGAGCCTACCAACGCCTGAGGGCACACCTGCAAGATCGATTGACCCAGGAGGATTATCAGTCTCGCCCGATGCGAGAGGAAGGAGAAGTAGGGCCGCGAGCGTTGAAGAAGAGATTAGCTTGCCAAAGGGCTACGAGCCAGTGCAAGCACAGTCCGCAACAATCAATTAAGTGGGTCCTAGAAGGTTCAGATTGGATTGATTGATTACCGCTTTAAGCCTAGGTCAGATAACATCGTTGCCGGTAAAGGTACTAGAGGCAGCGCTCATGCGGCGTATCTCTCCACTTTCGCAGTAACATATCTATCGACCTTTGCCTCAGCAATCAATCCGGTTAAAGCACGAGAGCTTCACGAGCCTAAGAAGGTTCGCCTCCATCGAGACCATCTTCCACCTCCACCGAAACGTTGGTCAGATCTCGAACGCCATCCGTTTGGCAACCGTTTCAAGCTTGCAGCACAAGCTGAAATGGACGATATAGTAAGAAAGGGCTGTTTCAAGCCAGAAGCTCACGAAGAAGGCGTCGCCGAGGGTGAGATACTGCCGCTAATGTGGGTGTTTACCTACAAATTCGATGAAGACGGCTATCTCACGAAGTTCAAGGCACGCTTAGTTGTAAGAGGCGACTTACAACAGATATACGAGGACACATATGCGGCTACACTAGCAGCTCGGATCTTCCGATTCCTTGTTGCTCTAATGGCTGCCTTTGGCCTAAAGGCCTTCCAGTATGATGTACTGAATGCGTTTCTAAACGCAAAAGTCGACCGTAAGATCTACGTACAGACACCAGAAAGTTACGTTGATCAATTTGGTCCGCTACTACGGTTGTGGCGAGCCTTGTATGGTCTGAAGGAAGCGCCGCTGTTATGGTACAACGATCTCTGCACTTCACTGCGGAAGATGGGACTTAAGCCAGTGCCAGGCATCCCATGTTTGTTTACAAACGAAAAGCTTATTGTCTTCTTCTACGTTGACGATATTGTGGTTCTGGTTCGACCAGAAGATCTCGCAGCTCATGAAGAGTTTGAGCGTGCGCTTAAGGATCGATACGAGATACGTTGCTTAGGTAAGCTTGGTTGGTTCTTAGGCATCCGCGTCGTACGCGATGAAGAGCAAGGGAAAGTTTGGCTGTTACAGGACTCATTTGTCGACAAGGTCGCTGCCAACTTCAAACTGCAGAAGAAATCCGGACGATACCCAGCAACTCCGCTGAATGAGGGGCTAGGCCCGAGTGATGAAGAACCAAACGCCGAGCTTACGAAGGAGTTTCAGAGCCTTACTGGCTCACTAGCATTCATCTCATGTATCACTAGACCGGACGTTGCGAAAGCGCACTCAGTGCTCGCACAGCATCTTCAGAATCCAAACCAAAAGCATCTCGCTGCCGCCAAACACGTTTGGGAGTACCTGATTGGTACTCAGTACTACGCTATCTGCGCTACAGCACTTCGAACCGAGAGTGCGTCGTATATCACAGAGGGTGAAGCAAATGAGGCAGGAGTGGAACCGTTGTTCTTTGGTGCCTCTGATGCTGCCTTTGCCGACAATCTCGAGACGCGCAGAAGCTCGCATGGCTTTATGTTCAAGCTATACGGGATGCCGATTGACTGGAAGGCTACAGTGCAACGCTCAGTCACAAAGTCAACTACTGAAGCAGAGCTGATGGCTCTCTCTATTGCAGGGGCTGAGATGGAGTGGTGGCAACGCGCGTTCAAGAACGTTAAGTTTGAGCTCGAGTTCACACCACAGCTCTTGTGTGATAACACAGCCACGGTTGATATCGTTACTAAGAGAGAAGATCGGCTTCAGACAAAGCTTCGTCATGTGGATACTCATCAGATGTGGCTCCGCCAGGAAGTCGAGCAGAAGCGAATACAGGTCAATTGGGTGCCTACAGATCAGATGCCCGCAGATGGTTTGACCAAGGTACTACCTCGTCAAAAGCATGAGAGTTCTGTCAAGCAATTAGGGCTTGAAGATATCCGGAGTATTATTACTCCAAGAGAAAATAAGGAAGCAGAGAAGGGAGTTAAGCTTTCAGCGTGGAACTAGAGTATTTTTTTATTTATTTCCGTTATTTTCACATCTCTAGTTATGGTCAGCTACTTGCTGAGAGCCGTATCTGAGAGGGTGTGTAACGGTTTGGGCCATGCCAAGACCTATTCTGGTACAAGTTGGGTACTGCTCTCGCTACCACACTTCGTACATCCCACATTCATATATATAGCTGCCCTCCTTCATAGCTACTCCGACAATGCAATCCCCCTCTTCCTCGTTCCCACCGCTACACATTCTGGTTGCGAGCCCTTTAGTGCAGTCTGTAGCATGGCCGTGTACATCCAGTCTGTGTCCAACTCATAGAGGCTGTCAGCCACTATATTTCCGAATTCGTCTGCAGATCTTTCTCCGGTGATATTGTAGTCATATTTCCAGAGAGATTGCTCCGTGGTCAATAATACTTGTCGGACGAATGGGAGATTGCGCAGCTCCAAGGTTTGGGGAACCTCCGAAACACTGACCAAGAAGCTGTTGCCCGAGTTGAAGAGAGCAGACATGGCTATTGTGACTGAATTGCAGATTTTAGTTGCTGCTCCAGTTTAGTATGGAAACGTGTACTTACGGACTTGAAGTAGAAATGTCGTTGCTGTCACAGTCCGCAACAATCAATTAAGTGGGTCCTAGAAGGTTCAGATTGGATTGATTGATTACCGCTTTAAGCCTAGTAGTTACCTATAGGAGTTTAAGCCCTACCTAGATAGGTAAGTGGGTCTAGGAGAGTGACCGGATTGAATTGATTGTTGCGGAGTCTAGTTGCTGTGATGAGCGATAGCAGCCAATTTCGATTTTGTAGAGCTTTGAATGACGCGAACAGCCAAAATGATGATGCGTAGGACAGTGCTATTCCCTGAGAAGGGCGTTTGGCACCATGCTGCATGCTAATGTAAGGCTGCACCATCCTACAAGTGGTATCGACGGACTCCCACCAGAGCGCGATAATGATAGCAAGCAAAGTTGGAATGATAGCGAAGGGCGATATCGTATTCACTCTGCCAAGCACCTTGACATTGGCGCGATAAGTGAAAAAGTCTTGATAAAGTTCTGACTTTTGCGCGTATCTGTGAAGCACCGTGATTCCTACAAGAAGACAAAGTGCATAAAGGCTGAGCAAAGCCAGATTTCGTAGTCTCAGCACTGGTAGTATAGGCGTGGCGTCATCAGATGGTGATCTTGTCTTTTCTGCTGTATGTCAGTGAATACCTCAATCATTCAGCGAGTACGTACCTTCATGGCTGACCCGGATAGAAGCTTCGATTTCGTCGAGACTCCCATCTCTAGAATAGAAGGTTCGATCTGCAAGCTCTTCTTTCAACACCTTTCTTGCAGCCAGGTCAAGTTTTGCGAACTTGCTTAACGTGGTTGCGTTGCCGCTACCCCAAACACTTATACCAAGAACTGTACTTGGATCTTGGTATATGTTCAGATTGCGTTTCGCTTGACTTACCCAAAGAACGGTCAGAAGGGAAAATGATGATATGAGTAACATTGCACATATAGTCGAGGCGGCTTGTCCACTGACTAGGACTTTCCGGACATATTCGAATCGATGGCCAGTCGTACGGTGCTCTTCTAAGATCTTCATGCTTTGGAAAGAACCACCAACAACTTCAGCGACGAATCGACGTCTCAATAGAGCAGCGATCATAGGCAAATCAGGATCGGCCATCATCTTTGAAACATCGAAATCATATGCTGCACCTAACATTGCAGCATAACCCCCCACTATAACATGGTCTGAGGGGCCCGAGGGCCTTTGAGGTGCAAACTGACTCCACTCAACATCTGTGTAAATCTTACTTAGCGCGAGTAAGTTGCTGATGGTGGAAGGGATTGGCGTGCTCATTTGTTGGAAAAGGTCCTCCTCGAATTCGACAGCCAAGGTTCCTAATGCAGATGTGGCACGGACTGGCATGGTAGCCATACTGTATTCCGAGTGGCATGCATATGCGAGCATGGTCATGTTTTCCAGAAATCTGTCGATCGTTGTAGTGAGTGGAGAGTACCACCATGGAGTGCTCATCATAATAACTTCAGTCTCCTGACAATCTTCGTTCAGTCGAAGAGTAGCATTGCGTAAGTAAGAATCGCCCAACATTATTTCGTCGATGTCGCTCCAGGTAACCCAAGTACTTGCGAATTGGAGGGAGGGTTCATCTTTTTCGACTATGTTGCGCGTCACGTTGACAGTGACGTTCAACTGACAACCGTGGCTGGAGTCTAGAAGGACAAAAGCTGCATACAGTGTATCCTCTAACCTTGATTCTTGGTCATCGTGCGCGTGTCTGAGATAGATGTCCTTCTTTTTCATGCTTAGTTTGGTACAAACTAGATCGTTGTGGAAAATGGTTGTGTCTGCCTCCCAGGTTCCCGAATTCGACACGCGAGAGTCCCAAGGTGAGCCAGAATCGTTTGGGTTCTCCGGCCAAAACGGCAAGATAACAAAACCGTCAGTGATCCAGGGGGAAGTACTGTAACCTTGGAACATGGCGCTCATAGTTTGAAGATATGTATTTCTCTCAGACCGAGGGCGTAGCGTTGCTCCGTTCGGCATTGTCAGTTGTACAACCGCTTCAGAGCTTTTCTGCTGCACCTCTTTCGATCTCAGTAGCGCAGCAGACATAGGCGAGATTCCAAGTATGGCGAGGATATAGATGCTCGACGAAAGAATCATGACCCAATTCCATGATCCGCCATTCCTTCTCTTCTGAAAGCCTTGTGCAAGAGTTGTCCACCACGGCTTCGTTGTCTCCAGTATAGTATAACGAGCAACTGGAGTACGTTCGCTTGCTTTTGACATTCTTGCAAAAGGATCTGTCATTTTGACAGCACCGAAAACCATTGCAATCAACTGTCTGTAAAAAACAGCAACCAATGTAGGTATGAACGTCCAGCCCGGTATTGCCGAATCCTCCGTACACAACCCGTTGCTCTTATGGGAATACTGATGCAACACGAGTATAACGGCGACGCAGGTGATGGAATACCCGGCGAGGATGATGATGAAGTACCAGCGGAGCGTGAAAGGCATCCATTGTGGGTCTGCATTTGTGTTAAAATGATTGGTGCAAATAAAGCGACATGAGAACTTGCGTTTGTCGGCAGGCTCCACGACGCTTGTACTAGAATTGTTAGAGACCGTTGCGCGATAGGATCGGATACTGTTCGTTCTGGAGTGCACTGGTGACGTTGATGGTAGCAGTTTCCGAGTTTCCGCCTCAGCGCGGTCTACCTCATGACGGCGGTTTACTCCGACTTGAAGCTCGACGCCTACTTGAGACTCCACTCCAAGCTCAGAGGATCCTCTGTTATTCTCCATGATCTTTTGAATGATGCAAGCGCTTGGGACGATTGTCGTTAGACGGTATCTAGCCCTGTGGGGATGTTGGCTCGGGGCTCTCTGTAATCGTGAACTTGCTACGTCGTTGTAGTCTTTTGAAGTCTTTAGGAAAGCCGAAACGTGTCGTAGAACAACTGAGGCTGAAGAAGTCGGAACAACACATTACCTGAACTTCTCTTGGTTTCACTCTGTGAGCAGGTACGACCGGGCAATTTTTGCGGCCTGTACTCAGCATGCTGCCAGACATTGTATTCTGGTTGTAGTGCTACAGCGGGACTTTGCAAGCTAGATCGCTTCCAAGAGCGGATTTATCGAGCGAGCGATGGTATAAGCGCAATATCTCAACCAATCTAACCTGCGAGCGTGCCTCGAAACCTATACCCACCTCATAAGCACAGCGCTCTGTGTCTATCCAGGTAGTTGTTTCTTCGTCGAGTAGGGCGTAGCTAACACATAGCCTTCCAAGGCTACCTGATAACGAGCTGAAATCAAAGGTAACACACGATAACCAGAACTGTGTACAGATTTACTAGTACGAACTTTTGCGGCGTAGTGAGGCTACACCGCATAGGCGCTTCTAAGGGAGTCGTCTACCTAAGCGTCTCTAGGCTGAGAGTTAGTAATGCGATTTGATAGCCGATAACACCTCTTACTACATACAGAAAAGATAAGGGTAGACTATCAAACTTCAATCAACCTTGTCTCTAGAGAGAAATCGTATACTCTTTACATGTCAATCATCAACCTTGCTTCTTACCATTGTACCTTGCGGTACAACAGAATAGAGCACTTGGCGAGCATTTCATTAGCTTAACCCGAATTATACATCATTGATACTCTCTACATCATACTCCTCCACTATTATTAATATCGATCCTTCGCCTATCTGCGGACCTCAACATTGAACTCCCTGGTTCAGATCTCCAGAGAATCGCATGCTGGGAATATTCGCGCTTCAGTGGCTCTGGAATTACTAAATCTCTGTTCTGCTAGTCCTTTGGCTTCATCTAGTGATATTAGTTGTTTAGCGAGTATTTTTTATCAATCACGCTCTTCTAAAAAGTAGAGATACTCCTTTTCTCCAATCATTTCCATCGCATATGCCCCATCCAGCCCAGGACATCTCTGCTGACGCATACACGGCAACTCCTTTCCCCACCCATTTGCGTTGGACGTGGCATGATCGGCCAGAGATGTCACTGCTAACACAGTGCATTGAATTTTTTTACCTTGGACGTCGCTTTGTTAGATAGGTAAGCACAACCGAGCTGGGATCTCTCTGCTGACCATACGTTAGGAATACGAGACCACCAACACAGCTCATCGCCCCACTTTCCATAAAACCGCTAGTATGATAATCAAGCATGCTGATCATGTGCTTAATTTCTTAGACAAGCGCTGGAGTGATGGCCAAGGGAGGAGGATCGTGGCAGGTAAGACATTTTGTTGTTAAAAACCCTCCTTGTGGAATTTTCTGCCTGTACACATTCACCACCTCCTACTTCATCCTTACCCCCCCTACCCCCCAATTCCAAAGAAAAGCACACATAGTCTTTCCCAACCATACCGTCTATCCGATGCGCACTACAACTGCCATTTTCGGCGGCCTCATCTGGCTCGCCCTTGCCTCTTTCTCAAATGCCGACTGCCACTGCTGCACTTTTGGCGGTCCAGACAAAGCAATCTGCAATAACAATAACGACGAATGCTGGTTCGGTGGCCCTGATAAATACGGGCATGGGCCAGCTCAAGGAGGGCATGGTTTCTGTTTTCTCGGTAAAATGACCTGCTGCAATCATCCGGATTACTCCCACGTTTCGTGCTACGATGGGCCGTGTAAATGAAATCAATACAGACAGCTGTATGTATGTATCAACTAGCCTACCGATGACCTTACTGATCTGGAATTAGTCGATGGGTTCCGCGATAGGGTGGCCGTGGAAAAGGATTGTCGATAAACACCCAGAGATGCGGCAGAGGGGAGGGATCGCGAGAGGGTCTGGATAATCTTGTCATGGCGGAATAGTGGCGTCTGCTGTGATGGTTTGGAATCCTTGGGTGGCGGTTTACTATATGTCCGAATTTTGCTGCATCGTTCCCTATGGGGTTAGGATATTCTTTTGCGTCGGGGAGTGGTCGGATAATGTATCAGGCTCTGTTAATCGTGTATCACATCCGGCTCTGAGGACCATCGCATATTTTGTTACCATCGAATTCATCTTTTACAACACATCCAACCCTTACATTAATCCCCAAAAAACCTACAATTCAATGGCTTCCTGCGCCTCCTTCACGATACCTCCCCAAGCCGCCTTGGCAGGCGAAAAGTAGGCCTCGAATACGTCCTTTAGAACCTTGTCGCCCAAATCCATGTGTCCACCCTTTGTAGTCTTGAAATGCAGACCGCCCTTCTGGTCCAACTTCTTGAGCCCAATCCAGTCCTCTTTGTAGATGTCGCGATCCCTCAGGTCTGTGACCTCATTTGAGGTAGTGTTTGTGTATGCGAACCAGCCGCTTTCCTTTGGTATGACCGTCGTATCGTCCTCGAACACGTACATGACGAAGTTGTCGAGCGCAGCGAGGTTCTTAGCATAGGTTACGTTCTTCAGTACGCGCTCGTTGTTGATATCGGCGAGGAAGTTTGAGGATTCGAGGTATTCGTCTGTAGGCTCGCCCGTTGTTTCGTCGGTGGCCTTGAAGTACTGGGCTGGGACGAGATGGCCTTGGACCCATGTGCCCCAGGTATTGGCTTTTAGTAGGCCAATGTAGCCTTTGCATAGCCAGTCTCCATCCTTGCAGATTTGGTATTTCGCGATGCCGTTGTGCTGGCTGCCAAACGTCACCAGATTCTTGACCTTTACTCGCTCTCCACAACGTTCGATCATTCCGCGCAGGAATTGTCCGCCTTGTGAGAAACCCAGGGCATTGAGGGCTGGTGCTTTGGAGAGGACTTCATGCTCTGCGATGTCGTCGCAGACCTTCGCGATCTGCTCTGTGACATTGCCTAAGAACGTCGCCGTCCGGTCACTCCCGGCATCTTCATCAATGTGGATGTAGTATACATAGGTTCCCGGGTTTGTCTCGTTTGCGAGTTCACCGACGCTACGAAGACCGTCTGCCTGGTAGTTGTCGCCTAGGCCATGCCATATGAGCAAAGGAAGAGGCTTGGACTCGGTACGGGCGGAAGTTGCGGCCAGAGTCTGTGTTACGAGAAGCAAAGTCGAGAGCGGTAGAAGATGAAGCATTTTGGCGAATATGGAGGGAATGTGGAGGTTGTAAGATTGCGAGGCGCAAGTCAGTAATGGACGAGGCGCGAGGCGATCTACGCGTTGGATGACGTTGGCATCGCGACTAGGCAGGTATGATCTGTAGATGGTCAAAGCGTCCTTCACGTACAATCGTCAGGTATCACGATTCGCAAGCGATGTAGGGTGCAACGTGTTGGCGTACAGGCAGAAGATACATTTACTACAAACTACAACATGGTGTATTGCCATGTTATCCAATAAATTTTGAACACCCTAACGCCGTGCCATGCATGGATGCTTTTCAGAAGCTTTAGCCAGCAATCAACGGAGTCTGCACCGACTCAAGAGCAGCCTGCTTCATTGCTTTCCTTTTCTCTTTGCTGATCGAGCTCTTCTTTTCCGTCTTCTTGTTCCTCTTCGCTTCTCGGTTTGCCTGTTTCACTGCAAGCGTCTCATCATCTAGGATTTCTTCTTCCCACTCTTCCCACTTGCGCTTGCGTTCTGCAGACCTGCCCTTTGCGCCCTCAGCGAGCGTGCCTTGGTATGGTCCGTCGCGGACTTGGTCTTGATCGACCCAGAGCTCCTCAGCCAGCCAAATAGGCAACGCTTTCGTCGCAGGGCCCTTGATGTGCAAGCTACGAACATTGCGCCAGCCTTGACCGACGTGCTTGTTGACAACTTCGGAAACGACTGCGGCGGTATTTTGGACGATTTGCTCGGGTGTCATGGAGAGGTTGGCGACCTTGATCGAAGTGTTTGCCGACGGGCTCATGCTGAGGTAGGTTGAGCTCAGAGCAGATTCGATTTCCTTTGCGACGCCCTGCGCCGATCCCACTATGTTTTGCGGCTCTTTTGAATCCTTCTTTGCGCTCTTGTCGATGTATGCGCCGGCAGTGAGACGAATAGGAATAGGGCGCTTGGACTTGCTTTTGTAGAAAACCTTGCCCAAGAACTCTGCGACGATTTTGATGATGCGATCGTCGACCAGAAAGACGTCGTATTCGGCAAGAAGTGCGCGCTTCTGCTCAAAGGCCTTGTATCGCTTCTTCAGCTTTTCCACACCGAGCACACGCTGTACCTTTTCGCGGAGGGCGGCTGGGAAAGCGCCGGAAGCCACAAGGTCCTTGTATGCTCTTTGGGGATCTTTGGTGAAGATGCATATCCGGACATCGTTGGCGATGATGGGGTGTGGTAGCTTGCTGGGAATCGTCAGTGGTGTAGGAGGCTACGATACGGGGCAAACCAACATGGCTACAGGCTTCAAGCTCTTGGTGTTGCCAATCTGCTTCTTCGTCGACAGGCTGAGGAAGATGGGCTCGTCCACCTCTTCCGGCTCGTCCTCATCAGCTGCCAGACTCTTTACTGGCGCACTCTCCTTCTTCTCTTCAACATGTTTCTTCATGTGCGCAACGAGCGCCTTGGCCGCGCGCTCGACCTGCGACGGGTCCAATTGGTAGGGTGTACCATTTGTCGGCTTGGTGGTAAGAGGCGCCTCGGTCGCCTTTTCGGCCTTCTTGGTCAGCGTCTTTGATTTGGCCATTGTGAAATATTGAACTAGTGCAGTCGGCTTCTTTGCTTGTCGCTGGCTAGACCCTGATCTCAACTTTCGAACTTTTTGCCCGGCAAAATACTTTCTCCGAAGTTCCGGGCTAGGTGCGGGGCACGCTCGGCTCGATTAGGAAGCCAGATGCATCTTTCGCACCCAATCATCGCGTCGCAGCCCCCAAGCACACGACAGGACATGCGATGCCAATGCCACCAGCCGGCGAAGATCAAACTCTTCCCTTAATTGCACATGCAAACTGTCGCATCGCTGCAGTGCCGCACAATCAGCAGGCGGACGTGCTACTCGAGATGGTACATATGCAGTCATTCCGCGTGCGTCATGACATAATCTGTGCAAACGTCCATTCACCCATTGAAACCCTCTTTTCACCAGAGCATCCATCCAAAGACTCGAAAAGTGTAAAAGTTCAACAATCAGGTATTTACTTTTACATGCTCAGGCACAGATTGCTTCACCACCCATCCTTGCCGTCCCGTTTTGAGCGAGGCGAAACCTCGTCACCGTGCGCTCGCCTGGCCATCTTTCCCACTCGACGCGTCGATACCGCTGTTCGCGTCAGCTCCACTTTGGTTGCGGGAACGTTTGGGTTTGGTGGTAGCCGCGTCGATTGCTGCACGAAGATTTTCTTTTCACTTGCGTGACGTTGCCATTTGTCTGCAAGTATACCTAGCAGGGTGGGTCAAATACATGATTGTGCATCAAGGCACAGCACCGTTACTGACGCCTTGTTGGAATGTGTATTGTGCATATTGCCATAGACGCCCACCTCTCACAAAGCATACAATGGAGCTTCGCGTAGTCGGTTGTTGGAAAAGGGCGGTATTGGAGGCTGGAGATTGCAACCCTTGGTGTGGATGTGATCAGCCCAGCGCATACATATTACCAATAAATATGGGCTGAACGTGGGCTCAGCTGCAGCGTAGGGGCTGGGTCTGCAAAGAAAATCAAGTTAATGACGCCGCCGCCCGGCGGTATGCATATACTAGGCGTGATGTTTGTGCTCGAGCCCGAGGCTTGCGGACTGAATTGCGGACTGAATCATAGCCGGGAAGAGTCTTGTTTGAGGCAATTCTAGACAGGAAGCGCCGTAAAGTTCAAGGCATGCAAGAGTCCTGGCAATAAGACGAGGCTCGGGCTATCGGGAATGCAATACTAGTCGGCCAACCAGTGGCTACGAGGGAGAGAATGCGTGGTGAATTCCGGCCCTGGTGCTCCATAAGGCCCTAGCTCCTGCGCGCTACCCACACCCGCGTTCGCGACCTCTCCCACGACCGTGTTCGTGACCGTGTAGATTCGCAATTGACCTCATGGCATCCTCATCTTAACCTACGTCTTTCTTTTTCAACCCACACTGCCCCTATCTCTGTGTGTTGAACGACGTTCGCTTGTCTAGCCGCCGGCTCGTATATCTGCTACGAGACACGTCCACTCTACCCTCACAGCGGCCTCATCACGCCTTCGTCTCGCGTTCGGGCTACCTCAGCAGGCAGACGAGATGGCCATGTCTCCCAGCAAGAAGTTGCAGCGCTCTCCTATCGAGTCGACCGAGCCGCTGCCGGAGCCGGCTACAAGGCCGACACCAACACTACTACCGGCCTTTGGCGAAGATGGCGTCTTCTCTTCATCACCCTTTCCGCGTCCCGCATCGATAAAACGCAAGTTTGAAGACGACTCGCCCACGTTTCCCAAGCAGCTTAAGTACTATCCAACTCCCCAGCCCACGTCGTCGACCAACATTATTTCCTCGTCGCCCCGCCATGCCCGGCCGGGCTTCGAGCACACGTTTTCTGCCCTGTCAGAGAGGACCCCACTGGGTGCCGTGCCCACTGTGGACCTGCCAGCCGACGGCGAGATTGTGCGCATGGGACGTAGTTCAAACGCCTCGGATTACCAGCTGTCTACCAACCGCCTGATCTCACGCATCCACGTCCAAGCCGCCTACCACGCGCCAAGCCCGCTCTATCCCCATGGTTACATCGAGGTTGAATGTCTGGGATGGAACGGAGCTAAGATCCACTGCAGAGGACGTATCTTTGACCTGGCCAAGGGCGATGTCTACACATCGGAGAACCCAGAGACGGCCATCATGCTGGATGTGCAGGACACCCGTGTCATGATTGCCTGGCCTACCGTCCCCACCTCAAAGTTCTCCTGGGACTCGGAAGAAGAGGGCATGGCCACCCCCACCCATAACCGTGTTCTGGAAGCCTTGGACTCTAGCCCTCCTGTCGTCCCGCGTTCACCCATTTCGAGCCCGATCCGCCCTCACGTCTTCGCCGGTCTTGGCACTACCATCCAAACGGGAAACGTCCAAGTATTCGAAGATGCCGACGCCGGCGAAGTCAGCCCCAGTGTCGACAGCCCTGATTCCGTCAATGGAACTTTTATCCGTCCGGCTATTCCCTCAAAGACCAGCCACGACGCTCGTCCCATCGACCCCAAGGCCAGCTTCAACTTTGCTGCCGATGACTTCTCCGATAACGACGAAGAGAACGACCCTGCCGTACACTCGTTCGGTCCCTTTGGCCAGAACCTGCTCAACGGTCTTGCCTCGTTCAACGCATCGACGCCAGTTCAGTCCAACACCCCACTCAACCGTGCACCTTTGCTGTCGCCCTCACCCACCAAACGCCGCTGCATCGAGCCCATCCGCTTCAAGGAATCACCGATCAAGAACCATGTCATCAACCAGTTGGCATTCTCGCGTATCCACTCTCAACCCTTGTCTGCTATTCACAGCAACCTCCCGGCCGAACTGAAGGCGTGCATTGCAAAGGGTACAGATGGCAAAAACAAAGAGGGAAACGGTGACTCTACACCTCTCCCCGAGCTGTCCAGGGAAGACTTGAAGAGGATTCTAGACGACACTCCTTGCGTCGGCGAAATCCCTCGTGCCGGCAAGGACGCTGCTGGTCAGCCACTCGAAAACGAGTTCTACTACGTACCGGAGATGGACTCTAACCAGATGAGGCGGGAGACCATTACCGCTGGCACACGCAGCACGGGACTGCGTTCTGTCAGGAAGACTCACAAGGTATGTAGCACGACGGCTTCGCTTTCGTCCAGACCCTTATACTAACAAGTACCAGCAATACTACTGGAAGAAGCCTCGCGCCTGAGCATCCCTTCATGTGTATCGTATGACCAGCGACATCCCCACACTGTCTCAGTCCAACCTGTCCCCCGTCATCGCGCCGTCGCAGCCTAACGACCCCGGAACAACGAACTGCAGCGTCTACCGTTCCCACAACCCGCCAACGCAACACCGACGTCTGCGATACCCCACACACCGATTTGAATCCACCACCTCAATTTGTTTATTTGATCCCATTCATGCATAGCGAGGCGTTACGATACCAATTACCTTTTTTTCCTGCGGCCTCAACGTCACGCAAACCCCTGGAGTTTCGGACGTTCCGCCATTATGTCTTTTTGTTTTCGGTTCTCAAGGACGGACATGTACACCGATCTGTCATCCTTGACAACCCTTTCCTGGACACAACACATATACAACCAGTCCAGGATATTTCACACTTTCCCAATTCTTTTCTGCTGGTGGGAAAGATGTTTCGTTTTGGGCAATCATCTGGGATGCTCACCATGACATCTGTTTTTTGATACGACAAATCCTCTTACGTCGTTCTCGAAATCCTGTCACGTTTCTGTTTTTGGTTTATTTACGCTTTTGCTGAGAAGATCACACACTTATGTCGCTCATGTGTTGGATCCAGCTCCCCCGATTTTGCACTTGTTTATCCCCGTTGAACGAAGATTGGAACTCGCTATTGTTTATGTCGGTCTTTGCCATGTGCAATCCCGACTCTTACATGATGGGCGCGACGATGAGGAAGGCTGCTACGTCATTTGTTTATGGTGGTTGGAAGAGAAGGAAAAAAAATCTGCGTTTGCTTCTTCTATCTGATTTTAGTCGCTTTTGTTACGTTGTTGCTGCTTCTTCCTCTTCTTTCGATTGTTTCTTGTTCAATACCCAGCGATATCCCCCTCACCCACCCCCCAAAATGAAAGCTTTATAAAACCGATGAGAATGCTTGTTTGTATGTAAAGTGCTACCTGTACAAGTGTATGTACCTCGTTTGCACGGATTTCAAAATCATTTAGATTTGGGAAATTGAAATGATAAGTTTTGCTTCTTCACCAATGCCAACAACCAGGAACAAAATCCGGATGACCGATGACGTAATGGTGAATACGATTATGACGCGCTCTCACGTGACCCCTGCACCCTCAAAGAGAGACACCAGACCATCCATCACACACACATGGTTCAACAAAGCACTCGCACTGGTTGGTGTTTGATTGATTCCATTTCACTCTACATGCCTGGATCCCCATTCATAAAGTCTCTCGATACTGGGAGAGACAAAAGACAAGCACGCCATTGAACATGATGCCATGTGGTGCCGTGGAATAAGAAAGGTAGTAGTGAAGCCTGCCCTCAGTTTCCCCATCGCATGCACCAAACGTCGCATTTCGTTTCCCACCGAGCCCGAACAAGGCTCTCTGCTTTCGCCAGACGCCGACGTGAGCGAGTCGTCTATTTGAGCTTCTTCTTGGGGCGGAGCTGGTTGGTGTGGCCGCACTTCTTCTTGCGCTGCGGTGGTTGTTAGCGGGGGCATCTCAGTGTTTCACGTCCATGCGGTGACGTACGCAGTTGACGGCCCTCGGTGGCAGGCGTGCGTAGCACTTGCGGCAGATCATCTTGTCGCAGTTGTACTTGGAGGCAAGCGCCTTGAGCGAGGGCTCGATGATGCCACCACGGAGACGGAGGACCAAGTGGAGGGTAGACTCCTTCTGGATGTTGTAGTCGGACAGGGTGCGGCCATCCTCGAGTTGCTTGCCGGCGAAGATCAGGCGCTGCTGGTCCGGGGGAATGCCCTCCTTGTCCTGGATCTTGGACTTGACATTGTCTGTCCCAATCTGTCAGCCCAAACGTCCTTTTTCCATCAACACCACCGCTTTTCGCGCCATGCGTCTTGTCTTGCCGCCGCGCCAGAGGGCATGCGTACCGATCGTGTCAGAGGTTTCACACTCCAATGTTATAGTTTTGCCGGTGACTCCCTTTTGTTAGCTGTTATCGGTATAGATGGGGGTTGTGGACAACGTACGAGTCTTCACGAAGATCTGCATGGTTGCGGTGTTGCTGGATCCTGGTGTCGAAGTTCGTCGGTTGACGAGGAAGGCGTAGAAACGAATTGGCAGTGTGGGCGTCCGAGCGTCGCCGGTTAGCCCGTTAGCGGTTAGCGCCGACGCTGCCCCTCACGTGCGACACTCGCCGTTTGCTCGGTCAGCTGGTTGTAGATGGTCACATCATTAGACAAGTCATGGTAGTCATGGTGGGTCAAGAGTGTTTTGCATGTCTATTTGAATTCACTGCCATATCAAGCTCATTTTCTCTCTCAGGCTCATGCGCCTTCTTTTACCTCGTCCATCTTTTCCTCGGTAGATAGCACCGCCATCAAAAGCTCGGGCATAGGCACCCCCGCCAGCCTCGCAGCTTTCTCGTAGAGCATTCTTGTCACTTCGGGGAGGTCTTCCTCGTACTCCCACGTCGGGTACTTCTTGCCCTCTTTCGGGGCGCCTGTAGTGTTCTTCATGCCTCCGATAACCGCCTGCAACACGTCCTCTTGGCTGGTCTCCGTGGTCTCCGTTGTCTCCATTGTCTTCCTCCATACGCCCCAGTCCATGACCACCGCTGTTTTCTCGTCCGCCTCCCCATAACGCTCGTAGCCATCGAGCGGATGGAGCATTTTGACGCATATCAGGATGCAGCTGACCAGCTGTGCTTCAGGAAGCTGATGTATTTCCAGCCATCTGTTCTTGGGATCCGGAGCAAAATCATACCCAATCATCTCGCCTAACCGTCTGGTCGCATCGTATATATCGAGAGGCAGGGCGAGCTCTTTGAGGTAGCGGTGCAGGAGCAGCGGTACGTTTAGGGCCGGCCATACGATGCCGTAATCTGTGCTGTAGCTTCTTTGCAGGTCTGTGATCGTCTGGTACAATCGGTTGTAGCGAAGCGGCCTTGGGTGTAAGACGGCAATGTAGTTGGAAGGCAGACGTTTTCTCATATTGAGGGGCAGTAGCCCAGCGGCTTTACGGTATGGCAACAATTCATTGGTGACCCATGCATACATGTCGCCTGGTGTGACCGGCAAGCGCAGCGTGATGAAACCGAGGTAGCATAATGCTACACAGTGGCGAATTCGAGGTGTATTAGATGACTTCCTCTCTCTCTTAGGCTTTGTAGTGAGATCCTCTTCGTTGGTGTTGTCTTCGTCGTCAGCCTCGTTGTCAGCCTCCGTATCACTGGCTTCCTCTTGAGGTTCTTCGCCGGGATCAACTTGACCGAGACCAAGTGCCCAGAGGTCTCTAACAACAGTTTCAAGTTCCTGTGGAAATCCTTGGTCCTTTACTAAAAACCGGATATGATGTCGCAGAATAAGCTGGACACACTCCAGGTAGAGTTCATTGGCCTTTGGGCCTTCGAAAATCTTGGGGGCTGTCGTAACATCGTCGTCAACATCCTTCTTTTTGAATCGTAGTTCACGGGCTGCAGTGTCATCTTCTTCGCGATCTTCGTTCAATTCCATGAGACCAGGTTGTTGGTGTCCTTGTTGGCAGTAGCGGTACCCGTCGCCGCCATCCTCATACCGCCTTGAGCGACAGTTGTCAATACCGCAAACCGGGCCTTTCATCGTTGAGAGTAGGCTTTGATGGCTTTGCGTGCTTTCATCAGAACATGGACGGGTGAAGACAATTTCAAGCCGACAGCCTTTTACTGTAAATGTGCAGAGTTATAAAGTGAACATGACGTCCACCTAGAGTAGAAGTGACTGTTTGCTCATCTGACTAGCGCGAAAACGGAACTTTTGACTAGCGCGAAAACGAAAAACACAGTCACCAAACGCTGCCAATTGGACACTTGAATGGTCGTAACTTCATCGCCCTTTTATTCATTGCCGTAAGCGTGAGGAATATATCTAGAAGGGGAAGTTTGTGATACGCTTCCCACACATTGCAATGCAAAGAAGCCAAACCCATCCGAAGAACGTCAAGCAGTGGTAGCCTAGTGCAACTTCGCATGCGAGAATACTACGCTTGTCACAGGGCTGTAACTTTGCACGGAATATGCAAAGAGTGTCGCAATGCCCCTAGCCTTCTGTCTGCACTCCACGCCTTGCTTCTTGCTAAACAGTTTAAGACTTGGGGGCCTCCTTGGCATCAATTGCAGCCTCCTCACCCATGGCAGTAAGGACAATGACGTCTGGCGACATGTTAGGATTGTACACGGAAACGATTCCAGACGCAACTTACTAGTGTCCTTGCCCTCCTCGGTAAACAACTTGTTGATCTTGTCGCCAACTTCACCATCAGGGACCTTGACGTCGTCCTTGGTGGTGCCGTCATCAGTCATGAGGGAGAGGAAACCGTCGTCGGAAACGTCGAGCTAGGTGAATTAGCCATGGTTGCGCGTGTGTCATGGTGGGCGACCTACGAGCGAGTACTCCTGACGCCTGACGTTGGGCACGTCCATGTTGTGGGTGGACGGGCAGAGTTCTTCCATCTTCTTGCTGGTGAAGATGTCGATGGCGACCAAATGGACCTTGGCGTGACCGTGCTTTCCCGTCTTGGACGTGGTCATTTCTACGATCTTGCAGGGGCGTTGCTTGATGCAGACGAAGCCGTTCTTCCTCAGAGCAGAGCACTGCATGGGGTAGGTGAGGGAAGCACCAGCATCGGCGCTGTCGAAGGTGTGCTCATGCTGTAGATTGGCGAGTTAGTATGGGGCGAATTCTAGGGAGGAAAGGGGACAGGAACGGGGCGCAAATGCTCAGAGTGCGTGGCGCAACTGGCGACAGACAGCGCGACGATGGGTGGGGTAAGAGCACATGCGGGGCGGGGTGCGAGAGGGGGAGGGACGTACCTGCGCGTCGTTGTCCGCCATGGTGTTGAATGAAAGTTGGGTGCGACGGGGGAGGAAGAGGCTGAGGTCGGGGTGCTGGTCGAAGAGCAGTGGGTTGGGCGGCCGTCCTTTAATGGAGATGGAGGAAGAAGTCTGCGTGTCTGGATTTTGATTTTGGGCAGGCGCGAGGGGCAGGGTGGCGCTAGCAGATCCCTGTCTAGCGTCGGATTAAACAATGGCCGGCATGTTAGATCGAGCTGAGTACGTGACAGCTCTCATGTATGTCCTTGACATGAACATGCCTCTGTACTCAACATGTGGGGACTGGACAGGCTTTCCTCCTACTCGACGCCTACGGGCACCCCGCCCCCACGCCGCGACTCGTACTCCCCGGCTCCGCGAAGGGGCTACCCAGCTCCTGCCCAGCCCGTGAGGCCTGGTCTAACTCCGCGCTCATCTTCTTTGACGCCGTTGGTGTCGCCCAATGCATCTTCGACAAGCTTGGCCTCTTCCGCGCGCATGCCCAATGGCGGGCCTCGTAGACGACCGACGGCAGGACCTCCCCCGAACATACCCGATCCCGTGCACGTGCTTGAGTCCATCATGGGGGGACCGCCACGTAGTTTGGCCGCTACAAATGGGAACGCGTCTGGAAACATAATGGGAAGGCCAGAAGAGGTGGATGAGGACATTAGTTTTGGGGGCCTTAGCTTGCAAGCCTTTGCGGCGGCGACGCCAGCACCCAATTCTGTACATACATATAGTGCTCAATCCGTCGAAGAATGTATGTGTTTATGCTCTTCGTCCCACGTCTTTGCTCATGCCAACTGCAGATGACAAGGACAAGGACAAATTCGAGGATCTGCACAAGTCGATATTGGCATGTGACCAGGTGCTCAAGTCAGTCGAGGCCAATTTGACAAACTTCCAGTCGGACCTGGAGGCCGTTTCGGCTGAGATAGAATCGCTGCAGAACCGATCCATTGCGCTGAACACCAAGCTGGAGAACCGGAAAGTGGTCGAGAAGCTACTGGGGCCGGCCGTTGAAGACATCAGCATATCGCCTGCTATTGTTCGCAAGATTGCCGAAGGGCCAGTTGATGACAGCTTCATAGCTGCTCTAGCCGAGATTGAGAAGCGGGGGAAAACAATAAACGACAAAGCTCGGAACCATCCAGATTTGATGGCTGTTCAAGACGTGAAGCCATTGCTAAACGACCTCACCCATCGCGCAATCGAACGAATACGAGACCACATAGTCGCCCAGATCAAGGCTATCCGTTCACCGTCTATCAATGCGCAAATTATTCAACAGAATGCATTTCTAAAGTACAAAGAGCTGTATGCCTTTCTAGCCAAACACCAGGCAGAGCTTGCACAGCAGATAGCGCAGGCATACATAAATACCATGCGCTGGTACTATCTCAACCACTTCACTCGCTACCGAACTGCCCTGGAGAAAATCAAAGTACACGCAATGGATAGATACGATGTCTTGGGAGAAGATCCAAGCGCTAGAAGGGGAGGGACGCTGCTCGGGCAGTCACGAAATGCATCCGCTTCCTACGACGCATTTTCACTTGGACGTCGCCGTGATGCGTTGAAGAGTTCTTCGGTTAATGCGCTGCCAGCAAACGTGGCTGAGGAGGAGAAGTCGGCCCATTACATCGAAGTACCCTTCCGAAGCTTCAATCTTGCACTCATCGACAATGCATGCTTCGAATACACCTTCATTTCTACCTACTTTGCTCCTACACAGAACTTCCACGCCATCTCACGGACATTCAACTCCATCTTTGAGCCTACGCTGGCCGTCGGTCAGGCTGTTACAAAGTCACTCGTAGAAGCAACAACGGATACTCTTGGCATACTGCTTTGCGTCCGTCTAAACCAACACTTTGCATTCGAATTACAGCGGCGGAAAGTCCCAACTGTCGAGGGCTACATAAACGCAACAAACATGTTGCTATGGCCACGTTACCAGCAGGTTCTGGACATGCATTGCACATCTCTCCAAAAGATCACATCGGCTCTGTCAGGCCGGCCTTCAACAGGTGCAGCACTTCTTTCTTCCAGTTCTGCTAGCGCAACTTCAACTTCAACGGCACCGACACCGCTGACCCAGAAGTTTGCCAATCTCATCCAAGGCATACTAGCACTCTCATCGGAAGCAGGCGACGACGAGCCAGTCAGTGTATCATTGGCTCGCTTGAGGAGCGAGTATGAAGCATACATCACTAAACAGAGCAAATCCATCAGCGATACTAGGAAGAGAGAAAGATTCTTATGCAACAACTACAGTTTGGTTTGCACTATTTTAGCCGACATCGAAGGCAAGCTTGGAGAGGAAATGATGGGGCATTTTGAGAAACTCAGGGACAGTTTTGACAAGTAATTCCAGTGTTATGATCCTCAAGATGAGTCAATTCAATGTCTTCAAGGTTTCATAGTGAATTGATTCATGTTTGATTTAGTGTTGACCTAACTACAAGAACCAAGCTTGTTAGAGTCATTCAAGCTTTCTAATCCAAATCCTTCTAGCCTGATGGAGAGATGTCGTTGAAACTCCGTAAGTTAGTCAACGCTTAACCCTTCAACGGGGCCCAGTCCTTGCGCGCCTGCTCGCTCATGAAGGGGCCGATGTAGTGCATCTTGCCGAGAGTGAATCCAGTCATCCTCAACAGCATGTACATAGTGTTGAGGTGGAAGTAGCTGTTGGGAATGACGAAGCTGGTGACGTGGTCTTCAACGGCAGTGATGTGGAGGGTCTTGCTGGCGACCTCAATGTCAAGCTTGTTCTGGGCGCTCTCGTTCCATGCCTTCTCGTCAACAGAGTCGATGACAGCAACGAGCTGCTTGAGGAAGTTGATGACGTCGTCGAGGGACTTGAAGGAGGTCGGGTCTAGAGTAGGTGACTTGGCCGAAGGCTTGGTGTTCTCCAATGGTCCGAGCATGAACTTGGCGAGGATGATGGGTTGCATGCGGAAGGGCAGCATGTCGCCGAATTGGGAGTCGAGGACCTCCTCATCGCTAGGGAGAGCCTCGTTCTTGGACTGCTCCTCCTTGGCGGTGGTGAGGAAGCTGATGGCGCTCGTAGCGATACCACGGAAAGTGGGGATAGAGGTCTTGTGGAAGGACATTTTGAAGATGTGGTTGATGTAGGTGTGTGTTTGAGAGTGTAGAAAAGAGTTGTTATGATGAGTGAGAGAAAGTAAACGAAGGAAACGGGCGACCGACCGAAACCTTCATATACCTAGCGTAGCTGACCGTTGGGTACCCCGCTGACCGAGTTTGACCCACTATTCTCTGCCATAAACGTACTTCGATGGCCAGACTACGTGTGCCACCTTAACTCCATTAGCGTAGTGGAGATTTACTTATTTCATGTGCTATGTGAAGCTAGAACATCGAGAGATACATCTAGTCATTACAAATCGCTTACAAAGATAAAATCATGCACAATTCAAGGTATACCGGAAGCATTGAGTTTGTAGTATCTGTGAGCGCTTGAACTCATTGTTGTCGACCTCGGGTCATCGGTGCAAATACAGCCTGCGTTTCTACAAGATTTTCCACTAAGGGCACGGACCTCCCAAATTCTACATTCGCCACCTACCGTTTTCGCCCAAGCATTAATCTCCCCGAAACCACACCTCACGTGTTGTCATCAGGCTATCGAAGCATCTAGAATAAGAGATACTTCAGGGTGTATCAGAAATGGCGAAACGAAAGCGCAACAACGTGCAGACGAATGCTGTGAAGAAACAGACCCTCAGCCTCCCGAGTCCACCCCAAGATGCAAACCCCCTGGAACCAGCGAGTGTACACTCAGTCATCTCATCTGAAGAGATTGAGGTCGCCGTGGAAACTCTCCAAATGCTTTCGGAGCATCCGCTCTTGATCAAGTCAAAAGCGTGCAAAGAGCTTAGGACGGCTGTGTATGACTTTCGTCAAGCATGCACCACTGGCCTCAACTCAGCTGGTACGTCTGAGATCCTTACCGAAATCATAAGAGACTAAATAAATCCCCAGAGGGCAGCAACCTCACTGCACGCATCTCAGCAGCGCTCACAGATGCCAAATATATGGAGGCGCTCATCTTACTGGCAGAGATGCGCATTAGAAAAGACACACCAACACTGGGTGCCCTTTGTCGCTGGGTGCGCACTCTAGACGTAGTCTCTGGGCTCTCAATTCACGTGCAAGTGCCTAGTCAGAATGTGGTTGGTACTAATGCGCAGAACGATGAGTTGATTCGGGTGTTGGACTCTATACTAAGGGTCACTGGACCAACTGATACAACATCCCATGGAGTAGGCGTCGCATCAGGCATCTCACTACAAGATACGTGGGATCTACGAAGCACCAGTAACCCGACTCGTCAGACACGTCGCAGAATTGAGGACAAGTCAATCTTCAAATCATGCTCTCCGGACCTCAAAGATCGATTCCGCATTATCGAAACCACACCCGGACTTCAGCGCAAACCGCCGAACCTTCATCCAGCCATCTTGTACGCATCGCAAGATGATACTGTACTACTTGGCAAAGGCCCGAAAACGGAATGCTTTAAGCACCCAATTGTACCCAACCTCCGCCTCATCAAAGACGTACTATCTCCTGAGGAGTGCTCCGCAATCATCGCAGCAGGGGAGACTATAGAATTCATCCCAGATGCACCCATGCGACCGCAAGGCGAAGATACGAGCGTGCTTGCACACAATTTCTACTGGATCGTCGACCAAGCTTTCCACGACAGGCTCTGGGATAGAGTCAAGGCTTTTGTACCAGAGAATGTGGCTGGCAAACAAGTACGCGGCATCAACCGACGTTTCAGAGTATACAGATATGTGCCTGGCGCCGAGTATCGTTGTCACATCGGTAAATATCATACCCCTTTTTGTGCTGCAGAAGCTAACCCATGCAGATGGCGCATGGCCACCGTCTGGAATCAACCCTGAGACAGACGCTTATCAATACGATGCCTCGCCTCCCAACGCTCGCCAATCTTCGCTATTCACGTTCCTTATTTACCTCAACGACGAGTTCAAGGGCGGCGAGACGACGTTCTTCATCCCGAGTGTAAAGGAAGGTGTCATCAACGCGTATCCGGTTAAACCAATCATGGGCAGTGTGGCTGTGTTTCCGCACGGTGAGGCTCAAGGTGCGTTGCTGCATGAGGGAACGGGTGTGGTGGAAGGTGCCAAGTATGTGATTAGGACAGATGTCGAGTATGATGTTGATGCCACGGTCTGAAGACATGGCTCTTGTTTGTAATCGGAAAGAAAAGTGTATATCAAGTGGCGTTATTACGGCAAGCCAATGCGATGCAAATCTTAGATATAGTACTGTTCTACCTACGCGGCTACATTACCAAAATCCCCTCCTACAGGTACCGGCCTAACTCTTCCACCACTTCAGATCAAACTCTGAAACAAGCACACAAGATCGCGAACAGGTTGTAATACTCGCACTCACAAAGCCCGTGCGGGCATGTATACGTAGGTAGATCAGTCGACTATAGCGACAAGACCTACCGCAGGACTGAAACCCTACTCTCACTATTTCCACAAAGATAAGCGCACTCGTTCTCACCTTCCTGCCCAGCTCGATCTGTAACAACAGAGACAAGAACATCAGACCCCAAACATCCGGAAAATCCGCTTACATGAACGATTTGAAAATGCTACCGGTCTTTTCCCCTTCAAACACGAGCTTACGTTCGGGGCCGAACGGCCCGGGGTGAGAGGTCAACACCCAATATATATGATTTTATATAGTTAGTTACAGATTCCGTGATTATTTTGCGAAAAGATGTGCTGCCTATCTGGAAAGATTATTGTATTTAACTTGGCAAAAGAAACATGCACACATCAACGCTATCATGCAAACAAAACACCTCAATCAACAAACAACCCACCGAAGAAGTTCCGAAAACAAACGCCCCCACCGACGACGACGACCATGAATGCTTGAAACTCCGGATCTTCTCTACCCACGTACCCCTACCAAAGAAATTCGAAAAATTTGGCGTATACACATCATTCTTACACTGGCAGAAAGTGCCCGTGATTACCCAAGTCAGCTGCCTAGGGTTGAATATAGGGATGTCACTGTACGCAAACCGGATAGTCAGTGGGGCCGAACTACTGCTACTTGCTTTGTTACAGTACGTCATCTTGTTTTTGGGAGCTCTATTCATGCCGAAATGATAATCAAAACTTTGCTTTACACAAGTAAAACGCTCTCGATACTGTTTGACGTGGTTGCCGGGTATGGCAGCTTCTTTGATCCTTGGCTGCTCTTGGATGTAATTTGTAGTCGCCCTGGTGAGAGGAAGTATGGGGATGACGGCGAGAACTGGCAGGGTGTGGCTTGGGTCGGGGTTGGAATCGGAAATAGCGTTGTACCGGTGGAGGGCGAGAGAGAGAAAGAGAGAGATAGATGTCATATTCAGTGTTTTTCAACCATGACCCCCTAAACCCAAGGCAAATCCACATCAATATCAAGCAAAACACATCACAAAAGAACTTTCGCAAACAGAGCCGAAAGCGAAAGAGTAGTTTGAAGATCAGTGGTATTCTGTCGATCTATTCCATTACCTAATGGTATCTACACATAAATACAAGTTCATGCAATGCTGAACATTCGTGGGTCAGGCTATAAACGAGTGTATGTCGGACCCCAAACCGGGGGGCCCAAATGATAATACAGGGGAGGCATAAAAGGAAAAAAAAATAAACGGTAGAAGCACAAAGAGAAATTACTCAGTGTCGGTATCAAACTCCAATCCAGTCTCTGCGGCTTTGATCTAAGCATTGGCCTTCTTACCTCCCTTGTTGGCCTTGCCGGCATGGTGAGGAGTGCGGGTCTCGATGTCAGCGTCGCGCTGTGCCTTCTTGCCACCCTTCTTAGCCTTTCCAGCGTGGTGGGGTTCGCGGGTCTCGATCTCAGACTCGATATCGCGCTGTGCCTTGGCTCCGCCGTTCTTGCCGGCTTTGTTGGCCTTGCCGGCGTGGTGAGGAGTGCGGGCCTCGATGTCAACGTCGCGCTGGGCCTTCTTACCACCCTTCTTGGCCTTTCCAGCGTGGTGAGGAGCGCGGGTCTCAAGGTCGTCAGTCTCGTCTTCCTCAACATCACGCTGTGCCTTCTTGCCGCCCTTGTTGGCCTTTCCGGCGTGGTGCGGATCACGCTGGTGAAGGTCTGCAAAGTGTGCGTCCTCCTCTTCCTGAGTGGCAAACTCTTGAGCCTCAGCGTCACGCTGAGCCTTCTTGCCACCCTTGTTGGCCTTGCCGGCATGGTGAGGATCACGTGTGTGAAGGTCAGCGAAGTGGGCGTCCTCTTCGGCTTGAGTAGCGAACTCCTCATCCCGCTGGTGTAGGTCGGCGAAGTGAGCATCCTCCTCTTCCTGTGTAGCGAACTCCTGAGCCTCAGCATCACGCTGGGCCTTCTTGCCGCCCTTTTTGGCCTTGCCGGCATGGTGAGGATCACGTGTGTGGAGGTCGGCGAAGTGAGCGTCCTCCTCTTCTTGTGTAGCGAATTCTTGAGCCTCAGCGTTACGCTGGGCCTTCTTGCCACCCTTTTTAGCCTTGCCGGCGTGGTGGGGCTGGCGGCGGTCGATGGTCAGGATGAGGTTGCCATTCTTGTCCTTCTGCTCAGCAGAGCGCTGTGCCTTGGCTCCGCCATTCTTGCCACCCTTGGCCTTGCCAGCGTGGTGAGGAGCACGAGTGTGGAGGTCGGCAAAGTGAGCATCCTCTTCTTCCTGGGTAGCAAACTCTTGAGCCTCAGCGTCACGCTGGGCCTTCTTGCCACCCTTGTTGGCCTTGCCGGCGTGGTGGCGTGCCTCTATTGAACGGCCTGCGAGGGCAGAAACAAGGTTGGCAACATTGATAGGACCGCTTCCTTGCATGCGTGCCTTGACGGCATTGTCGACAACCTTGTTGTTGGGAACCACGTAAGCAGTGGTGGTAGCTCCAAGAGCCAAAAGTGTGATAGCGGAGAACCTCATATTGAAAAAATGTGAAGAATGTGTCGAATAGAAAAGACTGGTATGATATCAGATGAATGTAATAAGATCTGCCAGCAGAGAATAGAAGGAATGAAACCGAACTGAGCAGTAGTGAGAATGAATGAGCACGTTCAACGTTGGATGCCCTTTCTTCTTGGATGGTGGACATACTTTATAACTGGACTTGATCTCCACAGACGGATGGTTACTTGCGTGCACCCTCAGGGCCTGATACAGTATCGCATTGTTCAGCGGAGATGGCATGGAAGTCTAATCCCGGTCAGTTACGTCCGTCTTTCCAATCTGACAGCGGAGACGGCTGCGTCGTTTGCGGTACGCCAAACACTGGCAGTCGTGATACAGCGTCTTCCACTAACGGCGAGGCTGCAGGCACAGGCTCGAGTCAATGCGTTGGTCTTGCGGGACATGCTCGCCTAATCCCGCAATCCTGCCATGCGGTTCAGATATGGACTGGCAGGAGACGTGACGTGCAGGTCAGAGACTGACAGGAGGCCGCTCATTGGCCCGCACTTCAGTCAGCGCGATCGCTTCCAAGCATGGAACTGTGCTGTTCCCTGCGATTCTATCCAAACCAATGCTTTTGTCGTATTATTCCCGCTGTCCAGGTGGAGAATTTTGTTGCAAATGCGTTGCAGCAGGTCAAGTCAAGCCCGGCGCTAGCGCTAACACTTGTTTTGCCTAGCGCGCCAAGCTGAAACGATGGTGTAGTGTGTGAACGACCGCTCTTGGCTATAGTGTCCACTACGAAACCCGTCCCTCCGCTCAGCCAACGGGATACCTGAGACACGCCGCATTGAACGTCTCAGGCGCCTTGGAAAAAAGCTTGTCGAGGCCTAATTCTCGCAACGAGGTGTGTGCAAGGCTACTGCTGCCTGGTAGACAGCCCTGTAGAACTCCATTGACCGAGGAGGCGGCGTCGTTTGACAAGTCCGCGTTTCGGGGAACCTAGCTAAATGCGATACTCTACACGTATGGGACGTCCGCGTCCTATGCCGCTGGCGCTTCTTTTCTTCTTGACTTGTTCATTCAACCGAGGACTGTTCCTTTCTTTTTTCTGCCCGTAGTCCCAGGAGTCCATCTTTCTTAACTTTCTTCCAAGGTCTGGCCAACACCATCTTATTTTTTCTCCATCGCAGGTCGATTAATATTATTACATTTTGCTCTTATTCTTTAGGCCTTTATCTATACACAAACCATCGTATTACGCCTGCATCAACACCTAATCATGGAGAAGTACACAGACTCCAGCTCTGTCCAGTCCGACTCGGAGAATGCAGCCTTCCTCAACACACAGTACCAGAAGGAGGAAAGACAACAACGGCGGAGTTACATCTATCTCACGCTGTTCAACCTTTTCCTATTCACACTATCCATACTGTCATTGATATGCACTGTCATGTCTCAAAAGGACACAGCGGGCCATTCAACGGCAGCTTTGTATGATCAATTCGACATGTTCTGTATGTTCTACGCACCTACCTCTACAGCCATCTCAGCAACTAACACATTGCCCAGCCCCCACCATGCACGTGGTCGAATACTCAAAGACAACATTCGAGCTACCCGAACCCCTGGAATCATCCGTCTACGTCGGCATCAGCAACGAAACCGAGGACGCATGGATGGACATTGCCTACCTCCCCGACCAAATGGTATCCAAGGAGGACTTCCCCAAGCTCAACATGCCCGACGACGCCCTGCAAGTCACGGACCCCAAGACGGGCGAAACAGGCTACCGCGTCGGCCTCGAGGTCTTCCACCAACTACACTGCTTGAACATGCTCCGCATGGCCACTCTTCCCGAGCACTATACCAAGCTCGAATGGAGCGACACAAACGACAAGCCCGAGCGCGTGCGCGCTCATCTCGATCATTGCATTGAAGTTCTTCGTCTGAACCTCATGTGCCTCTCCGATGTCAACGTCTTCACCTTCCACCCTAAACCTGGCAAGGAGGGATATTGGCCAGAGTACAACTCGCAGCACGTGTGCAGGAATTTTGATCAGATCAAAGATTGGGCACGTGCAAATGCCATGCCTTATGCTGAGGTGTAAGCATGGGGTTTGGGTATGAGAATGACGTGTGTTGCACCTGTGTGACAGAAGTTTGTAGATATACTTGGATATGATGTTTGTGTATATAGTGGGTTTCGCTTGATCTGCAACAGTCTTGATTTGACTGTGTGAGAGCCACGAGATGAATACCAGAAATGGACATATTGATATTGCTACACTTTTGAATCTGTCTGTGCGCCTTTTTTACTGTACGATATTGTAGCTGTGCTGGGTTATGACACGAAGATGTACATACACCGTTTAACCCACCGGCCAACATCCCACAACTTTTGTCTCAAAATCACAAATCACAATCAAACGTCACATGTTCCATCCTCCATCCCTCCCCATAACAATAATAAATTAAATACCCTCCTGTCCTTCAAACAAGTAAAAACTGTCAAAACAAATAAACAAACAAACAAGCCAACCCTGCGCTCATCATAGAACGTCGCAAGAAGGAATTAGTCCCGGGCAAACAACAACAACGCGCGACGGATAGAAACAAAACAAACGATTTAGTTCGATTTTCTTAGGAACGTTTGGTGTGTGGGTGGGATATAATCTCCATGACAACTGAAACTTATTCGCAAAAATTTAGCTACAGGCCATGAATCCATATACCTATTGGAAATAATTCACAATGCTTTCTTAACGGTCTTGAATGCCAATATCCCTGATCTCCTATAGGACAATTAAACTGTAAAATACAATGACATTCTCCTCTCCAAAACATAATAGAACAAACAGTAAACTCACAAACACCTACACTACTCGGTCCGACACATTCACCCCATCCAAATAACAAAACATGAGAGTTACCTGCAAAAAGTTTCCACTTCCGTTCTTCCATTGTTATGATCCCATACCCAATGTATACACAGTCTACATAAACACTTACCGTTACAGTTATCGGATCATGTCGTTGTCATCGCACGGATATCCACAGCGCCGAAGAACCAAATGCATGAAGAGTAGGAGTTTCAGCACTGATAATCACATCTTATCACATCCCATCACCCTGCAAACATATGTAAAAGCAACGGACAACAAAACGAACGGAGCTGGGATATGTGCGAAAGCAAAACAAACAGAGAGCGTACGCTGAATCTGTACTAGGATATGTAATGCGATTTTAGTACTGGCTTTTCTCATTTTGTAATGCACCCATGAAGAATTTACTTGTACTCCACACGGTAATGCAAACGGAAGGAATAGATGTATGAAGAAAAAAATAAGTCTATAACAAAACGCTATCATTACCAGATAGACACAAAGCTATAGACAAGACAAGTCATCCACCATCATCATCCATTCCACATCAACACTTCCTTCGCATGTATTCAACCTCGGTTCCGGAACAGAGGGGTGGGAGGGGCACAAAAGGGTATCCAGACTCCAACCCAATGCCACACACCGCGTTTATCCAACAAAGCTTTTATTGCGAGAGACGAGAACGAGTAAAACGCACACGCATTACTCAACCAGCGTGTTCTACAATCTCACTGACCAACTTGCCGTCTTTGATGTAGCTCCTGAGCTGTTCTGGCAGCGGATTTTCTGTGTAGTCGTCTTCGGTGGGAAGGTTGATGTTGATGCTGCTGCATTTGCTTGTGAAGACTTCGGTGGCTAATGAGTCCTTGGACAGGTATACAGTGGCGCCGTCGACTTGATCTAACAGGATGGTGGGTAGGGTGCCGAGGACCTGGAGGGCAAAGTTGGGGCACTTGATCACGTCCACGGAGCTGACTAGCGAATCAATGATGAGGGATGTGCGGGAGCTGTTATCGAGCGAGAGCGCGTTCGCCTTGCCGTTGATGCGGATGGTCGTGTTCTTGCAGCGGGAGATGAGGATGGAGTGGTTGATTTCGGCATCAATTTCGATCATCTCGCCTGGAGAGTCGAAGTTGTCCTGTTAAACGTTAGTATTTAACCTTAATACTCCTGAGTCTAACCAGTGGAATGCTTACTATTATCCACTTATTTCCGTCCAGTTCCTTCTTGGGGGGCTTCTTGGTCCGCATGCTTTCAGGCTTCTTCGCCTTTGGCGGCGCAGGGCTCTTACTCCTGCCCAAACTGCCGGTGCTATCACTGCGTGTGGGTACAGGTGCAGTCGCTCGCAGCGACGGGTTCTTGTGTGTCATTTGGCTTGGGTCGACCTTCTTCAATCCCTTGGTAACGTCTGATCCCTTGTTGAGATCACCAAAGACGGCGTTCATGTCGGGTGTGGCCTTTTTCGCTGCCGGCGCCGCGCCTGGTGGTGGTGGAGGACCTGGTGGTGGGGGAGGACCGGGCGGCGGTGGGATACCCCCTGCGGGAGGAGCTGGAGGCATGCTAGAAGTGGCCGAAAGACCTTTTGCGGCTTCTTTGGCATCGATGCCGTTGCTGTTCCAGGCAACGCCAGTAGCGTGGTGCTTCTTGGCGTATTCGGAGAGAGCTTTGAAGAGCTTGTAGTACGCCTGGACCCATTTGACGTGGGCTTCGCCCTCCGGCCTGTGCATGTTAGCATGGTATTGTAGGAGTAATCAATTGCCGTACTTGTCGCGGTACTCCTTAAGCACCTTGTTGCCGTACATCTGAGCCCCACCAACCAGCTCATTGATGTGCTCATGGGGCTTCATGCCTCCACCTTGGCCAATTGCGACCCATCCAAGCGACCCAACACCATCCGCGACCATGGAAAGGGAATCTTTGAGCGCCGCGTCTCGGTTGCTCTGTCGGAACTCGTCTGTCTTCTCCATGCTCGCCTGAAGATCCTTGAGAAGTTCCATAAGGGTACGGTCATCGGGTTTCTTGGCCTTGTTGGCAATGAAGAGGAATTGGCGCTGGGCGGCGAATGCCCCTTCAACTGCCTTGGACTGGCCCTCGATGACGCTTCCCAACTTGCCGCTCAACTCCAACCAGTCCTTTAGTTCTGAGTTGACCAGCTCGTCAAAGGCCTCAATTGCTGGCGGGACGCTCTCTGCAACGACTTTTGGTGCACCGACACTGGCAATTCCTGCCGTCACACCTGGTGTGGCATCTGTGGAGGCTCCATTGAGGCTGTCAACTCCGCTGTTCGGGAGGACGGTGCTGGCGATGTCTTCGAGGCGCGATGTAGCAGCTTCAAGCCTACGTACGAACGACGTCAGTACATTGTTTCCTGTGACGCGAATCTGCCCATGTCGAATGTGGGCTTTTCCGGGCTCGCGGGCCATGGTTGGGAGTGCTCATAGGGTGTTGTAGGAGAGTTGTCTGGAAAGAAACTCACCGCTTGATGAGGGTAGTTAGATTATTCATGTTGTTCGCCATGCGGGGAAGGCACGTCGCAGTGTTTGTAGGGAAGGTGCGTAGGTCCAGACAGATCACTTTATGCTTGGGGTCGGGCAGGGGCAGCTGCGACGTGCTGCAATCTTGAGAATGGTTTAGGTCGTTGAAGGAAAGGTGATTTATTTGAACACAAAAGCGCCTCTAGATGTGTCCACGCTGGCGAATATAGGAATACTATAGGTAAGGAGTAGATGTGGGAGAGTAGTTCAAAGCGTCGACAGTCCGAGGCGCATGGGCTACGGCAGCCCACGTTGCGCTAGCTGTCTGCAGCCAAGACCGGGCCATTAGGCATTAGCTTACCTAGGCCGAAACCTTGGAAGCGCGTCACTTCACGCATCACAGCATCCAGCATGGCCTCCGACAATGGCAAGACTGGAAATGGTCAGATAGACTTTTGCACCTTGGGCATGTTCATAATTGGTACTTGGTCATTCCATCGTGTAATATTTATTAGTAGGCGACTGAAATTCCTCAAGATGAAATCGAGTTTCCCCCACCAAAGCCCCCAGTCAAGGACATTGTTGGCGGAGCTGGCGCTTACTCCGCACTCGGCGCACGCATTTTCTCTCCACCACCTCAGTCAAAGAGTGTAGGCTGGATTGTTGATTGCGGCTCGGATTTCCCGCCTGAACTGCGCGAGTTTATTGCACAGTGGGACACGGGTGTGCTGATACGCGAAACGCCTGATCGGCTGACAACGCGGGGCTGGAATGGTTATGGCGAGAAGGAACATAGAGGTACACCCCCACGTCACGTGCGGAACATTGAACATTGGACATGGTGCTGACCTGCCCAAGCTTTTCGATACTTGACGCCAAAGCTGCGTTTGAATCATGAATCGCTCGTTGACACACCCCTGTTATGGTCCAAGTCATTCCATCTGATATGTTCGCCCCTGCGCTGCATTGATCTGGTTGAAAACATCACCGCATTACGCAAGCAGAGTGATGGCGAGAGGGCTGAATTCCAACGTCCGGTATTCATATGGGAACCAGTACCTGATCTGTGCACGGCCGACGAGTCTGAGAATTGCTTAAAGGCACTAAAGTACGTTGACGTGGTGAGCCCCAACAACAGTGAGCTGGGTGGCTTCTTCGGTAAGAAAACCGATGGGGAGCATCAAGTCGACTTCCGCGCAGTTGAGGAGCTATGTGATCAGTGGCTGGAGAGTGGCATTGGTCCCAATAGCGATGGAGGGGTTGTCGTGCGATGCGGGAAAGATGGCTGCTTAGTAACACGCAAAGGGCTACGCAAGTGGCTACCTGCCTACCATCAATCAGCGGGAAAGGTGATTGATCCTACAGGCGGAGGTAACGGCTTCTTGGGTGGACTGGCGGTTGGTCTGCTAAGATGTGGTTCGGAAGTGTCGGACAATCTGGAGGAAGCCGCCATCTGGGGCTCAATCTCGGCGAGCTTTGCCATTGAACAAGTCGGCATGCCTGTTCTCTCTCACTCTGAGAAGGGGGAAACGTGGAACGGTGTGAGTGTCGAAAATAGGCTTTCTGATTTCAAGCAGCGGCTGGCTAGTTATATACAGCCATAGCCACCGTTACTGCTCCCCGCCCAACGCCGGATATCTAGTTGTCCAACACCTTCTCTATCACACTCTGATTCTGTTTCCTCTCGTGTTCTTTGATCTGCTTGGTCCAGCTGCGCCATGGTTAGCTTCCTGGCCTGAGACATGGAATGGAGGGGTGCGCGTCGTACTATCGGCTGGGGAAGAAACGGTGGCGTTCGGGCATCTTGTCGCGGTATTCGCGGTTTGCGCTCAGCATAAAAGCCATGCCGGCAATACTGGCCATGGTGAGGCCTACGACGGCCGTGTTGGCTTTCCAGTTGTTCGGCTGAGCATACCAACCACCAGATGGTGACCAGACGTGCTTGGGGTATCTGGCGACTGTCAATTGGTCGGTTCCATAGGATTGGAAAGTCGTACATACGGGATCTTTGGTCCTCCGCCCATTGTGTTTGTGCTTGTGCGGATTCGTGGGGTTGAGCGCGTATGGAGCTTTGGTGAGGTCGTCGCTGTCGCACAGCGAGGTGCGCACGGGCACCCGAGCTTGGCGGAAATTCTGTCGCCATCATGGCTCGACGAACACTGAGAACACACTCCGGGCCAATTGCTGCTGCTGCTGCCGCCTCCGCCTTCCTTTATTTTTCTGCTATCTTGTCCTGTACTGTGGCCTTCATGAAGCGGATCCCCCTTTCAAGATGCGCCTCGCAATTGCTGGCCCCGCCTCTTCCACATCGGCCCTCGTGCCCATATGCCGCGGCGAAGAAATTACGGAGAGACATTATACCACATAGCCACCGGATAAACGCACGCTTTCAGAGCACAGTAGCCATACCAGACGAGGGGGAATTGAAACTCGAGGCTGCCGCAAATGTCGGTGCATCACCAATAGAGGAATCAAGGACTTCTCACCCACGCCCACTCGAGAGCCTCCCATCACCACACCCTAGTGCTGCCGAGCGCTCGATAAAACTCCACGCTCTCCGGAGCCGGTTATCGCTACCAGAACGATTTCCCCTCCAAGTTCTCGCACGAACCCTTGTACATCCTTCCGCAGACGCAAATCCCGCCTTCAACAATGCTTCGCTATCCATACTCGGACGCCAATTGCTGGGCTACTACACTTCTGAGTGGCTGATCTGCACCTACCCACGACTACCAATGGAAGTTGTCTTCGCTGCTGTGGAAGCATACATTGGCCCCAAAGCGTTAGCCACAGTTGCTCGGGAGTGGGGTATTGAGGCGGCGGCGGAACCAGGTGGTGAAGTGGACCCAGGACTCTTACAATTCAAGAGGATAGGGGCGGGTGAGGAGCTACCAGAAGCCCTAAGACGGCAGGTACCATGGAAATGGAATGTTACCACAACCCATAAAATCTTAAAGTCGGACGCATTTGGCTCCAACAATGCAGGGCCGAGTCCACACGCACTGGAAAAGACACCAGTACCCGTTGAGGAAGCAGCACAGTCTTTTGTGCGTGCCCTCATCGGCGCTCTCCACGTACACCTTGGTTCACCTCTTGTTAAGCGCTTCTTCCGCGACCACTTCCTTAGCCGACACCTCGACATCAGCACAATTTTCGACTTCCGCACACCGACACGCGATCTATCATGGCTATGCAGACGAGAAGGCTTCGAGCCACCCGTGGCCCGCTTAATATCAGAAACCGGTCGTCTGAGCAGACATCCTGTTTTCGTCGTTGGCGTATACAGTGGGAGGGACAAACTCGGCGAGGCATCAGGCAGCTCACTAAATGAAGCGAGGATAAGAGCGTCGGCAGCAGCACTGAAGGCCTGGTATCTATACAAGCCAGTCCAAGTCACAGTACCTAGCAGTACCGAGGGTGAAGTAGACACGAGCAACTGGCGGCCCAACTACGTCGATTGTGGTGAGGTCATTGTATAATCCACAAGCCGACCACTCCACTTTTCAGAGAGACTACCTTGGTCACATGTTGATACCATACTTCTCTGTTTGTACACATTTTCAGGCTAGCGGAGCATGCGATAGGGGAGTTGATGACAACTCTCAGGAAGATGACAGAACCGCACCGCTTGCGGTATGCCATGTAAAGGGGGAGCTGCAAAAAGCCGGCGCACCCAGCAGCATGGACAGCAGCGCCCATGTATCATATGTGACATCATGAGGATACCAACGATGATCCGCAAACGTGTAGAATATTTTCAAACAAACTTTGCATCAATCACAACACATGTCAAGACTGTTCTGATTTTTTCTTCACAATGCGAACTAGCGCAAAGGATACGAGGGAATTAGTCGCGCCGTTTTGTTGTGTGGTGCTTTGTCCACTTTGAGCATTTTCCTGGGCCTCCTGAGTGAATGTCTTTGCTAAGCTTTTGTTTACTACTCCAGTTTCCATCTACACGAGTGACTCGCCTACCGGAGATGCGTTCAAGAGACCCAGACCTTCAACGAAACATTTCATCTTCGGTACCGTGGATCTTGAGCCACAGGGCAGAGAGGCCGGAGGACCCATTCTGGAACTCAGAAGAAGAAAGGATCGAGGCAACGATTGCCCCATCAACCCCTTGCCCGGGTTTTGTGATGTGAGAGCTCATATACGGTGTATGGATTAATGGGATCTGGCCGGCACCCTCAGCCGTCATCAACTGCTGCAAAGAAGGGCCTGTTGAGTATTGTGTCAGCGCAATCTTATAAGATTATGCGGTGTACTGATCGACAGAATGTGCCCGACGCTCTCGGCAGTTGCCAGGTACTCCAATGAAGGCCCTATTGAGTATCGTGTCAGCCTCGGAATCTGTGCTCGGTGTTGTCAGATTTGAGGATTTGGATCGCTTGCAGGCGGACAATCGTTAGAAAGTAAGCACTACAGAACGCCAGCCAAGAGCCCCTTTCTCTATGAGCGGGGTAATAGTCTAAGATTAAGTAAGGAGATGGTCTATAATTCCCGTTTCCCGCTATCAAAACCCACACACCAACTCTACTCTCTAGTCACAGATTACATCACACTTTCAACATCGCCCAACGGCACCTACATCGTCAAAGTCGGACTATCTTTTACCTTCCACTTTAAAAACAACGCAATGGTTAATCTACGAACGGTCACGATATTGCTTAGTTTAAGTTTAGGCGCCTTCGCTGGTTTTAACGTAAGCATTACCTTTCTGCTTTTCCCTAGACTTCCATCACTGATCACTTCGCTACTTTTCTAGACATGCAAACCCGGTGGCCCCTACGGATATGGAAACTGCTGCAAAATGACAAAAGTCAATGGAAAATATGTCTTTACAGACGATTGCAAAGAATGCTTCTTTGTACATTACCCTAACCCTATCATTTATTACGAAAAGTCTAACCTGATTTGAACCTGCAGACCGATGGCGGCTGCAAAAAGTTAGGGCATCGATGTTCATTCAGCTGGGACTCCAACGCTGTAGAAGAGGGAGCATACTGCAACAAATAAGGGAAAAAGATTAGACGTGCAGTCGGAGCCACAAGGGAGCTGGATACTTTTGACAAAGACGACAAAGACGACTACCCTGACAGTTCAAAGATATTCAAGGAGAGTCTTTCTGGCTACAAGCCTGGAACCGAAGAATCGCATTCGCCATCCCCGCTAGACTCCGCAACAATCAATTCAATCCGGTCACTCTCCTAGACCCACTTACCTATCTAGGTAGGGCTTAAACTCCTATAGGTAACTACTAGGCTTAAAGCGGTAATCAATCAATCCAATCTGAACCTTCTAGGACCCACTTAATTGATTGTTGCGGACTGTGATCCCCGCCCCCTTCGCTATTCAATTAATCACGCACGGAAGAGAATGGCCAGTCCGACTCTTAGGCTTAGCGAGATTTAGAAGAGAAAACTATAATCTTAATCTTAATCATACATACCTACACTATCTATGCCTTAAACTTTACTACTGTCGTGTTTACATATCCTCCCCTCCTATATCTATTCCTTTGCCCATGCATAGCTACAACTACAACACGGCTAGACTATATTGTTGACACGGCAAAGGTGTCGAATACTAGCAGTCGTTGCAACGAACAAAGTGTATAGTATTTGATTAGTAGTGAGCAAGAGCTGGATGGAGAGATCTCCATATGTACGGTTGCGAGCTAAGCGGGAAGCTTGGTCTAACTAGTGGTCCAAGCTTCCGGCCCGGAAAAACTCGCCGGGCTGGCTGCACGCGCATGTCCCGACATATATATATACATGATTATCTAACATTACAAACACCAAAAGTTCACAAACATGTAGCATATTTAAAAAAAACTGTGCATAAATTATCGCAAACTCTTAATGTGAGCTATTGCTCTGTTCTACTATATGTGAAGTGCAATGCGTTTTACTGCACTAGACTTGAGAGTACAGGCATATAGGTTAGCATGGTGGATATATTGATGTCAGATATAATGAGATATTGCACAAAAGTGATGGATGTTGATGATTGTCTGTATTGTGTTCTGTCTATCGTGTGTCCGCGCTTGTGGCCCTCTTGAGGGGCGCACTGACCCTCTCTACGCTGATTGGTTGCTGCCAACGTCGAGTAACCCTGCTATCTGACACACCCCCTCAGCTTGGAAGCCCTGATTGCAAGCTGCATAAACTGGTTAATCGATCCTACATATAGAGGCCTTCCAGATGCTCCTGCAACTTCTCAAGCTCAGCTTCTTTCAACGGGGATTCTTTGCGTTTAACAAGTCCCAACTGATCAAGGAAACTGGCCCATTTATTGGCTGGCAGTGACTTGGTGAATCCGTCTGCGATCATGTTGTCAGACGGAACATATTCTACCTTGATCGTCTTTCGGGTAACTTCTTGTCGTAGCCAATGATTGTGTATGTCAACGTGCCGAAGCTTTGTTTGCAATTTGGCAACGTCTTCATTTACTAGACGGATTGTCTGGGTATTGTCGCACTTGATTGTGATAATTGGATTGCTTAGGTTTACCTGAAGCTCCTTCAACAACCGCGACGTAAAGATTGCCTCCTTAGCAACTTGTGATAGGGCAAGCAGCTCTGCTTCTGTTGTTGATGTTGTCACAGTATCTTGCTTACTTGCTCTCCAAGCGATGAGTCCTCCGAACAGCTTAATTGCGTATCCTTGCGAGCTTTTCCTGTCTAGTGTGTTGTCTGCAAATGATGCGTCACTTGCTACCTCAAGGCCATCGCCTCTACCGAGTTCGAGGGCTAGGGATTCTGTTTTCTTGAGGTACAGGAGCACACGGTCTGCAGCGTCCTGGTGTTCTGTACTTGGATTGACTAGGAAGCGAGCAAGTCGTGATGTTGCAAAGGCTATGTCGGGTCTTGTTGTGACTGCAGCGAATAGAAGCGAGCCAATCTTGCGCTGGTAGCGGTTGATCTCGGACGGCTCTGCTAGGTCACTCCTGGGTCTGAGTTCCATGCCTGACATCGGCGTGTCATGTCTGATGTCTTGTCGGCTTGCTAGTTGGCTGATTTTGTCTGCGTATGCGGCTTGAGATAGCTGTATGGTCTTCTGCTTGCGATCACGAATGACCTCTACGCCGAGAAACCACTGTAAGTTGTCTCCTCCCGTACAAGCGTATTTTTCTTGGATCTGGTTGATGGCCTTCATTGCCTCTGATTCTTGCTTTGAATGGTACGCAACGATGATGTCGTCCACATAGAAGAAGATGATAACTCCGTCTTTGATCATGCAGCATGGCTCCTGTGGTATTTGTTGAAACCCTATCGAAGCAAGAGTTGCAGTGAATTCTTTCTGCCACAGTAATGGTGAGATCCGGAGCCCATATAGTGCCTTTTGCACTTTAAGTAGAGTGCCAGGCTTCTGATATCCTTTTGGCATCCTCATGTATATTTCTCTGTCGACTGTAGCATGCACAAAAGCATTAGTGACGTCGTATTGCTTTAGCTCAAGATCGTATTTGGCGGCGATTGCCATGAGCATTCTGAATGAGCGTCCTGCCAATGTTGCTGCGTATGTGTCTTGGGAGGTGATGTTGCGTTGTTGGTCTCCCCTTACCACCAATCTTGCCTTGCATTTGATGAGGCGGTGATGCTTGTCGAGTTTGTAGGTGTATACCCACATACAGTCTAGGATCTGGTGCCCTGCTCGTTTGACTGGTGATGCTTGGACCTCAGTCCATGACTTCATTTGTTGGTGACTCCGAAGGTGTGTCTTTTCTGCTTCCTTGAACATGTCGTATAGTGGATGGTCTTCCAGCTTTGAGTATGCTGTTGGGAGTGGCGGTAGCTGGTTACGATAGGGCTTGATTCCCTTAGATAGCAGTCTCTTCACCTGAGCCTTGTCGATTGGCTTTCCTTCGTGTTGACCAATGTGTCCTGATTCGGTGCCGGCCATGAATGCGGCTGCCCATGGACTGGTCATTGATGTTGATTGGTTGGACATGTTCGTCATATCCTCGTTGTTCACCTCTCCTTGAACTAGCAAGGCCACAGGTGGAGGAGTTGGTGGCGGGGTTAGATATGCCTCTACCACCTTCCTTCCTTGGTGGTATCTGGTTTTCTGAGTGCGCGGGCTCTCTTCCTGCGTCGTATCGTCCTCGTAGAACGTCTCGGTTTCTGGTTGTTGGCTCTGAGTACCTGGGAGTTCGACTGTTCTCACCCAAGTTGCGATTTCCTCTAGGGTGTTGTGCATGAGATTGTCCATCAGGTCCTCAGTCTTGCCGTTGAAGATTGTTTCTTCGTTAAACACTACGTCGCGAGTGCTGATTACCTTTGCCATGGATGGGATCCAGATGCGGTAGATGTTTGTTGACTGATATCCCACAAGATACCCAATCCAGGCTTTTGGGTCCAGCCGTTGCAGCCTTGACTTTCCTTGGTGGGTATCGTCTGTCATTGCAAAGGCTTTGCACCCATATGCTCTTAGATGAGCTTGGTTTGGTCTTCGGGGTCCGGTGACTATGCCATTTGTGGCAGCTGCGCGCGTGAAGAATATTTCGTAAGGCGATTTCCACTTGTTTGGATAATTTGGCGTTCGATTGTATAGGTATACCGCCGCTCTGGTTATCTCTGGCCAGAGTTCCCATGGAAGATTCGCATCTAGTCGAATTGCGCGTGCCTTTTCTTTTATCACACCCCCTGAGCGTTCGGCTCCTCCGTTCTGCGCTTGTGTGTCTGGAGCGGAAGGCTCGAGTCTGATTGATAGGGACGTGCACCATTTCTCGACTTCTTGCTTAACTGTGATGATCTCGTTGTCTGTTTCAATGACCTTGACCGTAATGTTGAACTGTTTCTTCATAAATTGGATAAAGAGGGCTAATAGGCGAATAATAGAGCGTGCTGGCCTATTGTCTTTGAAGTAGAAATCCCAAACGTATCGGGAGTTTCGGCAAGTTATTAGCATCTGACTCTTTTCCTTAGTGAAGCTGTCTGCCTCGTACTCATAGAAGTCGATTGCAATTCTTTCTCCAGGACCTTCATCATTTAGTCTTAGCGCCCTTCTTATTTGGCGCTTCGACTTTGATCTGCCGCAAGCGTCACATTGTACTGTGGTGATTCCTTTGATCCTCACCCCCTCAGATTGCTGTATGAGGTGTTCAATAGCGGATGGCCCTGGATGTCCTAGTCGTTTATGCCATAGCATAGCTGTCGCCCTTTGTGGTGATCGCTTGGTTCGATTCATACGCACATGGAAGGCTGAGTCGAATAGAGTGGTGTCTTCGATAATCCATTGCCCATGGCGTTCCGATAGGATAGCAATGATTGTTCCATCCCATCGTCGCAGGCTTGTTGGATCTTCCCGATTGTCCCACCATATTCCTTGTCGTCGGAGTAGCCTGAATGATACTAGGCTGCAGAGGAAGTCTGGACACCACGCAACGTTGACTATGTGCAGGGCTTGTTTGTCCTGAGATCCCTCTGTTGTCAATGTGACAGCTCCGTATCCTCGTATCCAGACTTTGGAACTGCCGGCCCAGATGTAGTCCCCTGGCGTCGACGGGCGTACGTCTTCAATTCTTGAGAGGTCGTTGCAGATGTGCGTAGTCGAGCCGGAATCCAGGATGAAGGCATCCTTTAATGGATATCCTTGTTGGCTTGCGCTGAATGCCGCTTTCATCGTGCCCTCATCAATTCTTGAGATTTCGCGTCCATCTAGTCATTCAATGACTGCGTCCGGTGTTTGTGATGTCTTGATATGAGGTGTAATCGATCGTGACGTTGTCGAGAATCGAGGTCGTTTAGTCTCTAGGGACATTTCCTGCATCGTTCTCTGTAAGTTGGTGTCATTTTCAAGTTTGTACTGTACTAATCTTGCGATGCCTCGATTTGGCTTGAACCATTCAGGTGCCTTGGCTTTGTTCACATAGTAGCAGTCAGATATCTCATGACGCTGTTCACAGGCAGGACATATGTCTCCAGCTTTCGCTGAATTCCTCTCCGGGATCTGCTTGGTTCTGGTACTTTGACCATCCATCTTGCGTTTGTTTGATTGCCTAGGGTTTCCCCGGCCTTGGTTGGATGGCGCTCTTAATTCCACACTAGAGGCGTCCCTCAGTGTGTCCGAGTCGGGTTCACCGCTCGCCGCGTATGAGTCTCCTACCGCGAAGGCGCTCTTTGGCTTCCCTCTTGATGGATAATGAAGACTCATATATTCACGGAAGAGTTTCATCATCCTTTTCCTATTCATGGCTTTCTTATCGTACCCTGGCCCTTGGAACCCTGCGGTCCAGGTTGATGCCATTTTAGATACGGAGCCTAGGAAGTCGTCTATTACGGCTTGTGTTTGCATAGCCTCGGCCACCTCAAGGGTTTCAGCTCGAGTTGCAGCCTGATCGTATTCATTTAGTCACGTCTCCCAGTTTGTGGTTGAACGCATTGGCTTGAGTGCGGCTTGGTATCTCTCTCGTGCTCGCGCTCTCTCCTCGTCTTCATCCACTCCAACTGTGTCTTAGAGGGCGGTTATCCAGTCGCGCAGCGTGCCGTTCTCGGTGCAGCAGCTAAGTTGTAAATGGGGTGTTACGGTTGTAAGGATGTGTTCGACCATCTTTGAGATTTTGTTGCTTTCTTCTTGATAGTCCCTCTCCCGTATTTTGTATAACTCAAGGCGCAGCTTATAGTCGTCGCGATCCTCCTTATACGCTTCTTGTCCTTTCTCTAAGAGTTCTGACACTCGCGTTGGTATAGTGGGGATTCGTGAGGTTGTTGTCGACATTTCTGTAGTGTCTTGTGCTGATCCTCGCGTGTTGCCTCTAGCGTTTCGGGTGGTATGCGATGAGGCAGCTGAGGGGCTACTTGACGGTTCATACTGCGAAATGTCTGGGGGTAGCGGAGCCTCCGGTTGGATGCGCTGGAGTCGCACTCCTTCGGGGTCCAACAGTGGCCAAATGCCTTGCGACTGGCATTTCAGCTTAAGTTGGCGGTACCAAGGGATCCAGTTGCTTGAGTCGGTGAGGATGACCGTCGCGTCCCGTTGGGTCTGGATTGTTGCCATTTTCGTGGTTTTATCGCTCGTTATTGAGGCAGTGAGACTCTTAATTGTCAGATATAATGAGATATTGCACAAAAGTGATGGATGTTGATGATTGTCTGTATTGTGTTCTGTCTATCGTGTGTCCGCGCTTGTGGCCCTCTTGAGGGGCGCACTGACCCTCTCTACGCTGATTGGTTGCTGCCAACGTCGAGTAACCCTGCTATCTGACAATTGAATTGCTAAGACTCACAACAGATGGATGATTGACGTTGTTTTGTAGAAAAAACGAAGCATACTACTTAGGCCTCGTGTATGTCGTATGTAAACGTGTTACTGTATGTTGATTTGATAATTTCTCCGCAGTATTTGTGATGTAGCATGCTGGAGACCTATCCATATTTGAGCAGTTTAAAGCACCAACGTCCTTGAAATTCATTTTTAATCTGCAAATCGGTGTATTTCCGCACTTTAGTACACAGGAAGGAATAGCCGCCTCTCTTTTGAATAACCTAAGCCACTTTTAGCTTAGGGTAGTTACTTAGATATGCCCGACCCCACAAGAAAACGAGCTCCTTCGAGACCACATTACACCGCCTTGTTTGGCAAAACATCTCTATTCCTGCTTCTATCAAAAGTCAAAAATCCACCCTTTGCAACAATGCGACGTAAGAGGAAGGCCAAGGCTGCGAGCCACGGGCCTGCCGACAACGCGTCGAATAACGGCGAGAAAAAACCAGAGTCGGGTTCCCAAAACGCCAATTCATCGTCATCTTCGACTTCAAAACCTAGCGCAAATAATCCCAATGCACCTTCAAAGGACCTCGCCTCTCAGATGAGAAAGATGGTAATTGAGGCTGCTGATCCCCCGCCAAACCCCATTCCAAACGGCGTAGAAGCGGAGATGGCGGAAGTAAAAAAAACTCGTTGTTACTATGCCCCGCGAGAAGCTTCGACGTCGGCTTAAAGTGCATTGGCCATGTTTGGTAGAGAAAGGCGACCCAGAAGGCTGGACGCGAGAACATAACCTGTGGTACATACAAGAAGAGATGAAGCGCGAGGAACAGGTAACCGCAGCATTTACCTCACTCAAAGAGAAGCTTGAACAAGGCAAGAAAGTACCTATCCAAAGCCCTTACTTAGGCCCTTTATCTTATTAAGGTTACTGGAGATTACATTCCAGTCAGGCCTACACAAAGTACTTCTTGCCCAAGATCGATAACATGGACTTTGCAGAATGGGACGAACCCACAGACCCAGCTCACAAGATGAATTTCTACGACCCGAGTTGTCGGACCGCTGATAATCCTCTCTATAAAATGCGCGACATGCAGCCTAGCTTTGGCGACATCGATATAGATTGTGGTGGGGCGGAACTGAGGGGATCCCTGAAGAAATTTACCTGGCCCGAGTACGCATCACTCGACCCCATCATTGTCAAAACGACAGGCAGGTCCAGGAGGTTGAAGATGTGGTTCACAGGCGATGGATTCATGCGCATGGAACTCCTCATGGGCTCTAAAGATGATTTTAGAAACGAATGCGGGGTACCGGTAATATGGTCCGGCATAGAGATGACTGAATTTCGCAGTCAGGAGGAGGCGAAGGAGTGGAGGGCAGAGAGAAAGGCTATGGAAGAGGAAGAAGAAAAAGAACGAAAAGCGGCACTTGTGGCCGCAGAAAAAAAGAAACAAGAAGAAAGGGCTAAAGACGAGGCAGCCAGACTCGCCAGAGAAAAAGAGAGGAAGAAGATATTGGCCAGGTTGCGGGAAATGCGCGATGCTGGCGAGATTACCAAGACGGAAGAGCGGCAGATGTATCTCGAGGAAATGGAAGAATACGATTACAAACAGCTCACTGACGTCGATACGGATGACGACGATGATGACGAAGACGACGACGATGATGAAGACGACGATGAAGACGATGAAGACGATGAAGACGATGAGTCACCCGAGCCACCACAATCTCCCTTGTCCTCGTCGGGACAGGAAGATTGGTCGAGTTCGGAGGAATCAGATGGAGAATAACTAGCGAAATAGAAACGATATTGACGTTTGAAAAGGCCGCAGGGCAGGACGTGAAAGTCAGGATAGCACCACCATCCTGTGTAGTCGAGATACGGATTGACGGAAAGGAGCTTATGCTTTTTGCCTCTACATACAATACGTGATATTGCCAGGGAGATCTATGCAATATAATGGCTTGGACGAGGTCACCGCCAGAAAACCCTCATCATGTACGCTTGTGAACATTACACACTCCTGCATAGTCGCCGTCATCATATTAAACCCAACACACGCACTACTACACACTTGCACATACACAACAACATGTGAAGTGTTCATAATAAATATCATTCACTACTGTTATCCCAAAGCAACTATGAAGCTCCTTCTCTTATGTCATGCCGCAATCATGTCTAATGCATACACTTCATCTCATCCTATCCGATGCGCTGGCATCGCAGTCCTCTCATAAAAGCATAAAATCAACGGGGGGCGCTGAACGCAAGAAGGGGTATCAAAGGTCCAACCCAGAAAGAAGAAGAAGAAGAAGCAAAAAGAGAACTATGTTAAAAGACGGGTTGGTCAGTAAGTAGAAGAAGAATGTGAAGAAAACGCTTAAAATTCAAGGCCGAGCCAAGGCAAGAAAGAAGGGAGGGAAGAAAAAACCCGCATCCGCCATCTAAACCCGCAAGATTTGAAAAGAGGCAAAATAGTTCCATCGTATTCCTGTTCAACTGTGTCGTGTCCCCATGTGGCGTGGCCCCACCGAACAGGTTTCCAGTTTCTCCAAGTTTCACAAAACCACATACACGACCGCACTTCGGGAACAAGCGCGTTTCAGGACCACCCGCCTACCCGCCTTGCCAAGAAATACGGGCCCGCCTACCGCCCTCCTCCTACAAAACGTGACCCCTCGTCTTGCGCGTGTCGAGTTATCGTATTGTGTCGTGTCGACGCCAAACGCCGTTTCGTCAAGTGTCACCTTGGCAGGGCAAAGAAGGGAAGGAAACTCCACTTTCATGTCTGACGTTTTCACGCCCGACAAATTCCGGCGCGCATACATGTTCCGCGTTGAATCTAATGCCCGAGTAAGGGTATTTGTCCGTGAGTGTTCCAGAAGCCACACGGACGGCTTCGGAGAAAAACGGAGTGAAAGGGGAGGTGGTATCCTGGTTAGTCATTGTCTTTTTACTGTCTACCACCCCCCAGCAGGTTCCAAACGCCGCGTTTGCGTCTGGAAGTAGCCGTCGAAGACGCTGAGCTCGGGCTTCCTTGCTTGCGTCGGTGGGGGCGCAGGGTGCTCTGAGATATCGACTAGCGTTGCCGTGTTATTGTTGCCGTTGCTGCTGCCGTTATTGTTAATGCCTAGCGAGGCAGCGGCCTGACCGCTGTAGCCCCCGGAGTCAAGGCTGCGTCGCCGGCCGCCAGTTGCACGACCGCTGTTCAAGCTGTTGAGCACGGACGTCATCTTAATGCGTTCTTTGGGACGGGGCAGCAACATCTTCTCGATGAGTGTGAGCCATTCGGCTTCGGCCTTGAGTTGGCGCAGTTTGCGGCCAGACCCGATGAGCCCGTTGCGTAGATGCGATGTTGTGGCTGCGTGCAGTCTGTTGCGCCAACTGGCGACACGGTCGAGGTGCTGGTGGTAGGATGCATCATCTGTATTCGCGGATCTGTATTGCGCGAATACGGAGAGGGATTGCCCCTGGGCTACTGTCATCATGGAGAGGAATACGCAGCCAAGGGAGAATACGTCGGCCATGCGCTTGCCCCGTGATACAATGGTCTCGGGCGCAGCGTATACGTAAGATTGATCCTGGAAGTATGCGTGCAACTGATCCATATGCTGCGAGTTTGCCGTTATGGGGCTGAATGTATCGATGTTTTGCCCGATATCGAATGGTGCTAGAAAGATGCGGGCACCGTCTATCAGAATCTTGCGCGGCCGGATGCTGCGGTGGCAGATGGACTGCGAATGAAGATACTCAAGTGCAGAAGAGAGGTCGTGCATCCAGTCGACCAGCATCTTGGATCGGTTTGAATCGCTGCCGGGAAGAGCTAGGAACTCGTCTAGGGTGTATTGTGCCTTTTCTGTCACGATACCTACGTGGCTGGGTTGTGAATATGAACAGAGCAGCTTGGCAATATTCTTGTGATCGTACTGCTTGAACTTGTTCACCTGGTCCAGCAATGCAGCTTTCTGCGTCTGGCGAGCGATGACGAATCGCTTTCGCACCAAGACACGGTCATCGCTGCTACCTTGCATCCGAACTCGATCAACGCTCTTTTCAGAGTTGCGAGATGATCGGATCAGACCTTGATGCACTAGTGGGACTGTCTCACGTGCGGTGTATTCGACATGGGCTCCGTTCAACGGGAGTTCCTTGGAGGTAGCGCGCCACTGCTCCTCTACAATCTTTCGTGCATTTCCCACGATGCCCTGTAGACGATCCTCTGGGAATGGCAGGCTCTCGTCACGAAGATCGAAAAAGGATGCCTGTCGCCACGAAGCAACATCGTCGCATACATATAAGAGAATGGCAAGCCTGGGATTCGACAGAGTCCACTGCCATATCTTCTTGACCAGTCCAGCATCCCAACCTTGCTTTCGAACATGCTCGTATAACCACCCAGAAAGAGACTGTCCTTGGGAAGACAAGATGGATGTGTTGATGAAGCCGTTCACCAAAGGCACGAGAGGAGGAGCTGGCTGTCGGTACGGGTTCATGGGCGAGCCCGGATAATCACCATTCCTAAACGACTCACCGGAAGTCGATGGGGGTGGAGACAAGGGCGCAAATCCTGCTACCGGATTGATTACCCTTATTGGCTGGGGAGCAATAGGCGTCGTTGACCGACTCGTGTACTGCGGGGTATGATTTGGGCTGCCATCTGGTGACGACGAGTCTATTGACTTGCTGGAATACGTAGAGCTTGGGCTAGCCATGACATTTGACCACGGGTTGTTGTTCGTAGTCGTCGGAGTCGCGCTTCGACTAGTGCAAGACGAAGCCGACGAGGCTGTTGGAGATGGCGGCCCGCGGTTCTTATAATTCCATGACTGGTCGGCCTGGAGGTTGACCATGGAAATGGTATGTTGCAGACTAAATTGCGGTTTGGGGTGCTCGAGAGCAGTTGTTCGCCATGGTGAGTTTGAAGCGTGTTGCATTGCGGCGGGGGTACGAGAATTCAAGTCGGATAGACAGCACGTGACCAACGTGGGCACTGGAGATGGCAAAGGACAAGTGATTGCAGAACTGAGGTTATGGGCTGGCGCAAGCCCGTGACAAGGACAAAAGCAAACAAGGAGTGTCAGCTAAAGAGAGTGAGGAACGAGAGAGCTAGATAGAAGAAGAGTTGGGTCCAGGGAGCTGTCGGGCTCGACCGCGTCTACACCCGTGACTGGCCAAAATAAAGCTGCTCTCAGCACAGTCTAGAGGCTGTTGATGTGCTGGCAATTACTTGTCCGCATTTTGCAACACATTAGTGGAGGGCGATAGTATATGGCATTCCACAGTGGGTGTACGTGTTGGGCGAATGCGCTGGGCACGAGCACACCCATGTGGTTTAGTTGTATGCAGGCGAACGTGGCCACCTCAGAGTCGCCTTCTGGATCAAAGGCGTATCATATGCATATGTTCGCAGCCATACCTTCCCGTATGGTGCCAGATCATCTGGTAAACTGGCATTGTGCGCGCGATCGGTCCCGGAGCCAGTAGGCACTGTAAGGAAGGTCACTTGGTACTCGCAGTGTTGCGCTGAAGCTTGAAAAAAGCTGCCAAAGTGGGGAAGATTTCATCGCGTCGGGAAATCAGCGCCACCAAACAACGTCGTGGGAAACGCGCAAGGCGTCAGTTTGAACATGTGGAGACTATGCAGCGACATGAATACCCAAGATGAATACCTACGGTAAGTATCGCTCAGGTCGGGAGCGCTTTCGGGAGATTCGGATTCGGATGAGCCCAAGGTTTCGTGTCACGCGCTCACCGTATCTTCTGGGCGGCTGCCGGGCGCAGGGAATAATCCATCTCCATGTGGCGCCGGGAGTGACGTGCGTCGACAACAAGGGCGGCTGGAGAGAGGGTCTATTTGTGGCTTGTCAGAGATGCCGTCACCGTATGTAATATGTGCAGGTTGTTCAGGTGCACAAGATACGTGTACACGTGATCATGTGCATAGAGCCACGTGACCATGCATACCAGAAGACTCGACCAAATGGCGGGAACTAGCACAAGCGTCAAAATCTCACGATGCTCGGCATCATCTTACTCAACGAGCGCTGGTGCTAGCAATAACCTGAGCGTTAGGGCGTATTCCGGCATTGAAATGCTTGGTAAGCTCAAATGACAGCGGGCAGTTGTGTGTCAAAATTGCTTGTTCACGAGAAGCAGCAGCCAAGCGTGAAACTACAGTCACGACTACGAGGTGAGAGTGGCGTCGGAGAGGCTGAAGTTGTGCCGGGAAAAGCGGCAGGAGGTGCCCATTGGCCCGCCATGCCATATCACGTGACGCGTTAGCGTACATCTGAAGCGCCCCTAGTTTTAGCATCGTCACTCGACACCAGACCTCAACACCAATTGTCTCAAGGGGCCCGGCATCTTCATGCCCTGTGCGTCTCCACTCCCGAACGGTTCGATCTCCACGTCGAGGTTCGGTTGGCCTCTGCCCATTGCGGCTCCAATGTACTAATTTGAGCTAATCCATGGCCCCTGGAGCATGAACGCATAGCACATTGTTGTGCCACCTGTCACAGCCTCAAGCAGCGTGCGTCTCATACTCTGTTATGGAGCTTCCGGCCAGGCTTGGTGCTGCTTTGTGAGTCTTATGGACCACCCAGGACACGCCATTTTGTAAGCCCACTTGGTCCGATCGACCCGCCGACGCGCTCCATTGACCGCGTTTCTTCATGCTGGCATCTCCCATTTCTATAATCTAATCTAATTTGCGCTGCTAATGATACTGCCTCTGTCGGTTTCCGTTCAGTAGTGATTGACTTTTGTACCCGTTACCGTCGTTCTTTTCTTCAACGCCACTCACTACCTTAGTACGCTGCTGGGCAGCCCGGCTCCTACTACCTTCTCACTACCGACTTTAATACTTCGGGTTACTAATACAACCTCGACAATGCTTTTCAAGAGTGCCCTAGTAGGCACCCTGCTCGCGGCTGGACACGCAGCAGCTTTCAAGGGCCCGGAGCTCAACGCCCGTCTTCAGCCAGCCCAAGATGTAGAGTCGATACTTCGTCGCGACGCCGAGATGATGGCAACACTCACCCAACGACAAAACGCAAACTCGGCCGACACAGCGCCTCTGGCATCACTGACACCCGCCACGGGCGACGCCTCAGCTGCCAACTTGGTCAAGTGGGAAGAGCAGACCAAGGCAGCGTGTATGGCGACACTGGCCAACCTCAATGGCCAAGCGTCCAACCCAAGTGGCATTGCCGTGTGCTACAACCTGCCGTTCTTGGACAGCAAGACTGGTGTCTTCCAGGCAGAGCTTCGAATGTACAACGTATCAGCTCCCATCAACCCTTGGCTTGGTGTCACCGCCGCCGACGTCAGCATGACACTATCCTATCTCGGTGCAACTGTACAAAACATGCAGGGAAACGTCACCAAGCGTGATCTTAGCGCGCCAATCGTGGATGGTCAGCTAGTCGAGAAGACTGTGAAGAGGCAGAACATCAATGGCATGCAGGAACTCAAGGTCCTCATGTATGTTGGAAGGATCAACGACAACCTGATGGGTTCAGCCATGACCCAGTAAGTCGACCTACTCCTAGTCATGTAACTCAGCCGCTAACATTGCCTCAGAGAGTCTCTCAAGCCCCTTCTTATCCCGCAAATCGACCTCGCCGCAAAGAACCCGGTTACTGGCCAAGACGTTGAAACCACCCTATCTTCCCAGGAGGCATCTTTCGTCAACGGTATCTTCTCCAGGGCAGGCACTGCCCCCACTAACGCAGACCCTGAAGCTGCAGCATCCGCATCCGCCGCTGTGGCCTCCACCGACCCCTTTGTCGTCCCCGGAACCTCATTGGCCTTCTTCCCAATCGGTCTTGTCGTCACCTCCACATGGGCCTTTTTCTTCATCACGGCCGTTGGTTTCGGAACATTTGGTCGCATTCAATACCGTGACCAGTATAGGAGACGTGTAAGAGCAGAGTCAGCGCGCGGTGTTCGCACCATCTAATATCAGCTTCGAGAGTCGTTTTGTCGTTTGCCGTTTTCTCTTCCTTTTTACACGAGGTAGTAGTATCTCAGGGTTAGATTACCATGAAGATTACGTTCGCTCCGATACCCCTTCCCTTTTACATCCTGTACATAATTCTGGTCGGCTATGGGGTTTGCTCCACCCACCATATCATCATCTTCCTCAAAATCTAAACATCCCGGCGATGGAGTGCACCTGTGTGTCTCGGATTGCGCAGTAGGAGATAAAACAGTATAAGTTAGCAAAACAATGGAAACAATCAGTATTTGTCAAATCTTTTTTTGTTCCTTTCTCGTCACGTTTTTCGTTGTGCTTGAGCGCTTTTTTTCTGATCTTTTCTGAGCTTGCAACCCATATCACGTCGCAGCCGCCGCTAGTTGCGTGGTACACAGTACGCACGCGCTCCCGTTTCAATCAGCAGGACTGGCTTCTGATCCGCGCCAGCCATATCTAGGTCGCTGCTTGCAACGCTTCCCATAACAAGCGGCTGCCGAACCTAGGAGGTCCTATCAAGTCCGAAGAGATGATTGGCTTTAGATGGCGCAAGTCAACGACGATGCCTTCATAGCCGCGCTTTGGAAAGGTGAGGTCGTTGGCTCTATATATTTGTCCTTTTATATGAGCCCGACCAAGATCTGTAGACGAATGCCCAGGCGGCTATGCTTTGTACTCTGCAGTCTGTTCCAGCACCCGCACTAATAACTAATACCGGCAACGTTTGCGATGCACTCATTTTCATTTTGAGCTCGTCGCTTTCACGGGTACGTGGCAATTTTTACTGTGACGACATAGCCTCGAGATTCGCTGAATTACTCAGGGTCCAGTTTGCAGTTTGATTGCTCGCAAACACTAGCCGATCACGAGTCCGCCTTCACTGCGCCAACAACACGTCCGCGCCCTACGCCCATACACTTCCATCACCGCTATTACTACAGCAAGTAGAATATCCAGCGACTCCTTCTCTTGCGCAGCGGTCTCCAATTTCGATAACCAACACTCGTTCACCTACCTTGTTGACCACAAAAACAACAACAACAACACCCTACCTCATCATCAACCATGAAATTCCTCACCCTTACATTCATCCTTACGCTCGCCACCACCGCCCTTGCAGCCGCCGTCGTCAAACCCCTCAACACCGCCTTCTCCATCGTAGTCCGTGACGCAAACTGTGACGCCTGCTTCGAGCAGTACAAGTTCTGCCAGCGAGTAGGGAACCCCATTTGGTCAACTCCAGAAGAACCTATACTAACGATCCTCCCCTCAGAACGGCCATACAGATGGCGAAGAAGGCTGTAACCAGACCTGCGCCGAGCACGTCTGCCATATGAACCGGTATGACGGCGCCGACCCGCGTGAGGTACGTTATCAACCCATTTCTTGTCCCGTGGCCCGCGAATTTATTTCATGATGACGAGTTCAAGCTAACGGTTTGACTGTATAGTGCAGGGGCTGTGGTGGAGCCTTCGACATGTGTCCTGAGAAGTCCCGCTACATCTAGTCAGCTTCACTTTCCAACCTTTTGCAGGATATTTCACCGTTCGGGACAACGGGTTGAGGTATTTGTGTCAAAAGGCAAGATGACGTGGGCGACCGGTCGTATGATGATGTGGAAATTGGAACTGCGGTATTTGATATCTTGTCCTGAGGCAGACTAGTCCTCGGTCGGTCCTAAGGCATTTATCATTTCGATGACCGGGGTCTTTTCTTCTTCAATTTGATATACCGATTTGCATTTACTTGCATACATAGGTCATGGGATCTGGTTTAGTGAGACAATGGACTCCACAGTAGAATTCGGTCTTTTTGTAGTTGACTACAATTTGCCTTTTACAGTTGCCCACTCGCCCTTGTCAACCCTAGCACACATGTCCTTGAGTGTTGTAGCTGCCCACTCAAAGTCCTTCATCTCGAGATACGCTTGCGCGCTTAGTCTGGTCCACCACTTGCCTCCATACCATTGAATCATGATAAATGTACCATATTCGTCGCTGCTGAGCTTCTTCATCCAGTCGCGCACCAAGATGCCAGCATCATCCTTGTTGATACCGCTCTGCGCTGCGACGTCGTGAACACGCGAGATGGAGATGGGAAGCCGGACGTTGGACATGCAGCATTGGCCCAGGGTGCCAGTACTGTTTTCTAAAACCTCTGTACCGAGAACTTGAGCGACGTGTTTTCCCGCTTTGCGAGCGACATCATGGCAGTATGACATGATTGCCTTTTCGCCGCCGAGGGACTCGCGCCATTTCAATGCTGCAGGGACGCATAGGTAGGGGCTGTTGTCAATCGTACCCACGAATTCGAAGTTGGCAATGAAAGGCGTTTTTTCCACGCTGAAAGCGGTTGGCATGGTGACTGCGGATTGTTCGGAGGCGTTATCCTCGACACCTGGCTGGGCTTGGGCCTGCGACGACGAAATCTTCGGTGGGAATGGCGATTCGAATGTTGAGCTTGCGGGGGTAAACCCCCATGATGTGGGCAGAGTGCTGCGGATGAGATGTTGGTTCCGATGAGCGACATGGAAAACCGCACAGCCACGCGGAACATATAGCCACCTAGATTCAGGTCAGCACCTCCTCGGGAGTGGCTATGATGAGCAGAGATGTAAGGCGTCGTACTTGTGACAGTTACTAACGAAGAAATCTGGATCCAAAGACCCGAGATCAATCTCAACATGGCCAACACCATGCGCCCCATCAATGCAACTCATGACCCCCAGCTCCTTACACTTCTGCGTCAAGCGTTCAAACGGTACCCTCACGCCGGGCATACTAACCACGGTATCAAAGACCGCGATTTTGACTCGTCCGCCCTTGCTCTCCACCTCCTTCACCTTTCTCTCAAACTCTTCGACTAACCAGTCATCTTCCACGGGGTACGTGTACTCGATGCACACGCTCTCCGCGGGAGACTTTTCAGTAACATACGAGACCGTCTTACCACAGGCACCATAGATGGTGGTAAAAGTGAGAATGTGGTCTCCAGGGACGAAAGTGAGGTTACGGAGTACGGTATTTATACCCGTGGTAGCGTTGGGGACGAATACAATGGTTGAAGCAGGTGTTTTGAGAAGCTGTCATATTGTTAGTGATGTTTTTGCAGTACGTGAATATGACATGGGGTTTAGTATGGAGTAGCGAGACTCATAGGAGAATGTAAATACGCACCTTTGCTATCGCCTCTCGAGCTTCATCAAGATAACCTGAGTACTTGTAGATGATGAAGGTATCGGGTTGTGCTTCGCATTCGTCCTGGAATGCGCGCATGGTATCACGGATGACACGAGGATAGGTTCCAAATGAGCCTTTCTGCTATCAACGTCTGTACATGGAGACGATATCGGATGAAAGCAAGGGCGTAGGTATTGTCGTAGGAGTCATACATACCATGGTTCAAATTCAAATGTCCCTTGCCAAACAAGAACTCCTTATCTCTCAACTCCTTCCCAAACTTGACACCATCCTTTGTCGTAGCCTGCACCACCGCACTCGCGTCAGAAGTAGTACCTTTCAAATCTGACGTCATGATTGTGGAATTGAAAACGAGGCTATACGAAACATTGAATGATGGTTGCGGCTTCCACCATTTATACACAACAATACAAATTCGTGACTCAAAGCATCAGTGACTCAGTGCCATGTTCGCAAGATGTTTTCGGTAAACAGCTACACATTTGGCTGGTAGGGCGTGGAGGCGTCGGCATTACATGTGGTCCAATCGGAGAAGGTGGGGAAGTGGGTTGAGATAGGAATAGTTTTGTGGGGCAAGCTGAAGCTAAATACCCTTTTTGGGCTTTACAATACAGTAGCTATGCGTCACCCAACATACATGGGATGGGAATGGCACCATCTGTGCTGAGTTTCCACGTTATGCATTGCGTTGAATCTACAAACGCGCAGGAAATATCGTTCCTTCCAACGAAGCATTTTCCACAGGTTTGGTAGCCGCTACCTTTGCAGCCGCAGTACCTGCCCTTCGTCCAAACACCGCGCCTGAAGTTAACCCACTACCTCCAGGATAGTTACCGTAGAACAATCCACCTAACATTTCGCCAGCGCAAAAGAGACCCAAGATCTCCTTCTCACTCGAGGTAATAACAGCCGTCGTCTCAGGATTAACAGCCAGCCCACCAAACGTAAACGTGATACCACAGCACACCTTCACAGCCATAAAAGGGCCCTGATCAAGCGGTAATGCCCAATTTGATTTTGCCAATGCCAATTTCTTCAGCCGAGACTGCGTGGATAGGCCATCTTTTACTGCAGGATCCCATTTCCTCTCTGGATTTTCTTTTTGAGACGCATACACGGCGTCGTTATACTCTTTTATCATCTCGACAAAGGCTACTGGGGCATCCAGTCCCGCGCTCCATGCGAGCTCCTGCGCCAACTCCTCAATCGTAGCACCCCAAATCTTATGTACACGCTCATCACGATACTCTTCATCGCGCAACCACGGAATCGCGCGCTGATCGTAGACCTGAAAAGCTACTCCGTCCGGTTGCTCATGGATAGCGCGTCCGAACTTTGCATACGTATAGTTGCGCATATCAAAACCTTCATCGACGAACCGCACGCCATGTTTGTTAATCATTAGACCAAGCGGGTAACCAGATTTTGTAAACTCGTTTGAAACTGTACGGTCCCCGCTGTTTGCAGGGGCGTTGGCGTCCCAGCAGGTGGAATGGCAGCCAGACCAGTTGCCAGCTTGTTTGGCGTTGACGTCGCGAATGGCGAATTCGAGCACTTCGCCTGTGTTGAATGGGGTGCCGCGGACTCGTGCAATGTCCCAGTTTGGACCTAGGTACTGGGAACGCATGCGTGGGTTTGCTTCAAAGCCTCCTGCTGCTAGGATTACGGCGTTGGTGTTTATGAGTGTGTCTACGCTCTTGTACTCTAACAGGACTCCTGTGACGGCGCCGGATGGGGAGGTGATGATGCGCTTGGCGGGTGTGGAGTAATACACTTCGATGCCGTGTCGTTGAGCTGAAGCTTGGTGATCTGCAATGAGTCCCTTTCCGCCATCCTCAGTCATGAGCGACATGCCGCCCCAGAACTTGAAGCGGCCATTAACCTTGTACGCCTGACGATTGAAAGATAGCTGAAACCTGATACTGTTCTTTGCAAGCCATTTCACTGTATCGTTGGAGTCGTCGATCAATGCCTGGTTCAATGCTGGATCTGACCGCCCTAGACACACACGATCCATATCCTTTCGAAAATCCTCCTTGGTATACGGCGCCATGTCGATGAGTTTTGATGTCTCAGGATCTACATTGTTGACAATAGGTAGTAGATCTTGCATGCCATTATGAACTGTTCGGAAAGCACCAGCTGTGAAATAACTGTTTCCGCCAGCCCATTCTTTTGGTGCTTTTTCAACGAGTACCACCCGATGTGCTCCAGCCTCTACAGCTGCAATGGCAGCGCAGAATCCTGCGTTACCGCCACCAATGACAAGTACATCGACGTTTGGGGGAGAGGTGAGCGATGCCATGTCGCGGGGATACGAAACTGAACGATGATGACAGAGGCTGATAGTTCATACGATGCTGTGGCGGAAGAAAAGTTTTCATGAAGAGCGAAGCTTGCAGATCCCAGTTGAGCCTACTATAAGTTGACGGGTGACTTTTGGGTATCCCCGCAACGGAGACTTATACCCGCGGCAGCTGGCCCGCGGGAGCAGGGAGCAGGGGATGTTGCCGACGGAGCTAGTGCAGGCTAGCTATCATGTAGTAGTCCGTCGCTATATCTGAAATTCGGATATAAGTAATGTCGAGACTAAAGTCGCACTGTAATGTAGAGGGGCCTTCTACTCGTGTTTTCCCAAGTTCGATGTACATATAAAGCTAGAGTTCCTGTTGACATTAGCGCGATTTATATCACGCGGCAAGGCACCAGTACATAGCTCCCAACATTCAGTTTTGTATTAGGAGCTATCTTCAGTCTACCAAACTTTCGTTGGGTGACTTCTCGTCTTGCTGGACCGACCTCTTTCAAGCGTCCTATCCGACCTGTACTAGGTCTGCATACGTAGAGCATTCCCATGACTCTCTAGATAAAGATTCTGATGTACGCAGATGTTCGAGCCAGTGGCAACTCATGTGGGCGAGTGAGAATACAACAAGGAATAGGTTCATTCTCATCTTCTCGCTGATCAATGGTCCAGCAAGTTGATGAGGAAGAACCGGGTATCAATAAACAATCAACGCCATGCAGTAGCTCTACCCTATTTATCTTTTTCTCGTTCGTTTTGGCGCCGCTTTAGGTTTTGCACGATTCGCTCGTCGAGTGATAGGCGCGCTGTCTTGTTCAGACTCGACACTAGATTCCTCGTCATCATCATGCTCATCCTCTTCCTCGGCAGACTCAGACACGGTGCTCTGAGCTTTTGTGTTCTTTGCAGTATTAGCTCCAGCCTTGGTACCTTTTCCGGTCTTGGCTGTTCGAGCTCCTTTGGCACCCTTTGCATTCCTAGGGGTGGGTGTGGCTTCGGCTACGCTCTCTGCTTTTTGACTGCGCACGCTATCAGGCAGGTCGTTGAGCAGGCCGATGCCTGGAGCGTAAAGGTCTTTGTATTCATCGACTGGAACCATGGCCGGTGAAGAGGCAGCGGCTGAGGATTCGCGGTGGAAGCGTCTCAGCCACATCATCTCACCGAACTCGTCTTCAGGGAGCTCAAATTCGGGCATGAGAGCGGCATCCTCGGGGTTTAGAGGGTCGGGTTCTTCGGCAAAGGCGAATTCGTTCTCGCGCGTATCGAGGGCGTCTAGATCATACAACTGCCACAATTTCTTCCATATACCGGGAATACGTGTGTGAGGTGCATCATCGCTCGCGAAACCATGTGAGCGCATGTCGGTATGAATACTGATGATGCGAAAGTGCTTGTGCATGCCTGGACATGAACATGTTAATTAGTCATGCATGAGTTGCTGACGTAACAGCATACCTGTTGGCTTCCACTTCATCATGCTCTTCATAAGCTGCGTTTCCTGCTCGTCGGCCCAGGGATCATTGAGCAGGTCATCGTGCAGCTGTGCAAGGCCAGAATCTTGCGGTGTCTTGGGCTGCGTGTCGCGTAACGGTGTTGAAGCTGCGGAAGCTGCACTTGCCTTTGCCTTCTTGCGGGGCGGCATAGCTGGGGGCGAGTGAATTGATAGTGGTGAATGGGAGTGGAAGAAGTGGGCAAGTCGCGCAACCAGGTACCGACGGGGACTGGTGACGGAAGTTGCAGGGGTTCGCGTAAGGCTGAAGGGTTTGGGCGCGTCATACCCCACACCCTCACCCACGCATCTCTACTTGCACCGCAATGGAGGCAGATGACTCGATATACAATGTCAATGTGTTCAGTACAGATGACCTATGGCGACAGCCTACTTCTTTTGAAGATGCCGACACGCGCGAGTCTTTCCTGTTTGCCCCGCTGGAGCTAGATAGTGAGCCGTCGCGTCTTCAACAAACATGTGAACGCGTCAATTGACCAACCCCGCAGTCTCATCAATCAAGTTCGACCACCCCTATGCCCCAAAACACACTCTCGAACGCGAACTGCGACTTCCCGACTTAGATACATTTGAGTTTGGGCCCCTACCCGACCTTGAGAGTCTTGATGGGTCCACCATTTCCATCGACACTCTTCCGCTAGAGCCCGAGGAAGACGTCTGGGAGACAGCTCGTAAACAAGGGCCTGCAAACAAACATGTCTTGTTTTACACATGGCAATCTTTCGAAAAGGGTGAACATTTAGACAGCCCCACGCCATTCTTGACTGAGCGGGGTCCCGAAGTCTTCGATGCGACACTGGTACGCCATGAGGAATCCGATAATGACAAGCCCCGTGCTGGCCGAATACTCAAAGGACACGTGCTCTTGCAATCACTCTGGAATCTCGGTTTGGCTCGCTCTTCTATACTCTTTCGTTTCAATCCCAAGCTGAAGACATTTGAGTCCGCGGTACCGGATGGACGAGCATCGGGTCTGACTCTACTCGCCGCCCAGAGCTTGACCATGTACTTTATACACATCGGCAGCACTTTTCTGTATCTACGCTCCTTTGCAGAGCGAACCTTTTCCTCGGCTACAGCTATTGCTGCCAAGGTTGCATTGGCTACTTCGGTGTCAAGCGTCTTGTCCAGCTTGGAAGACACACTGGGGAAACAGTCTGCAGAGATACGCTCTCTTTTGCAGTTACAGCATCAGTTTGCACGGCCCCGTGAGATCCTGATGCATGTTGCTCGTATGGTGGATGCTGCCAAACATGCCAAAACCAATGAGCAACTCTCTTCCATTCTGCATCATCGTCTCCTAGAGCTGGAAGAAGGAGATGAGCATCTCCGTCAATTATCATGCCAAGTGCTTTGTCAGGTTGCCAGGCCCAGCCTAGAGTTGCTTGGTGAGTGGATGGGAATACGAAAAGAAGACGAATCTGCGCCTATCTGGCAAAGGAATAGTTTCGTGGCGGTCGAAGACCCTACGGTCGACCCTCCCTCATTCGAATATTCCTATAAGTCCGAAATGATGCCTAGATTTATCTCTCCGGAAGATGGAAATACGATATTTGAGACTGGCAACAGTCTTCGTTTCTTGAAGACGCAACATCCACAGCATCCATTGGCTCGTCTGGATGGATTGGCTGTTCAGCCTCCAGATATGGAGTGGGGCTTTGCATGGCAGGACATTGAGACATTGTCTTCCAAAGCAAAAGCTTACGAGGAAAGGTTGAGGCGGGCACTGCTGGCCTACAGTGCACGTACAACCGACGTTGCTGATGCTCTCCCTATGCCATCTGTACCAGAGCCTGTGTCAGAGCTTCCAGTTGAAACTCAGCATCTTGATCGTTACTTTGAGGATTCCATTGAGAGCATGAATGCGCCACCCAAGTGGGCCGCACAAACTTTACCAGATGAGCTTCAGCTTCTGGTGGGAAGCATACTAAACACCACAGAAGAGAAAAATGCCCCTTTCAACACATTCTCTCCGCCCATGTCACTGGCATCCACTCTCTCATTTCGTCCACTCATCACTGCACAGGCGAAGCTAGTCAATGCAGCTACCGTCCGTCTATTCTTCCGCTCGCATCAATTACGGCTCCATCTTTCGCTTCAACGGCAATACCACCTTCTCGGCGACGGCGTATTCTCCTCGCTATTAGCAACCGCTCTGTTTGACCCCAATCGGGAGAGCGCCGAACGCCACAAAGGAAGGATGCGTAGCGGAGTACAAATGGGTCTTCAGCTAGGCTCCCGAAAATCATGGCCACCAGCAAGCTCAGAGCTTCGACTCGCCCTCCGAGGCGTCCTCAGCGAAAGCTACTATTCCTCGGCCCTCTACCAGACCACGTTAACAGCCGGCGTCGCCAAACCACCAAGTACTCCCCTTCTAAACAGCAGAGACAACGACGAACTCCCCGGTCAACTCAACTTCGCCATCCGCAACCTCACTGAAGCCGAACAAGAAAAAGTAATGGACCCAGACGCCCTCCATGCCCTAGACTTCCTCCGCCTCCAATACGTTGCCCCCACACCCCTGAACCTCGTCATCACAACCTCCGCCCTCGATAAATACGACTACATATTTAAATTCCTCCTCCGCCTCCTCCGCATGCTCTTCGTAGTCGCTCACCTCCCTCGCTCATACACCGACACGGCGTCCCGCCAATTCAGAGCAGAAGCCTACCACTTCGTCATCACGCTCACAAACTACGTTTTTCAAACCGGCATCGCGGAACCATGGGCGGACTTTGACGCCTTTGTCGCAACCGTCGAACGCCGCCTCAACGAAGAAGACGAAGCGCGCGAACTAGGCGTTAGAGTAACACAGGGTGTTTCTTCCCTCCGCGACGCCCACGAAGCCTGTCTCGATAGCATTCTCTTCGCCCTCTTGTTGCGGAAGCGTCAGCGCAAGATCATGGGCCTCGTCGAAGAGGTGTTTGAGCATATTTTACTGTTTGCCAAGATGCAGAATGCGGGGGCGCAGGAGGAGAGGTTTGGCGATGAGACGGTCAAGGGGTTGTATGCCAAGTTGAGGGGCAAAGTTAGGGTATTTTTGAGTGTTTGTCGCGGGTTGACAGGGAAACAGGGATATGGGGTGGGGAGGGGGACAAGGGAGGAGAATCAGATGGAGAGGTTGGTTGTGGGTATGGAGATGAATGGATATTTTGCCGCGTCTTAGTGCGTGTACGAGCAAGTTCGAATTAGATAGCTTGAATGGCAATGTATATACATGCCTCGACATTAATGTCTAGTGGCACATCAGATGGTATATCAACAATCCATGCAAACATTCATAATACTCTTACTGCTTTGTCCCCATGAGTCCCCCAGGAGGATACTCGGGCTTCCCATCCGGCCCCAAGTTCTCCTCCCCACTCGACCCCGTCCTAGCCGTAGGCTTAGTCTCCGTAACCGGTCTCGTCGGCTCACCCACGCCCTGCGGCTCCGGTGGCGTCTTCGTCCCCGGCCCTCCTCGCTTCTGCCAATCAAGCCACGAGCCGCGGTACTCTCCCACATTTACATATCTGTTGAAAAAGGCGTTAGCTGTTGGCCCTCTACACATCCATCTAGCCCTCCATCCCCTTTCCCAGTAAAAGGACACACATAGAGAGACGGAGACTTACCCAGCCTGTCTAGCAATCCCAGCAGCAGCCCTACTCCTCACCCCCGCCTTACAAAAAAACACAACTTCCTTCCCCCTCGGCGGCTTCTCAAACCCAAACTGCTCTCTGAACTCTTCCTCTGGCAGTAGTAGCGCATCCGGGTGCGATGTCACTGGTATATTAATCGCCGTCGGGATACTGTTTGCGTCGTATTCATGGGGTTCACGGACGTCGATTAGGAGGCGGGAGTCTGAGGGGTGTTCGAGTATGTGGAGCACCTTTTTTGAGGGGTTAGATGGATAAGTCAGGGTGAGGGGAAGGAGGGGTGTATACATCGTCGAATTCGTAGAGTTTGTTTTCCGTCGAGCTGGGGCTGGAGCGGAGGGAGCGGGGGGATGGGTGGAAGTGCCGTGTTTGTGTTATTTGTAATGGGTTGGTTATAAGGAACGTGGGTTCTGTATTGCACCACGAATGAATGCTTTTCTTTTGCGCGAATGGAGAGCCGCCGTGTACTGCTTGTGAGCCGACGATTCTGGATAAGAGGTCTGGTTGACGGCCGATGACGGAGGTTTGCGATCGGGGGGTGGAGCTCAGGAGTTTGAGAAAGTGTTTTGAGGACATAGTTGCGATTTAGACCGGAAAAGAGTTCGTATGTGGTTCCTCCTTGGAGTTATCGTGGCGGGACTTCCGTGGTTAGAAGGTTGGTAGGTTGTAATAGTGTCTATCAGTAAAGATGCCGAGTTGTCGGTAGCAGAAAGTTGAAGCTCGGATGTAGCGAATTAACGCCGACGTCACTCTTCGCGAACTCTGCGCGAACGTCGGACGCTAAGCCTTACAACAAGCATGGCATCATTGTGCATGAGTATGCGGCCTACGATTCTGTAACATTGGTGTTTATATTCATTGAACTTTTATAATTTTACATAAACCTAAAGTGGAGTAGATAATGCCTTCCCAAGTAGCCACTTTTGTTTAACAACGCCCTTGGCCCTTTTCTAATATAGAAGTGACAATGCGTAACGCCATATAAGATGTATGATAAGTATGTGGGGTATCCAGTAAGGAAAGATGGGACGACATGGGCCAAATAGGAACAAAGAAATATGCATTTGTATATGGGCATTCGGCAGAAGTATCACGTTGACTCTTCTCCATCGCGCTGCACGTCCAGCCCCCGCAATTTCTGCGACAGTAGACCTGCATTCGGAGGTCCAGTTGGGCTCCCGAGTGGTGAAAAGGCATTCCCACCATACCCAATGTCGCCTTTGCTGAGTTTCTCAAACGTGCCGTCGTTGGAGCTATTCGGGCTCACGACAGGCCTCGGTGATGTAACAGGTGTCCTGAAGGGGCTCTTCGGATCAACATCCATGCACTCGCGAGAAACAGGTCGTGAATGAATCGCAGCTAGTCGACTGAGAGCAAAGGGAATGGGTTGTAAGTCGGCTACATGTGAGCTGAAACTGCTCGACGCAGATGAGTTGGCATTGTCACCAGTAAACTTCACTGCTGGAGGAGGCAAGGGTGTGTGCTGCCTAATGTTATCAAGCGCATCGTAGGCCTGCTGTGAGTGAGAAAGTGGCCATCCAGCGCTGCGACGACGGGAGACTTTGTCTGTAAGCTGAGGCCCGCTAGACTGGGTCTTTTGCGATGCCATAGAGTCTCTTGTCGGTTTGTACGTGCTGTATCTTGGCTCTGGCTGCTGAATTTCATTTCTCAGCTTCTCCTTACCATCTGGCACTCGATTGGCAAAAACGACACGTATGCTTTTGTACAGATAATGCCGACCCTTTGACGGACAGCATATGTGCAAATGAATCAGGTATCGCAGAATAGGTCGGTCGTTGGGATCGTCGGAACTACTGAGAGCAGCTTCTGGGCAGTCTGTGCCCAAGTTCTTTCGTGAAGAAGAGGGCATATCGATGATAGGCCCCGCAGAATAACTGCGCTGCCTGATGAAGGTCTTCTGCCCTGGCTCCATGTCTGACAAGTCGTACGGGACGAGGAATAGCTTCACGGCCGTCTTGTTCGGGTTCTTCAGTACTATCTGAAGCTGGCCCTGTGGCGGAATCCGGTAGCAACCCCCGGGAGGCGCTTTCGGTGAAGTCGACCGTCTCTTCTTCTTCTCCTTTCGTCGAAGATTCCCTTTTGTTGTTTGTAGACTTTCTTCATCTCCCAGATGTATCCGAAAGTCCAAGTCATCTTGATCGGGGGGAGGTACAGCATGGCGACGCTTACGTTTACCGGATTCTTTGCTTTCATCGGGCGCTGGTAATGAGTTTTCCAGGTCTATGAGACCGACATATGGACTTGGCTCGTTATCTGAGATCCTACCATTGCCTGTATTGTAGCTGTAGAAGACTGCAGGAAAAGGCACTGTTACATGAGGTGGGCACCTGAGACTCGACTTGCAATCTCCACGCCCAAGGACGCCGATTTTGGCGACAAAGTCTAGAGGTCGCGAAGGCGTAGTTGACATACGTCCTCGCAATATTGACTCCTCGTATGAACCTACCATCGGAGCGTGTTGGAGTGGGGATGCTTCGGATGAGAAAGATGGCCGTCGGGGGCTCAGATAGGGTGTGTGTGAGAGAGAGTAAGGTTCGGATATGTTGTTTGTCATGGATCGCCGAGGTTGATGCGCCTGATACGGTAAGGAGGTGCCATGACGAAGATGGCGAGCTGCAGGAGTTCCGGTTGCGGATCGCGCCATTTGTATGGACTGGTACGGTTGAAAAGAAGGCGGGGTAAAAGTATGCCTGCGATTATTTCTGTCAGGACTTGGAGAGGTCTTTCGCGAACTCGGACCAGAGGAGAAGTCTAGATCTGTGTTGTTTGCCTGGTACACAAGGGGGCTTGTGGGTGGCAGAAGTGTGAATTGACTGTGTGACGAGTGTGACGTCGCTCGTGCCCGCGCGACAGTACGAGTGTCGTCGTTGCTCGGCTCGGAATATTGGACATGGCTAGTACGGGTCGGATATCCAGCCGCGGGAAACGAACGGTCCCAAGGAACCACAGGCGAAGTGGCTACAAAACCGGCAGACGAGTGGCCATGGTCGGTTGCGGTAGCCGCTCTCTGTTCCCGAAAGTCGCCCGAGTGTAATGCCGATCGAGGGCGCTGGATGTCTAGGCCTGCCGCTGCAGCATCTCGGACATGGTCAGGGGTAGAAGTGCGCGAAGCTTGCAATTCGGTGGTAGGCGTTCGTGGAAGGCTTGGACGGTCTCCAGAAGTCGGACGTGGTGGGATAGGCCCATGATTTGCGATATCGGTCTAGAAATCAAGTCAGTATTTATTGCATGAATACACAAGCGCTACCGAGTGTATTTTGGCTTTTCTTTACTCACACCCTGCCACTGTAACCATGATGGGCTGTTGGTCTTCTTTATCCTCTCGATCCACTCATTGCGACCGAACATGCACGGCTTGCGCGTGTGGGTGGAAGACTCGACGTCTACTTCAAGCGACCGTTGGGCAGTCAGGGCTTCTTCTTGTCGCATGGCGTTGCCCCAATCGTCCTCCGAGTCAAGTCCCGTGGCTCCACCTCTTTCAAGGTTGGTGGGCGAGGTGTGAGCCAAGTATGACGGCGCGGGTGGACTATCATTGGGATCATGGAAAATAGGCATGACTGAAAGAGAATGTTGTAAGAAACAGCATAGATATGAGTACTAGTATCTCAGTGGAATCAGATAATAGTGGCGGGATTATGGAAGTGTGACGACGGCGGAGACAGTGAGGTCAGGATGGAGCGCGTGCTGGCTCGGCGAATGATGTGAGTAAAAGAAGCAGTTTGGCGCGAATGCGTTGGCTCCAGCGGCCGGCTCATCACACAGTCATACTGGCCAGGAAACAAGGCGAAACACCGTGGAGCGCTCCGGGCTGAGGTGCGGAGAGGCAGAGGGATGACTGGCTATGCGCTGTGCGCTGTGATGTTTGTAACTACTTGGATGACGGCAAATTCCTAATCGCTGCTGATAAAGGAGCTCCAGTCGGTCGAACCGGTATTGGCCGAGGTCCTGGCGCAAGAGGTCACACGACGAGAAGAATTAAGTTTTGGCTTTGTGCCTGCACGTGCGCTACCAAGTGAATAGATGGAACTGTATGTAGGTATGCTCTGCAGAGACACAACGGTGCTCAAAGCTGAGACGGCCTCAGTTGTGCAGTGATGCAGCCATGCAGCCGATCCCGCCCCGCTTCTGCCAAGACTGAGTGAGGAAACTACGCGCGCGTGCGCGGTATTGTGCCGTCTTTTGCCTGCTCACTTTTCACTTTTGATCTACCGACATCCACCACCGCTGTCGTCATCATGGGAGTAAAACCACGACATGAGAAAGGCGGCGAGTCGTCGGCATGGAAGCAGAAAAAAGGTTTCAAGATTGGCCCTGCAAATCTGCCCGATGGCACCCATAGACGGAAAAGTACGTATTGGGTCCCATCAAGCGTAGCTCTCCACCATACCTACTAATTTGCGCATAGTCGAAAAGATCAAGAAGAGCCTCATCGAGAAAGCCAAGATAAAGAAGCAGTATGCAAAGCTCAAAGCACGTGAAGAAACGGAAGCAACAGCACCGCGCAAATCTGTCTATGAACGCGAAGCCGACAACACGACCGACCCTGTACCAGAACCCAGCCTGGAACCCCACCCTGACCGAGTCGCTATGCTGGAAGAGAAGTCACCTGAACCTCAAGCCAGCCGATACATAGAGAGGCAGGAGCGAAGACGGCGTCCACAACCATTCCAGAAAGAGAGCGAAGTGGCGCGCAAGAAGAGGGAGGAAGCCGAGGAGAGGCAAAAGGCGAGGGAAGAGGCAGACAGGGAGCGTCAGAAGAAAATCGCTGAACGGGAGCGCTTTAGAAAAACTATGGCCAAGGCGAGGGGAGGTCCCAATGGCAAGAGAAAACTCGGTCGCGAAAGCACCGTTTTGCTTGCCAAAGCGCAGAGGCTCATGGCCAAAACCTGAGGAATTCGACCATCTTGTAGAGACGCGTGACGTCGACCTCTGGATCCCAGGCAATGAACACGTTCTTGCAAGCCGTCGGGCGACGTTTTCCCGACAAGCTCCGGTTCATGTACAGGTGCTTAACACGCCACTGTCTGTCTGAAGCAACATCCTTCAGCTCCACCCGAGAAACGTATCCGGGAGTCACTACACCATACCAGCGTACCCCGAAATGCTACGCTGAACGGCCATGTCCGTGTCGTCAGTAGCCTGACCATGCACTGTTTGTCATGCAGATGCTGCTTCTATGCTCAACAAACGTAAGAATATAGAATATCACATACGTTCGAGTAACCCGAATAAATTAATGCCTTCTGGAATCAAGTTGTGTAATTCCATTGTCACGTCATTGCTACTGTCGTGTAATCAAAGTCACTTGTACAGCCTCCGGCTCAGCTCCAAGAGGAGGAGCGGTTGACTTGACAATGCATTCTGTACGTGCCATTTTGATGCGCAAGATCGGACGCCCATCCCATTGGAGCAATCAAGTAAGAGATTATACAAAACCAACTACATTAGCCAGGCCATCGCATGCATGGTCCCACCTTTCTGCGTTCCAACATTCGAATGCATGGAAATACCGAGGCAGAGGCTGGCGCTTGCCGTATGAGATCTGATCTCCGCACTAGAGACGCCACTCGCTCTTTCCAGCCTCGCTCGCACATCTCCCCATCCCTCTTACATCCCACCACCACAGGTCAATGCTGCAGATGCATGCATATGCATTCACCGGGATTCCTCGTGCTACCACAATCCTCTACTATCCACACTCAACCCTATATTCACACGGCCATGTGTCTATTTTTTGGTTGCAGGCGAAAGATTACTTGAGGCGGTCAAGCTGCATCGCATGTCCAGGGACGCATCGCTCAGCGAGAGACATCTCACGTAACATCTCACTACATCTACGCAACACTTCCCCCATGTCATGCGACAAAGAATGGTTATGAGTTGACTAGTAGTTGCCATCGCAGCTTCAAGCTCGCAGATTACACCGGATTTCATATGCTGCCCTCCGTCTTTGGTGAGCATCTGCTACCTTGTACAAGCAATTTCTATGGTCCGACCTCGAACGCAGCTCAGCCACGCTTGCCTCCGATCGACATTGGTCCGTCACCGGATTTCAATCAGCAGGTGGTTTGCGAGGCCTGTATTGGGAAAATCATCAACGTTAACTGGTCGTATCTTCATTTTCTCGGAGCTTATATCGTATTTTTGTATCTTGTGAAACAAAAGGCCCGTTGCGGGGGAGCAATGAGCAACGTCCAACTAGCAAAGTTGCGTCAGGCAAGCCATGCGGCTTGCGGTTCCTGGCAACCGTCTGGCCCTTCTTGTGGAGCAATAAGCTTATTCCGGCCCGCTGCTAGGTGTCGGTCTTTCTCCGATTGTTAGCGGTGTATGGCCTTACATTACAGGGGACCGACTCCGTGCGGAATCCTTGGGGCTGTACACACACCAACAACGGTCCGTCAGAAAACGCATTAGGCCTATGCGCACGCGTCATGTCTGCAAAGCCTTGTCGGAGAGCAGGAACATGTCATTCACTACCGAGTCTCGATAACGCTGTATCAGCGCACCCGCTAGCCAAACAGAGAACCCATCTCGAAGAATGCAGTTTGGCGTACGACCTCTTTGTAACATGCGCCGTCTATTTCCCACATGCCGACGTACCTGGCATGCCAAGCAGCACCTTCGCCGTGATACTGATGTGCGGCTCAATATCAACGTTGTTTTCTCTACATATGCTTGCGTACTCTGACTCCACTTAAGACCCATCTCCACTCCCTTCACTGTTGCTGCCTGAACAACAACTCACGTCCAGTCAAGCCATATAACATATAGTCTTTCATTCTATGCCCTTTCGTAAACAACTACCAATCTATCAGGGTTTAGTGGGTCAAGCTAGGACATAATGGACTATTCAAATCGCCCACCAAGGAAGTGGTCTTCAGAAGAGGACCAGAAACTGCGAAACGAAGTCGAGATGCAGAGTAAGTTTGTACCATTTTCATGAATGGAAAGCAAGAGCTTAATTTCTCTTGTTATCACCGCACTTGAATATCTTGAATCAAGGCAGGTGCTGACTGTTTATCAGTGGTAATTGATGGAGAAGTCAAGGATTGGTAAGTCTCTCATGAAGGATTTCCTTTTTCACCACTAATATGACATGCAGGTGTAGGATCGCCGATAGCCTCCCAGGTCGTACGAACAAAGACTGCAGAAAACGCTGGCACAACTCTGTAGCGGGAGGCCTAAAGAAAGGACAGTGGTCAAGTAGTGAAGATCAACTACTAGTAAGAGGCGTGGAACAGCATGGGCAGAGGTGAGTTCACCAATGCAGTAGCGCATGGCGGTGCTAATTGAATCAACGAAGATGGACAGTAGTGGCAAGCTGGGTTGGAACACGGAGCGCAGACCGTATGTATAGTCACCTTCATTATTAAAACACCATCACTGACCCACATTCAGAGTGTGCAAAGCGTTGGCAACAGTCACTCGATCCCAATCTGGACCGCAGTGAATGGCGCGATGTCGATGTCAGTCTCAAGCCAGGCTTCCAGCAATCAGTAGTCCATGGCTGATTCAATCTTAGGATACAATGCTTATCAGTGCCGTTCGTCGACTCGGACGCCACTGGAAAGATATTCAGAATGAGCATTTCCCCGGGAGGTCGAAGAACGATATCAAAAATCGGTACGTTGCTCGTCCTTGGATTCTAGGAGACTACTAATAACTTCAAGCTACACAGTTCTTGTCCGAAGATACCAGAATCAGGGTATCACGCTTCCTAATGCTCCAAGTTCTCCTTCTGACTGTGGTACACCTGCTGCATTGTCAAGTTACCCTGATGACAACGATTACACCTCCTTCAATCCACAACTTTACGATACTATATTACCATCTCAGCCAGAATTCGACACCAATGAATACTCAACATGGTCGTCTCCCCAAGCATACGCCATGTCTACCACGATTACCGCCCAAAACAACCACCACCCATCGAATGCCCATAGCCCATATGCATATACTCAGCCACCACCACTACCATCAAACATGCCATTAGATTGGGACGGTGTCCCACACTACATGCACCACCCATCGCCCTTACTGCAGAGCAACGCACCCACGAACACGCCCGTCTACGGCTACAGCGCATACCAGCAACCGCACATGTCTCACGATATCGGTAGCTACACAGCCTCCACGACGCAAACATGCTATGCCACCATGTCGAACCAGCACTCATCACCACCACCACCTCCCCCATTCGGTCAGCAGCACGGCTACCCGCCAAACACGATGCCCATGTCTCGTGATCCCAGGCATCCACATTATCCTTTTTACCATTCGTGAGGCAGTGCAAAAATTATCGAAAGGTCATAGCGAGCGCGGGCTTGGCAGCGCGCGCGGTTAATAGGCTAGGATTTGTTGCTCTTTGGGACCCAGTTTGTGACATAGGGTTGGGATAGTTAACTTGGTTTAGCGTGCGTGTGCGTGACGGAATCGCAATAATGGAATTCGGAATCGTCATTTCGCTGACTGACCCTGACCCGCGATTAATTCGTTTCAAAACACACCAAAAAATATATTATCAGCATCACCCGTTGATCCTCTCATATTCGCTTCTGTTGATGTTACTGCACGGAATCTATCCTGACCTTTTCTGCGATCTTCTTCTGGTTCTGGACACGTGACAGTCATCATCATCAATCCAGGTTTAGTGTTTCCGCCGCCCAGTCGGCAACCACGCTATTGGTCGCTTAGGCTCCTCCCTTTGCACAGCCTCAAACCCCGAGTACAAAGAGTTGGATGCCTTACTTTTTTTTACCACACAGACAATACCCATGCCCCCCGTTTCCATCGTGCTATAGCTTCAGATGGGATGGGATGGATTAACTTACTTTTTTTTCCTTGAGCAAGTTCGGTTTCATTCCAATTCGCTGACTTATCGAGTCATGGGATGACTATGTGGTGCAGCGTTTTTCCCCACTTTCACGAGCTAGAAGCGTCCGCGGGTAATGTTGGAGACACGAAGGGAAGCTTGCACCTTGGTGTGTGCATTTCCCGCACGTGGGGAGCGGGTTTTCTTGGGTGTTGTTTCTGCCTTGGGGTGTGCCTGACCCGACCCGTTTTGTTGATCTCGGTTAAGTCTTCGCTGCGTGTTGTTAGAGTGTTATTGAGTAAGTTAGCGGACTGCATGGAACTCCTTTGCATATGGGAGTGTGGTTCCTTGTTTTATTTCATCTAGTCGGCACATGTAAATCTGCCTGGCATGTTCGGTTGTGTGTATGGGGGTTTGCAGTACGTGTGTGCTGGGGAGGGGGATTGGTGTACATTCGGACATGTCCGGTTCTACGTTGAGAGTGATAGACGGATAAGTTTTTTTCCTTTCTTCTTTCTTTCTAGAACTCTAACACGGGATTGCTGTCGGCGTAGGTAGGAGTCACGCCGATTGCATTACTCGTTTAGCACGGTCGATCTGAAAGCATAGGCGGACCGGCGTTCCCGTTCCTGTCGATCTATTACCCGCCGATGGTCATCATCGTGACTTTTTACGTTTGCATCGAGGGTGTTAACGTAGGCATGCATCAATCCAGTTTCTACATTGCTGTGTTGACGTTGAGTAAGAAGTCGTCACTGTTTGTGTCGACATACGCGTTACCGCATGAAAAGGATTTAGGTGCTTGTACGACACACAGCTTAGCGTAGACGATGCTGTGTGACGCCATTGTGGTGGAGCAAGCGGTTTGTAGCAGCATCGATTGTACAGACCGCTGTTTCTGTCGTTGTAGATTACACGGGCGGTGATGTCCGTTGGGGGTCATGGGTAGGACGTGCTAGGGTGGCTCTAGAAGCAGGCATGGGCTGTTCGGGCCTTCCGAAAGGTCTGGATAGAGTTGTTGGGAACATGGATTTAGAGTAGGGCTTATGGTTGTCACTGAAGCTTGATTGATGGTGACTCTTGGTCTGGTCTGTGGGGTTTCACATGGGGTTGGAATGTAGGTTGAGATTACTATGACTGTGTATGGTGACTACATGGTATCATTGACATGGTGAACACTTCGACTGTAGATGAAGTATCATGTTGAAGACCTTGGAATGCTAGTTTTCAAGCTATCAATGAAGCAGAAAAGCGCGGTAAAATAAACCCAAGAGGGCACTCAGTAAATAGAGACACAGAAGGACCATAAACACAAACATACAAACCCCATAGAAATGATTTCAACGCGATGTCATTCCATCCACTCTCAACAAACATCTCAATGACTCGAGAAATGAACAGTCATCAACCCATGCCCAAACCCAGATCTCCATCCCTCCTCACGGCGATACCGACATAAGCACTACACACCCAAGCTATCCCACCATACCAATCTCGTCCCACCTCGGAGCCTTCCGTCCCCTGACCACCGGTACCTGGAGTAAGCCCGTAATGTACCAGCGGGGCCGACAGAAAAGGGTAAGCCGCGCCGTTTCATCCCCCCTCCCCTGACAAAAACCATAAGCTTCATGTCGGTAAAATCTACGGCTCAAGGATCGGTCCGTCCACGGTGACGCAAGTAACAAGAACAGGAAACAAAAGAGTTTATTTTCGGATAACGCCCCCTCCCGAAAGAGAGTGTTTCACTAGTAAAATAAGACATGCAGGGAATACCCTACCCTAGCCCAGGTTGCTGGGGAGGGGGTGGATAAACATAGCACCGCAGATTGACATCGAGGCTAGACGTGTGCGGACCTCAGTTCATGGTGGACATGAGCTGTTGGGGTCTGCGTTCGGCTTTGTTGCTGTTCACAACATGAATGTGGATATGTTGGGCGGGATTTTCCTTTTGTGCTTGTTAGTTAGAAAGGGAGTGGTAGGGGGGAGTTTGAGATGTTCCCGTGTTGTCGGTCATGTCCGAGATTGGGCAGCGCGGGGCCTGGGGTAGATTGGCGCCGGTGGGGCTTTGTCACTTTCCTGGTTGGGAAAAGAAATGCGGGTGTAGCGTTGTTGGGTAGCGGCAGTACAGATGAAGGGTGATTGCGGGGTTGTGTGTGAGGGTTACGCCTTGTTGTGTGCCTTACCTGTGTGTTCTGGGTTAAGGGGATGTGGGTGAGAAGAATTGCTCTGAGAAGACAAGCTTTTGAGCTTGGTTGGGGCGGGTAATAATAGATCGATATTCGCAGACCGCTGATTATACTGCATCTTACTGGCTGTTCTAGAGCTACTCGAGTAGATTTGGATAGCGAGAGTGAGGAGTTAGATGGGTACCAAGGCACTGTAATGCACATGAAGCAAAGTGAATTCGCTGGTGTGATGACCATAGACGAAGACGTCAATCAAGATTGCATACGTGACGTACTGGAGTTATCTTGGAAGCATGTTTACCGGGACTTATGCTGGTGCCTAGTCGTCTAGTAGCCTTTTTGGAAGAAAAAAGGTGAAGATCTCCTGTTCCTCGGCGAATATTCACCCATAGTGAGCATAGAAGAGTCCTAGGCAGCAGTATAGATATGATGGCCGATCTAACATACTAGATGGATGGCCCAAGCATCGATATAGTCGAAAATGCAGTGTATCAGAAGCAGAAAGTGCTATTTCAAGACAGCATCCGCTTAGAGTTTCGCCGCATGCCACGCAATCAACAGCGTAGGCTTCTGAAATTGATCCAATCATTTGGACTTGCCTCTTATTCTCCGTCAAATACAATGAGCCTTCACGTGCACTCATATACGAAGCGACACGATGTATATGGGGCCGGTTGACAATGACGTCATAACAATCAACCTTCTTTCGCAAGCCATCTCAGTCACTGAGCACCGTATCTTCCCCACCCAGTATCGCGATCTAGAACAAGGCGCTCCTCTCCCTCTGTATTCAGCAGAATCCCAGCACCACGGCACCATGCACGTGTACCAATATCCGCCAAACCACCACCCCCAATATTGCCAACACCACAACGCATCGGCCTCTGGATTCCAAAACAAACCCCACCCATCTCGCATGAATCCTTCCGTTGCACGTAATAATCAATAAGCTTCTGACGCGCTCCTTCAAAACCACGTTGCTCCGCCACTGCCGTACGCGTCTACACGCCCTGCGCGGAACGCCCTACTCCTGCCCGTCTGTTTACAGAAGAAGTGCCCAGACGGTCGCAGGGGACCAGGGTATGTGTCTGATTAGTGCGGGTGACTTGCAGATTGCGCGCATGTTTTGGGTGGATTAGGCAGCAGGTATACGGGTTACAGATGTGTTGGTGATGATGCATGCGGTGATGATGATGATGTTGTTGGTACATACACCGATAGGTTGTATTTGTGGAGAATTGTGGCTGTAGCACATGGGTAACATGGGTAAATACTTGTTCGTAAGCAATTCATAGACGTGTCCGGCGCCTGCGGTGAGTTTCGTACACTAGCGTGTTGAGTATTTTATGTTACAGGTGGTGGCTAGATAGTCGTGCCGGTGTTGGGCGCTGGAAAAATCCGGGGTCGATCAAGCACGGTCGGTGGTTCTATTTCTAGGACGACAATCGTTGTGGCTTTGCAGGTAGGTAATAGGTAACTCTGCACGCGCAAGCTAGATTGCTTACGGTACGTAGTCAAGGGCTGGGACATGGGCGGGGCCACCCATGGTACCGCAAACAGAGATTTTTGCGACATGTCCAATCAGGTAAATTCATCCAACACGACCCATGCGCAGTGCGCACGCTCTGACAGCACAGCCATTAGAAATCCGTAAGTCTACCGCGGAGTAATTATCCACTATCCAGCTGTCTGTTGACCCCGAAAACAAGGGCATATACGTTGTAATTCTCAGTCTCTCCATCAAAAGCCGTTCAAGCAACTGCCCGGCTAGCTCAATCGGTAGAGCGTGAGACTCTTAGCACTCACGTCCTAACAGACACGATTACTCAGTACATCTCAAGGTTGTGGGTTCGACCCCCACGTCGGGCTTGAGGCTTATTTTTTTTGTCGTTGTAGGAACCATAATGGTGGTGTGGGACATTGTGTGGTGGTGAAAATCCGACCAATTTTTTTTCCGCGCTAGCTGACTCTCTAAGAAGGGCGGCATAGTAGTCTAATTAAACTTACTTATATATACAAGACACTTTTAGAAGTAGAGAGAGTAAAGAAAACCCGAGGTGGGAGTTAGTATAAAAGACTATTTGCGCATATCTTCTACATGTATCGAAGGTGAAAAGTCGCAGCACCAAACGCCCTCAACCATCTAATGCTTGAGCTTGACACTGCACAAAGGTTAGCACACATCAGCAAACAACAAAAGTTCAGGGCAGGACTTACCATCTGCCAATAAACTCCCCTCTTCCTCAGTAAACTCTGATGGTCACCCCTCTCCAATACCTTACCACTCCCCATCACAAAGATAACATCCGCCTTTTGAATCGTAGCAAGACGATGCGCAACCGCAATAACCGTTTTACTCCCCTCTCCTGCAGCACGCTCAATAGCCTCCTGCACCAACTTCTCCGACTCCGAGTCCAGCGAAGAAGTCGCCTCATCCAGTAACAAGAGTTTAGGCTTACGAAGCAGCGCACGCGCAAGCGACAACCGCTGTTTCTGACCCCCAGACAACGACAAGCCCTTTGGCCCCAGCCGCTGCTCATACCCATTCGGAAGCGAGGTGATGAAGTCGTGTATCTGGGCGTCACGACATGCCTTCTCGATATCCTCGTCGCTTGCGGCGTCGACGGATAGCGCGATGTTTTCACGGATTGTACCCTCGTAGAGTGTAGGTTCTTGGCTGACGAGGCTGATTTGCTTGCGGTATTCGGATGCGTTGAGCGAGGTGATGTCCTAGCCGTTGAAGAGGATACGACCGGATGATGCGTCGTAGAAGCGCTCGAGGAGCGAGATGGTCGTTGATTTGCCGCAGCCGGAGGCGCCTACAAGAGCGGCGAATTGGCCTGGGCGGACGTGTATGTTGAGGTTGGATAGGACGGGTACTTCGCGCGACTTGTATGTGAAATATACGTTCTGGAACTCGATACTTCCGCCTTGGGTAGTTTGTTCCAACGGCTGGTATTTGGAAGGGCCTGAGGTATTTTGCGGACGCATGCTGATAATGCGGTTCGCGGAAGCCGTCGCCTGGGCCATGTTGGGTGCAAAAGAAAAGAACATGCCCGCTGCGACGGCGCCTTGTACGATTGCTTGATAGATGACGAAGAAGTCGACGTTATTGTACTCTCGGGACGCAAGCAAAGTACCACCATACCAAAACGTAAGTGCCATAACCCCCAGTTCAACGCTATCACTCGCTGCAAAGACTGCAGTGCTATATTTTGCGCTTGAAAAGGCCTTTGTAACATGGCCCTGTAGTAGTGACTCGTACCGATTCCCGATCATATCCTCCATGATAAGACTGAGTACAGTACGAAAAGCGCCAACAGCTTCAGCAGCAAACTGGCTACTATTTTCGAACACTTTGGCGTTTGTCTTTGCAAACTCCATCTCGAGACGCACGCGGAGGTAGCCGGCAGCGAGAATGAGCGGGAGAGCAGCAAAGAGGCCGACGAGAGAGAGTTTCCAACCGTAGACGAATGAGATGATGATACATCCCACGAGATTGACAACAGCAATGAGCGCCATGGACATTTCCGTCGCCATCAGCTGCTGAATCTGCGTCGTATCTGAACTCAAGCTTGCGGTCAGGGAGCCGGGACTGTGCCCCTGGTCGTCGAAGAATGCGATGCGTTTCCGAATAAGGTTGTCCAGGTACTCTTGTCTGTACTTGAGCGTGACTGTAATTGCAATGAGTTGGCATGCCGCACCCATGGTGAAGTATGACAAAAAGGTGCTTGCTGCCAGTACACCGAACATGCCTGCCCAGAAGTTACCTTGGCTGACAAGTTCATTCATTGGCAGTGTAAACACATTGATGACGCTGGCGAAGATCCAAGCTTGAAGGGGGTAGACAGCGCCACTTGCCAAGATGCCTGCAATAGCGAGCGCGTATAGGATCCAGTGCTGACGTTGCTCATAGATTAGTCGGCCAAAGCTTCTGAGAAGACCCTGTTGCTTATACTCCGGTTCCGCGGATTCGGAAGTATGACTGCTCACGGTATGCTTCTCGATGACCTCAGATCGAGTAGTTTTGACCTTTTCCAGTACATTGTCGTCATCAGTATGCTCAGCTTCCATGGCAATCTCTTGTGCGTGAACCAGACCGTAGTAGACACCCGCGTCAATTTTCAGCAGATCTTCATGTGTACCTTGCTCTACGAGTTTTCCTTGACGCAAGACAACAATCTTATCCGCTCTTCTGATAGTAGAAAGGCGATGGGCAATGACGATGGTGGTTCTGTTCTTGGAGACGCGATCCAGTGCTTGCTGAACAATACGCTCAGTCCTAACATCGATGGCGCTCGTTGCTTCGTCCAGAATCAATACAGGTGGTTGTTTGATGATACTCCTTGCGATTGAGATACGCTGTCGTTGCCCGCCTGACAACTTGATGCCACTTTCTCCCACCATGGTATCGTATCCGTCGGGTAGCTTTGTGATGAATTCTTCGGCATAGGCTTCCCGGCACGCCTCCTCCACCATTTTCATCTTTTCCTCTTTGGGCAAGCCTTCATAGCTTGTACCACTCAAACCGAACGCGACGTTGTTGTAGAGGGTGTCGTTGAAGAGGAAGGGTTCTTGTTGGACGAGACCGATTTGAGATCGCCACCACTTGAGATCGACTTGGCTGAGGTCAGTGCTGCCAATCTTTATATTTCCCGTACATGTGTTGGGTCCCAATTCGGGCTCTTCTTCTTTGTTCTTGCTTTCTTCGGCCTTCTTCTCCTGAGTCAATTCGGTTGCAGAGGGTGAGGTGGATATCTGGGTTGCAGGTGCGGCTAAAGCTGTCGTACCACTGAGATCGTACCATCGCTGTACCAAACCTACAATGGTAGATTTCCCTGGAGAATACGATAGCACGTCAGCAAAGTCCCAAAAACTGAGTCATGATGCTTACCACTTCCAGATGGACCAACGATAGCAGTGACTTTGCCAGCTTCGAATGCAAGATCAAGGCCCTTGAGAATCTGGACGTCCGGTCGGCTGGGGTAAGAAAAGCACACATTATCCAATGTAATATCAGCATCTGCAGTGATATCCGGCTCTTTCAGCCCCGCGGTATTGGGAACCGGTGCGTCAATGGTGACGAACAGTTCGGTAGCGGCAGTTGCAGCCTTTGCGATAGCAATCATCGGAGAAACGACCCTGCTGATATTCATCAGCGCCATCATCACCGAAAACAGCACCACTGTTATCGTCCCAACGTTCGCCTCTTTGCCTTCGGAGTATCGCTTGATACCAAACCAAAAGGCAATGGCAAAAGTACCATACTGTCCAACCATCATAGGTGACATCATAAGCCCCATCAGAGGAGCGGCCTTTTTTTCATTCTTCGCAGCCTTATCCAGCATATCTTCATGCTGTCTTGCCAGTTTCGCCTCTGCACCGAACGCAACGATGATGCGAATGGACGAGAACATCTCAAATGCCATGGCAGAAGCATCATCGTGGTACTTCTCCGTGATCTTGTGTATTCGCATAAATGGTGGGAACAGCACACCGTAAACCACCAGGATGAACGGAAGCGAGGCTGAGGCAACCAGCGTGAGCAACGGACTCTTGATGAACGCTACGACGTAGGCTCCAATGACAAACGTGAGCGATTGAAACAGCATAGCAAAGTGCTGAGAAATGGCGAGCTGGACGGTATTGGAAGAGGTTGTTATACGAGTTGACACCTTTCCAGGGCTTATAGTATCGATGACGCTGACTGGCTGTGCGAACAAAGCACGCAAGTATGCGAGTCGCAATGCAGCAGAGATTCGGAGACCACTGATCCGAATGGTGAGCTTGGCCATTGTTAGTGTGTGGATACAGTAGCGAAGAACTTGTATCTTACCATTGAGATGTATGAGAGGAAGAATTTGGCGATGAAAAGATACACCAGATACAGTGTGAGTCTGTTGACCTCTGCTTGAAACTCACGAGATGTCACCGTTGTACCTGGAATAAAGTAAGTCGTAAATGAGCCCACTAATTGTCCTGCTCGGTATCAGCAATCGGGTACCTTCCATGATTGAATCGTTGAAGCATACCAAATACGACGTTCATCAGCGGGAATGCGACTCCTGAACCTATCGAAGTAATACTGCACAACGCTATGAGTACAAAGTCGAACGCAGTTCCGTACGAAAAGACTCGCTGAGCAGCTTCTGTTAGTATTAGATTGCGTGGTAGCGATAGCAACTTACAAAGTAGTTTTTCAAGCCAGCCTGAGGCGACTTCTTCGACTTCGCAGGGCCATCGTCATCGTGCGCAACTGCTTCAACAACGCCATTTTTCTCCTGCCCTATTTCAAGGACCTGAACTGCAAGCGCAGCGTTCTCCGCCTCAGCACTCGCCGCAGGTCTCGGTGGCGACCGAGCATCAACAGAAGCGTCCATAGTAAAGGGTGCGTAGAAAGAGTGCAAGTAATCGCGAAAACAAATCAACAATGTACTGGTACAGCAATGTAAGCCGTTTCGCGTATTCAAACACAGCCACACAAAGTAACAGGGGATGGAAATGGGTGCGTGCTGCTATGGCCTTTAACGCCCTGTCATATAAACGGTCTGTCTCCTGAGGTCTTTCTTTACGTACGTCAACGGCTCAATTCAAGCAGAACCGTCCAAGTTTTGCAACGCAATGAAACTCCTGGACTACAATTAGGCAGCAACAGCTGAAAAAGAGCCAAGTAGGATATCTGTTGAGAAGCAGTCCCCGAGCATCTTGATTCGCAATACACGTTGCACCCAAGAAGCACGCTAACCGCCACACATCTCGCCTCCCCAGACGTCTTCCTAATCGAGCGAATACCTGCGAGCGCTCAGACCCTGTGCCAAATTCCAAGCATCCAGCCTCCCGTCCTAGTGCACGTCGCACCATATGGGATAAAAAGTGCAGTCTTCGCTATGGAGGAATGTGATGCTATATGCAAAAAGGCTGGTACAAGAGAGGTGTAGGTAAGAATGTGAGAAGTACTTTCAAGACGTTGATCTTGTAGTTCCGCGGGAGCGGAATTATCCCTGTGATGAGCTGTCGGGCCGTCCGCCTCGATCTTAACGTTACGTGATCCACAACCCAGTGCCGACTGCCTACGAAGCCAAGGAACGAAAATGTCACCATGAAACCAACTTAAAAAAGAGCACAAAGATTCATTCCGATTTAACTCCGAAATAAAGCTACTAACACATCTTAAGAAAAAAATTATCCATAAAATTACATGTCAACTATCCAAGGGTATAAATACCTAAGCCACAAGAACGTGAACACTAGAATACCCTACTTTGAAAGAAGAGAAAGAAGAAGTAGAAGACGAAAATAGAAGAGAAAGTGACTACCAGCCAGCGCAAACCCACTCTCTCGAAAACGCCAGGTAAAAAAAGAAAACAAGACGGCAACGAAAAGAAGAAGAAGGAGAACATACAAATCCGCCTTTGAGTATCCCTACCCCAATCCATGACTGACCAGCGCCATCCACAAAGAAACCAAATCCACACTTTACATGTGTGTGATGAAAAGGAAGAAAAAGGTGACTTAAGAAGGACCGAAGTATACAAAAGCACCTTCCCCTCGCCTCCAATCCCACAAAACAACAACAACAACCGCTCAAGCCTTGGCCTTCTTCGCAAGGTAATAAGTCAGTAAATTCAAATGCTGTTCCCTCGCCCCCGCCACGGCTTTCCAAAACCCACCATCCTCCTTCGCACCATCAGATCCATTGATACGCTCATGCAGCGCAACGCAAAACTCAATATCCGCCTTCCGTACATCAGCATCCTGGTCGTCCATGCAGCGAACAGCCAAGCGACCAAGACGAGCAGTCTGCTCCGGCGAGAGGGCGACGTTTTTAGCGCCGCTGATTTCGACGAGGGAGGCGAGTGTGCTGAGCGCCATTGTAGTAGTGCGGGTGGAAGGGTGACCGGGAAGCGAAGAGACGGATGATTTTGAATTTGGAGATGAGGTGGGTGTTGATGCGGGTGTGTCTTCAATCATTGCGAGGACTGTGTTGAGGCAGTCGAGCGTTTGGCCGTACTTTACAATCTCGTCTGCTGTTGACTCGAGGTCCATGGCAATGTGCGATGTATTTTCGTACTGTGCTTTTGTGGCGAGGACGGTGCGGAGAACACGCGAGAAGTACCTTGATGTTTCCTTGCGGTAGAGGGAGAGTAAGGCACGGATCGTTGCCAAGGCTTGTACCTTGAGATTGACGGCCTTCATTTGAGGCGCCTTTAGTTCATGCACTGGCGCCTCCAAAAAGTCGAGACATGCCAATAATAGCCGACCAAAGTTCTCATCGTTGGGTCCCCAAATCTCTTGGTTCGACTTGACCATGTCCTGCATGCGTCGAAACATGTGCGCTTCGACTGTTCGTCCCTCAATCTTCTTGATGCCGCTGGCGAGCAGCTGTCGGTTCTTTAGCACTTCGGCATTGTTGGTGTCGTAGCTTTCAGTATGTAGCACACTCCCTGTGCTACCTGTCTTGTAGTGACCGCGTGGACGTTCCTCACTCCCGTTACCCATCATTACGTCACTCACTATGCTTCCAGTGCTCTGCCTGCGCTCGTTGCTCTTTTCGTTGATAGGAAGCTCTTCAAGAACAGACTTGTTGGCATCATCCTCAAGACGAGAGGGCTCCTCGCCGACAAATGGGTCCTCGTACACCTGAACCTCATCCCCAGCGTCAGTTCCCCTGGTGCTCGGACGATCTGGGGACTTCATCCGTGGGCTACGTGTCGAAGATCGGAACCCAGCACCATCGAGGTGGCTCATGGACTTTGGACTTCTTAGAAGTGAAGCACGGGGGCTGGGTACGGGTAATCGCCCACTAGATGGAGTAGGTTTTGGAGGGGTACGGTGTGTCGGTTGTGCGGTTGGTCGTGTGAGAGTCGGAATGACCATGGTGAAGTTGTCCTCGTCTCCTGAAATGCTGGTATCATGGTCTACAACTGCACTGCCATTGCTTGCATTGAGTCCGTTCCTTTGCCGGAAAGGAATGGTTCCTGGATCATGATGGCTTTGCGACCGAACCCATGGCTTTACCATTGTCAGGTCTTCCTCCTTTTCCTTTGCCGGGCTCACAGCTGGACTCTCCTGTCGAGAGCTGATACTAGCGGATTTGCGGTGTGCAACTGGCTGACCGATCCTTGACTTGGGGCGAGCAGAGCTGACGTTCGGACTGTTTTGTGTTTGTGACCGTGGTCGAGCCGTGGTCTTTGGCACGCCAGACTTCTTTACTGTTGAGGTTGCTGGCGTCTTTTCCGGAGTCATGGAAGGAGTCACTTTGCCCGGACGGCGGACTGCATATGGATCGGCTGTTGCCGGCCTGTTCAACTCGGGACGAGGGGGACGAATCCGACGACGAACGGTACCAGACATCAGGGAGCCCGTACCTGTGGAATTCTTTAACGCTGATTTGGTGGAATCCCAGACATGCCGGAAGTCGGTCGCGGTGGCCCGGACGATGCCGTCGACAGATTAGAAGCCGTTCTCGAACCCATAGATTTGTTCAGGGCCAGTTGAGGTTTACCCGGCGTAGTGTAAGTAGCAGCGGCAGAGTTGGGTCGTTCAGGAACAGCTTTCGCAGCAGCCAACTTGGCCCTTCGCTGCTCAGCAATCTTTTCTTTCAAGGCACTCCGCGAAGCACCCGGACCGACGGATTTGGAGAATGAGGCCGTGCTAACTTGTGAGGAAGTCATGGATGCATTCGGGTTATTGGGGTCCTTCTCAAGAGCGGTCTTTTCGCGTTTATCGAGCGTGTCAAACATCCTTTCCGCCCTTTGAGGCCATACCAGGGCAAAGGTCCAATAGGCGCTTCGGTAAGCTTCACGCACTTTAGGGTTAGCGTCAGTAACTCCTCTCCGGATCAAAGTGTCTAGCGTTTCCAAGCCTCCTGAATGCTCAATGTGCGATGTGTGTCTGCGGATCAATGTCTTGGCCCAGGTTGCGGAGTGCGTTCGTGGTTGCACGTTCTTGTCCTGAGAGGCCATGGCGACATGCTGCAGCAGACGGCTGCTGTACGAAACATTTTGAAAGATTGTGTCCACGGTGACAGCTCCGTTTTGTGCGGCAATGTTCTTTGTGGCGGCGCACATCTTGATGAATGACTGCAAAAGGATCTCTGTCCAGGGGTCAATGGCAGAGCCGAGCGTCTTGGCCAGCTCCTGGACGAGCAGACAACCGTTGGTCGACATTGTCGTCCGCAGTGAGTTTGAAACCTTCAGGATGCCGTCCAAGAGCGACTTGATGCCTACAACAAAAGCGCCATGGAACTCATGCGGTGCGTTTCCTTTCAAAATCCGCCGTAACTTTGTGCAGTTCTTATCACGCGCCAGCCAATTGCCCTCACTCTCCTTGCCCTCGTAGTGAGGGGCCATGTCGCGGAAAATATCGTCTAGCTCGCGCTGTGTGTAGATGTGTATGGGGTCCATGACGACGACTTCGGCTGGAGGAGGCTGCTCGTCTGCAAAGCCGACGTCTGGCTGCAACGTCTCAGCACGTTTCGACATGATTGGTCGCGAAACAGGCGCCACTGGTGGTGGGGGAGCGACTTCTGCGTCTTTGGATATGGCGGCATTGTCGAGATGGGATGTAATGTACGTGGCGATGGCCTTTCGGACGTTCAGCGCGATCAGCTGCTTTTTTAGGTTCGCTTTGGCGTGTTCAGGCGCGTGTCTGTCCAGGTGTCAGTCCTTCTTACGGCTCAGCCGGACGGGGCAAATAAGATAAGCACATACCCAAAAAGTTCGACGACGGCCTTCTTAGCGACATCGCGCACGCCGGCATCTGCGTCTTCGAGGTTCGCCACGAGTTGGTTGGAGTAGCTCTTGAAGGGCAGGCCTTCGGTTTGGTTCATCTATCAGACTCAACATTAGACCCGTCTTGCTTGTTCGTACGCGCTGCGAGAAAACCAACCTTGACCACCCACAGCATGGCTGACTCTTTGGCGCGCGGGTTGGTGCTCTTCACGGCCTCGTGTATCAGCGCGTCAATTTCCATGGGGAACAGGTAGTGCAGATCGGCCAGAATCTGCGAGGCGGCGGTGCGGTGGCTCTCGCGCCCGTCGCCCAGCTTGTCGGCGAGGATGGCGCATAGTACGGACGACTGCGACGTGAGGATGGACGTTTCCTTCTGTAGCTGTAGGCGCTTGATGAAGTGGCTGAGGGTCGAAAAGCCGGTCGAAACCAGGGCGGCCGAGGTGGCGGCGGTGCAGGCGATGCGAATGCATTCGAAAATGGGCGCCTGGCAGTTTTCAGGGACCCGATTGTGCTTGATGCTCGACTTCAGGCTGCTGAACAGCGCAAGGCGTGACTGGACATCGGTCGACGGTTTCTGGAGCGCCTTGAGCAGGTCCGACGTCTCTTTCTCCATCTTGGGCGCGAAATAGGCCCTTTTCGAGACTTGAATTACGGCAATGGAAAGGGCGGGGTTTGTATGTCTATGTTATGAGGTTGTTTATGTGACCCGCACCCGTTCGTACTAGTTTGTCGCTCAGCAACCGTGCACCTTCCCAAAGCACTACCCTGGCTGTCTTGTGGCGTTTCCCCCAGGGGCATTGGCCGATCCACCTTTCGAACCTTCCAGAGACGTGCGAATACAAAGCGGTGTAAGACACAAACCCGACGTCAAAACAAACTTGCCTATGACGCTCGCCGACTAAGCTTTTCTTTTGCCATGCCACGTCATGGAGCCAGGACGGCAACACGGACGAAAATCACTCAAGCGGGGCTGCAAGACCACCACATCCCGTCTTATCAGACAATCCGCCAGCTTCAACCTTGCAAAAAGTGTATACTGTACCTCTGTTCTTGCAAAGACTAGTATACGTATACACCGAAGAACCGACTTTTGTTTACACATGGCATGAAAACTAACAATGAGCGAAGGAGGTATTCAATTTGATACTGCATAGCTTGTCTGGCCGAGGTAGTGACAGCATGTTTCATGTTGACGCGCATGAAGTCTCTACGACTCCAAGTTTTGTGCCTGCCTCTCCTCCCAGACACTGACTGCTTCTTCAGCAGCCTTGACACCGCTGAGCGCCATGGCACCAAAGGTAGGGCCCATGCGGTTGGCCCCATCGACCTCGCTCAATTCCATACCACCCACAATCAGACCAGGTACAACTTCGCGGGTACGCTTGACGATAGCGTCCTCGGCGGTGCGCATGTCGAGGCCGCGCATGCCACCGAGCTTTTCAATCTGTTGCATCGAGACGAGACGCTTGACGCAAAAGGCACCGAATGGGCCATCGTGACCTGTAGTGGAGATGACGAGAGGCGCGTTGATGGTATTGGGGTCCATGCAAGACTGGTCTGCATGTAAATGTTAGCAGGGGTCGACAACTAGCTAAAACTTAAGATATACCATCGTGATGCATAGAGACAAGAGTCCAGTTGGTGACAACACCAGCGATGCGGATCGCGTTGGGGTCGCTCGACGTCGGTGCAGGACGAGTGATGAGATCCTCAACAGCAGTGGCGTTGAACAGCTTGACGTTGGGGAACTGCAACACCTTAGACAGGAGGGTTGATGTGAAGAGTGCGGCGTGCTTGACGACGACAAAATCGCCCTCATCCTCGTATGGTACGCCAATCTCGTTCAAGAAGAGCTCAGCTGGCTTGCGCATGACCATGGCGCTGAAGAGCTGGCCACCGAGCCAGGCTCCGCCACCAGGGGCAACTCCAGCCTCAACAATGGCAATCTTGAGATCGGGGCGCTTGGTCGCGAGAGTGAATGCAGCAGAGAGGCCACACGAACCAGCACCGACAATGACAACGTCCGACTCAGCATAAGTGTCGAGGTCATTGAAGTAGCGGTGGGTCATGGCCCGAGAGACCTGCGACTCACGAATGGGAGCAAAGGTAAACGTCTCCCAGTTGTTCTCGAGCTCAGCAACAGTCTTGGCCTGGCTGTTGGCGGCGGCCTTGACGGCTAGGTCCTTCTTGATGCCCATGTCGCTGGCAGTGGCAACAGGTACTTCGTAGATGGCGGCAGGAGGAGACATGTTGAGAGGCTTTCAAGCGTCGAAACCTGCGAACTGTTAAGGCTGCTCCATGTGGAGAGGACAGAGCAGAGCATGATCCTTTTCGCAGGTATTATCCTGATCAAGTTCGAAACCGTATAATCTCAGAACGAATCCAGCAGCATCCGACTAGCACATTGACGTGGAAGACCACAACGACATGCGAGACGAATGTTGCTGAAGACGAACACCGGCTCATGCAGTATACTTAGCTGTTGAAAGTACCTAGACGACTTGAGGACAATGCCCACGTGCGGAACATTTTCTGCATCGTAGCTGCCATACTTGATAGTGTATCTGAATACTGGTCAGCTTTTGAAAGAGATGGGAACAGGTGGAAGAGTACGGATTGCGATTTGACTAGGAGTTTGCAACGATGAGGAGATTGTTGTAAAGAAAAGGACGAAGGAGGGGCAGACTTGAGGTGGTGGTTAAATATCTCCATTGTACCCCCACTAAGCCGTTCATCAGTCATGATAACTGAACGGTTGGGGCGGGGTAGCTGTAGCTACCCTGCATACGAGGCAGTGGTTTGCAGAAGACCCACTAACTGTACCGTGTCTGGTTGATCACTAAAGCACCGCGGAGGTTGTGATTTGTGCAAACCATAGGTTGTAGCATGATGCTGCGTTAGTAACCCGACTTCGGACGCAACTCTGACCAACAGCTCATCATGGAGAAAGTCCGGCGGCATATGCCAAAATCCCACGTCACGTAAGTGCATGTGCGTACGAATGCGGATATGGTCACGTTCTCATTCCAACAGCTGATTGGGCGTGTTGTAATGGATACGTTACACGTGTTTTTGGACGACATCACAACGCACTTGCCGACTATCCATCTTGGAAGAGTCGTGAGCGCGCGCTGGCTAGTGTCAAGGTTGACGAGTGATGGATGAAGTCACTAGGCGTTTTCATTGTGATGACTGCGCTGGATTTGATTTGGTACGCCAGGTGGTGCGCAACGAAGACAAGCCAAGGATGGTAGCAAACAGTGAGCCGTGGCATTGGGAAGTCTACGTAGTCAGTGTAAGCTTTGGTCAGCCCCATGATAGTGGACCCATGGGGTTGATACTGAATCGGGTACTGTACCTGACTCATCTCTCGATTAGTTTGAGATGGCAATCGGATACAAGTCATCATACCCGAGTCAGTATGCAATCTACACCATGGAAGGATATTGCATCGTGTTGGAAGGCAGGCTAACGACGGCACAGCATAGATGGATGCGGGAGCGACGCGTGTAATTGTTATCAATCACGGACAGCCAAACGTGCTTGGTGTAAGCTTGGAGGGCTGCTGACACAGACGTGCGGCAACTGCCCAAGGACGTGGTAGGCGGTGCTTGTGATATGGTATGACAGTAAGCCTACTGCCAGGATGAGCAGAAAGTGTGCTGATGGATCGCGGGCGGCGGTTGGCTACTGACTCTCGGCGGGCCGATCAGCAGGGACCGTTCGGCTGGGTGAAACACGTCTGTGTCGGTCTCGTTATTCCCGTTTGTTTCAGGATTGCGGCTAAGGGGTTTACAAGTGCCGGCGTGGATAAGTTTTGGAGCGGTCCGCACACGCACGATTTGCAGAGTTGCGGCAGCGGCAGGGTTGCGCAAGCAGCCGGGATGGGGAATTTTGTCTTGATTCAACGACGTCGGATGCGGTGTGCAGTGTGCAGTGCATCAAGGCGATTTAGGTCAAAGCGGCCGCGTACCTGCATCATCTCATGTTGGAGCTGGGAGTGTCGGTGTCCGGGGCCCGATGGCGGCCAGGCCGAGGCAGCGACCCACGACAAAGAGGCGAGGTGGCGTCTTGGGTCCCAGGCGTGATGAGCGATTGCTCATGCTGCGTTGCTGATATGTTGATGTTTAATTGTGGCTATAAGAGACGAGGGCTTGTGCTGGCGTCAGTGTAATATAAGCAGCTCCTTAGCCGGTCCAGGAGCCCGCCATCCGCCATGGTGTCTTGCTTGGCAGGGCCTTTGCACCCTCGTCGTAGTGCGATAGACGGTGGAGCTAGTCGCAGTCGCAGTCGCAGTCGCAGTCGCAGCCCAAGTGTGCACCTGTATGCGCTCGCACTCGTCAGGAAGGGCTGTTTGCATCAAGTGCTGCTCTTTTTGAAGCACACCCGAGCGCTGGTAGACGGTTGAGCGCATGGGGGCGACATGTTATTATTGCCATCGTTGTATTATTACCACCTATCAAGGCAGCAAAGGACCAAAAAGTCTGGTCTCAGTCTCGTTCGCTATACCTGTGCAATTCACTGCAGCTGAGTCTGCCGTCTGTCGTCTGCCGCGTATCTTTTGCTAAGTAGACCCTTGTGCCCAAGTGCGCTAGCCGTTGGTCGCCCTCATTGGCCGTCTTGCACCTCCACACACCAAGCCAGCAGGCCAGAGGGAACGGAGGAGCAGCTTGTCTGTCGTTGTCGACTTTCCTCGCCGACTAGCCTCGAGCGCACAGAGGCCGTTTGCCAGTCCAGTGCACCGACGTCTTCTTGTTACTTGTTTCTGTCGGCCGTGCCATCCTCGTGTGTTGCACAGCGGAGAGCCAACCCTTGGGTCCGCTCAGACGACGGCACCACTACGCCCACGAATCCCCCCCTCCCCCGTGTCGGGGTGCCCTTTTGTGCCCAAGTGACGTTGCGACTGAATACGTCCTTATTCCTATTAGACCTTTTACGCCATGGAGAGTCCAGGAGCCTATCCAGAGTCGCCCATCGACGATGAAATCGTATATCCGTGCAAGGGATGTGGAGAGGTGCGAATGCCGTCGGCCTAGCACAAAGTGGAAAGCAGGCACTGATAACAGTCTAGATCCTCGAGGAGGGCAAAGCCTTTGAACTCGGTATGCTTTCACTTTCACCGCCACCACTACCACCACTACCACCACCACCATCATCATGACTACCCCGACTACCACTACCACCACAAACACCTCCTGCTTACTTACATGCTAACATTGGCCAGCTGGGAACCGATGGCATATAGACTGCTTCCGCTGCAACACGTGCGGCACCCTGCTCGACTCGGACGCGAACCTCCTCCTGCTCGGCGATGGCTCCCTGATATGCAACAACTGCACATATAGCTGCAACCACTGCGGCAACAAGATCGAAGACCTCGCCATTCTCACTGGCGACCAGGCTTTCTGCGCCAATTGCTTCAGATGTCGGAACTGCAAGCGCAAGATCGAGAACCTCCGCTATGCTCGAACCTCGCAGGGTATCTTTTGCATGTCTTGCCATGAGTCGCTCATGGCTCGACGGCGCAAGAAATCAAAAAAACCGCCATCAGTGGCACCCAAAGTGGATAAGTCCTTGCCCGCCCTGCCTCCTCAGGAGCAGTCTACCGCGTCCAACTTCACCCCAGACTTGGATACCCCATCCGATGTCTTGTCGGAACCCACCACCACCGACGTCTCTCCCAGACCTCCGACATCGAGAAGAGGCGATTCGTCGTCAAACTTCCGGCGCGATGCGTCGCCTGCTGCCGATCTCTCTCGGAGAGGTGAGTACCACCACATGCGTGTCTTAGTTTCGTCCCATCTTGGCTGACAAATCCATTCTTACAGACAACGCTACTCTTCCTGCCACGACCTACAACAAGGACAGCAGCCGCTCGGAACCAGCAGACAACGGCGACGATGGCATTCTGCTCCCCTTTGCGCTCGACCCCAACCCTGCACCAGGCCCGTCGCCGCTCGGCCGACCAATTAGCAAATACAACGACCGTGCATTGGGCGCAAAGTCCGCAGGAAACGGCGATGGAAAGAGCGGGCGCGACTACTTCAACAGGCCGACGGGCGACCACCGCGAAAAGCTCAAGGAGAATAGCTCTCGGGAAGCGTCCAAGGAGCGGCGGCTGACACAAACACAAAATCCACACATTGCCTTCCAAGAGAAAGGAAGGCAGCCTTCTGACACGCTTGTGGATACGCTGAGAAAGAAAAAAGAGGCTCCAAGTGAGTCTCCTTCAGCTGAGCCGCGGTCCAAGAGTCAGCATGCTTCGCCTGCACCTTCCTCAGCCCCAGAGCCCTTCAAGCTCCAAGATGTCCCTAAGAATAAAAAGGCAGAGGCCAAGCGCAAAGACTCTGAAGATGCAGTTTCGCCGCCACCTAGACAGCAGCCTCATAGCTCCTCGAACAACGACATGTCGGCACGCCTCAGCCGTCCGCTGCTGGAACCCACCTTTACATCTTCCCCACCGCTTGCAGGGCAAGACTCACCCGACACGTCGGAGTCGTCTTTTGGCTCAAACGCTGTCCTCGAACGCCCTGCTCGCGGTGACTCGCTCAAGCCTTCTACTTTGAAGCCCTCGGCTCCCCTCTCACGAAGCGAAAAGCGTGTGCCGTCACCTACAACGCCCACTGCGAACCACCCTGAACGGACTTCTTCTACGGCTGCAGCGAGTGCTCAACTCAATGCCGGGCTTGGCATCACCAACCCCGCAGACTCTCCGTCTAGATCAGAAGTCCCTGTCCTCCCTGCTCGTTCAGGTGGACGACCTGCCCCCCCACCGTCAACCGACACCTTCACATCCCCGCGCGCACCGCCTCAGCTACCCACCACACAACTCCACAAGCCGAGTGAATCCACCAGTAGCGCACAGAGCGAAGCTTCCAGAGATGGATACCCCCCAGGAGGTCTTCCCCGCTACAGTCACCAAGGCGACTTCTCCATGGACGAGGACTTTGCGCGCTTGCTCGGTAACCAAGAGGGCAGAGAGGATAAAGAGTCTGGTGTATTCAGGAGAGTTTCGAACGCTGTCTCAAAGCATGGGCGTAGCTAATAGTGATCGTGGGATCCATCACTTCGCGCGGTCATAAGAAATGGCCAACAAACGGCTCCATCGACATCAGTAGCCCTACTGTCGCTTCGCCAGACACCAAAGAAGAAGGCGCCAACTTGCGAAACGAGCTGCGCCGCGCCCAACAGCGGATTGCAGAGCTCGAGGCCGAAAAGAATGGACTGCAAGAGTCGATGCACAGCGCCGCGGATATTAAACAAGCAAACACGGTTCTAAGAGAGAAAAGAAATACAATGGCCGTCTTGGACACGCAACGCGAGATGGTGATTCGCGAGTTGGAGATCATGACTGAACACCTCAAGCACGCTAAGAATAGTCAGGGCAACATGGATATCCACCAGCTCAAGTCAGACATTCTGAAAGACTTTGCAAACGCACTGCAGAAGCTCAAAGACAATTTGGGCAATCAAATAGAGGACCTGATCACAAAGAGGTCAGAATTAACTGAGGAGATTTCCAATCTCATCCAGATGAAGGACAAAGGCTTCCAAGAGTACGAATCGCTCACAGCAGCCAACGCAAGACTATCCGCCATGAACCGCGACCTGGTGGAGAACATTCAGACTAGCCTCAAGAATAACAAGAAGCCCGGGCAGACTGCCGACGTGTCTGCAAATGGGTTGGGCATATACAACGCACAGCACAAGGGCGGCAAGTCGGAAATATCCGTCGATGCGCAAACAATACCGCATGAGCACTCGTATGCTAATCTACATGATGCCGACGCCGAGCCAACCATTGCGCAACCCCAGGTTGTCAACATCAGGAAAACTGGCAAGCCCACCAAGTTCTCCACTTGGAAGAAGGGTGGTCAAGCCATTACCAAGAACGTTACCAAGGGCTTCAAGGGAGCATTTGGCTCCGAACAAAAGCAGGAGGATTACAATATCAAGGTTATCGGGACTCCCTACGGCTCCACCCACACCCAACCTGACCTCGCGTCCTTGTCGACCATGTCAACCATGTCGAGCTCAATCAAGAGCCGAGAGCAAGATCAGGGAACTCCAAGAGGCTGGTTCGGTGGAAAGCCTGTGGCGCCCAACAGCCGCAATCCGCAGTACAGGCCCATGAACCCGAACGAAAGCAGCACCAATCTGGTCGCTGACGCTAGCACTGTACTCTTTGGCTCAGATCTCACGGCACGATGCGAATTTGAGAAGCAAATGATTCCACGTATCGTTAGCCGCTGCATTGAGGAAGTCGAATTGCGTGGCATGGACGTTGAGGGCATCTACCGCAAGAGCGGAGGTACTTCTCAGGTGAACCAGGTCCGCAGCGGATTTGAGGCGGATAGCGAGTACGACATTTCTGATCCTGATTTGGACATCCACTCCGTCACGTCAGCGATGAAGAATTATTTCCGTAGGCTTCCGGTGCCGTTGATCACGTACGACGTCTACGACCAATTCCTGGAAGCAGGCCGTAAGTCTAGATTTATGTCACAGAGAAGAGCAAGTACTGACGATTATGCAGAACTCGAGGAGCCCAGCGCCCAATCCAAAGCTTTGATTGCAGCCGTCAACGAGATACCCAAAGCTCACCGAGACACTCTCCAGTTCCTTGTGTTCCATCTTTCGCGGGTCATACAGCATGCCAGTGACAACCTGGTACGTTTCATCCGTCGTGTTCAACATGCACACTACTAACATGTGAGCAGATGACACCATTGAACGTTGCTGTCGTGTTTGCCCCAACAATCATGCGTCCCATGGACATTCAGCGTGAACTCACAGACGTTCAGCAGCAGCGTGTTGCGGTACAAGCGCTTCTCGAGAACTACAAGACTGTGTTCGGCGACGAGTAGAATGAGCACGACACGTTCGTTTTCGTCCTTTTGGCCACGTGTAACATGGCCGCTACTGTTTCGCGAGAGGGTAATTGTACATTTTCGTGTAAGATGCAAAGGCGTCGATATATGCTAGCATCTGGCTTTGGAGAGAAGTTCGTGCTATTCTGCTGTCTTGACTGTTTTTCTTCTTCGCCATGCGTGCGTCACAGCGGGCGTTTTGTCTTCGGTGTGTCGAGGACTGATTATTTTTTATCTTCTTGTATCATACGACTCTGTACTCGGCTTTGGATACTGTTGGGTCCAAAGATTGTCGGGCGTAGACTGGTGGCTGCAAGTACCTGTCATTATACCCTTGAGGGCTTTTCTGTGTGGCTACCTGAGCATACATTGTGGCGTAGTCTTGAGTCGATAGAACAGTGGCAATTCTACGCGCCCTGGTGCTTTCAAGCTGCTGAAGATGAAATGTTCTAGCCCCCACTTGGCAATTTCGATGGTCCACAAGGATGTGCTGTTCCTGTATGTACTTGGCAGTTTTGTCACGACATGCATGCGCTAACGCTCAAGATGACGTCGCACCGGTCACGGCCCGCTAAGCGAGCAAGCATCCATGGAAGTGAGGGAGCCTGTTTCTAGCATCACACGATTGTCCATTGTCCATTGCCCATTGACTCTTAACTTTCCCTATAGCCATCGACAGATCTGCATCTCGCGTCACTATCACCCAACCTTCTTTTCTTGTAACAACAATCACCACACACCCAACACACATCCATCATGTCGTACGCGGAAATGGCTGCCAAGGGCCCCAAGCAGAGCCCTGAGGAGGTGAGAGATTTCTTTGTGAGATAATAGATTGCGAATAATTGCTAACTGGAAGATAGGCGTAAGTTTATCCATGCATGTGCTCAAGCTCATGCTCGCAAGTCATGTTGCCTTCAGAGTCACTGACAAGAATGCAGTCGTGCCCCCGCCCCGCCTCAGGTTGAGCACTCTTCCGATGACAGTGTCCACTCTCTCGTCGACGTAGACAGCCCCCATATCTCCTCGGTCCCTTCCGACTATGAGTCACAATCCGTCAAAACGGATACGCAGGCTGAGCGCATTGAGCGCGAAGAGAAGATCGAACAAGAGGCCAAGGATATCAAGGACAAAGCAGCCGCAAAGAAGGATGCTGCCAAGGACAAGATCAACAAGAATGCCGACAACCCAGTTGTCTTGAGTAATGCTGTGGGGCTTGCCGTTGTTGGTGGTATCGTTGGATTTGGTGCATACAGGCAGTATGCCCGCGGCGAATTGACTAGCAAGGTTGTTGCCGTCTGGGCTGCTGCCATTGGACTCTTTGGTGTTGGAGACTACTACGTCAGCCAGTACGTTACTCTAATACAGCAAGCGCATTTTTCATGTTTGCTAACCGGAGCAGGTACTTCTTCAAGCGTAACCCGCCCCAATAGATGCAGTCCTACGACTGTCCCATCCGTTTTCATCTAGAACCTTGCACGCTGGACAGATTGGCCATAATATCTTGATCGCTCAAGTTGTAATGGTCTGGATACGATTTCTCTTTCTTTATCATATTACAGTACAGCAGACAAGGAGTTGCCTACTCTGCTCCAATCATGAAGCAAGATGCCATCTCCGCTCCACTTCTGTATATATGAGGTTAAAGTTCAATATACCCGTTCAAACATGAATCCAGCTACATTTGCATACTCTCATGTAGACCAAATTCTAGGTGGAGTAATAAACATGTCTGCAAACGGCAATACGCCAAAAGGCTAGGACAGCGAAAATTATCACGTGATGTCGGACGAGGTAGTGCCGATCCCTGCTCCATCGGCTTAGAAATGCAGGTCCCATAACTTTTCCCATAGTGACGACAGCGCAAAAGTGCCGCCGTTCACATCCGCCGCGACTTTCATTTTCCATCTCTTCACTGTTTAATATTTTCAACATCATGTTTCGAGCAGCTCCCCGTTTAATTGTGCGTCCCGCATTGCGGACCGCCCCTCTACGCTCCCTCGCACCTACCAGACGATTTATTAGCACAGCTCCACCAACACAAAAGAGACGGAGCTTCAAGAGCTTGGTAGCGCGATTGGGCATTGCCGGCGCTATAATATACTACTACAATACCGTAGATGTCTTTGCAGACGAGCCCAGACGTACGTTGGTCCCCGCCGTAGATGAAGTCATTTGTGAGCGCAGAAAGCTAATTGGTGACAGAACTCGCTCAACCACTCCCGGAAACCGAAGTCGAATCTGAACACCTCCCCACGATTGAGTCCATTTCCGAAGAGCGCAAGAGGAGACAGGCGGTACAGGCACAATTAGATGCTCAGAAGCAGAAAGAAGCAGAGGCTCGCTCTTCCAGTGGTGAGGGCGACATAGAAGGACTCGAAGAGGAGGCAGATCAACAGGGCGCATTCAATCCCGAGACTGGCGAGATCAATTGGGATTGCCCATGTCTAGGTGGCATGGCTCATGGGCCATGCGGGGATCAGTTCAAGGCGGCCTTTAGCTGCTTTGTATACTCCAAGGAAGAGCCCAAGGGCATGGACTGCATTGACAAGTTCAAGTAAGTCTGTTTTACTGAGCGGCGGGACCCAATGGGCTCATGAACATGATCAAGTACAGATGGGCTAACAGAAGTACAGGGACATGCAAAACTGCTTCCGCGAATACCCCGAAGTCTATGGCTCTGAACTCGACTCCGACGCCGACGAAGAAGACGATATGAGTGCTACTCCCGCCTCAGAAGCTACCGAGACACCGTCACGCTCCTCGCCCACCTCTACCCCACCTTCCGATGCCTTCTCCTCCAACGCGCAGCCAACCCCCTCATCTGACGCCTCAACCAACGACCACGCTGCTCCAGCAAAAGGCAAAATTTCCGGGGAGCCCAACTCGAAACCCCAGACTGCGACGGGTGGTCTCGTCCCTGAAGAGTACAAGCCAAACACACAGCACAACCCCATGGTTGACGCGCGAGGAGACATGAGCAGCCTAGACAGCGAAAAGGAGAAGAGCAAGCAGAAGCCAAAGGGCGACAGCGACACAGAGAGGGCGAACAAGGCCAAGACCCAAGTTAAGAGTCAGGAGCCGGTTAGCGAGAGCGAGAGCATAGTGCCAAAGGCCAGTCATGATGCTGGTGCCGAGGGGACCATTGTGGTGGGAAGGAAGTAAGACGAGAGAAATAGGAATCCTGGGAAGGAAGTAAAGAGCACAATAGGAAACATGTGAAAGATGACGAAACGTTATTGATGAGATGTTGTACATGTATAATCTATTTGTACTATATTGCATGTAAAACAGCTACAGCTACAGCTACAGCTACAGCTACAGCTACAGCATGGAGTAGGTAGGGACACAACGGTAAAAGGAGAAACTCCTCCAAGAGCAAATGAAGGCAGCGGTTTGTAGGGACGAGGAGTGTTTTGATAGAGAAACCAACTCATCTTTGCTTAACGTCACCTTTCGATCAACCAGACATCAACTTTACCCTACACGTAATCCCACCACAATACAAAAATCAACTTCTCACACATCATCTTCTCTCGTCATCGTATCTCACGTGGAAAAGGGGAACACGAAAAGTCTCGGACAAACATGATCAGTGAACAAGAAGTTAAGATTGTAAAATACACATTGACTAAAAAAAGGGGGCGCTTTGCCTCTTTCTTCCCTGAGATGGACGCCCACCCGCCCACCAAAAACACCTTTGAATTTACCTTGCCTTCCCTTGTCCTTTCTTAGTGGAACCAGCCTATGTTGAATCTTCCAACGATTGAACTGGGTGATTAAACTGAACTGAGATGGTGTACGGTGGTAGCCAGCCTTTTGTGAGTGTTGTTGTGGGGGGTTGTACCTGCACTACACAGGACCAACGATGCCACCCGCACCATCGCGTAAGTCGAGAAAGGAAGCAACCAAGAAACTAGATCGACCAAACCAAACCACATTTTCTAAATCTCGACCTTACTGTATCCCTCCGCGCCTTCACTGACTGGCTGCGTAACACCGGCATCAACACTATCCCTCTTGACCCCCATACTATCCTCGCCCTTGCCCACGCCAAAGAATCGCATAGCCTCCTCCAGCGCATGTACTGCCTCCTCGGCACTCAAGCTACCAGGTAGACCCTGACCGCCAATGGAGCCGGAGATGCGCTTCGTTGCGTCTTCGAGAGCGCGAACGCGGCGCTGGAAGTTGAGGCGATCCATGAAGAGTTGCTGGCGGCGACGCTGGAGGTCGCGACGTTCAGCTGACAGCAGTTTCTCAAAATCGTTGAAGTGTGCGAGTTTGAGTTGCAGTTTTTGCAATTGTAGGTTTACGGCGCCGGAGACGAGGCGTGTCATGTGGCGTTCTTCGTGGGAGGCGAGGGCTGAGGAGCGGGCGGCGGAGAGGGCAAAGGGGAGGGTGGCGAGGGGGTTGGTGGAGGTGGAGTCCTTGGTTGCTACTTCGGTTGAGGTGTCGATGTCCATGGCGTCTCCGCCTTCGGGCTTCACGTCTGAGGCAGTGGCTGCAGGTGTGGATTGCTCGCCTTCCTTTTCCTTGCCCTTCTCTGATGGTGCGGTTGGGGCTTTGTTGATCTTATCTTGGAGTATGCGCTTCATCTCACCCACGCTGCGCCCTGATGCCACGGCGGCTTCAGTTACGTTTGCAGGCGCAAGGCCAGCCAAGAAGCTGACTACACTGAGAATGGGGTTGTCTGCATGGTGGATGGGTACGCGACCTTCGCTGAGATACTCGAGATCGCGGAGGAACTTTGTTGATGGAGCTGCCGATTGGGATTCGGTGAGATCTGCTTCGATGTACTTATCCTCAATCTCAAGCTGGAGAAACTTCATCACACACTGCTCGCGCGTCTTGGTTTGTACGTGGTCTGCGACGCGGTTCCAGTCATCATCAAACTCCTCCAAGCCTTCGAGCAGCAGAAGAGTCTCCTCTTCCGTCCACTTCTCTTCGTTCTCAGCAGTGGCTGAGCTCTCTGGGTTCGAGATCTTGGTAAAGTCTACCGAAGAGGTGCCTGAAGGGAAGTTGCCCTCGACAAAGCACCTTGGGCAAAGATCCCGCTTGAGACCACCTCCTTGCTTCAATTGACCCGGTTGCTCAGACGGCTTCGTCTCGTGGAAGTGTACGCGAGTGCATTCGACGCCACAGCTGAAGCAGTTGATGACCTTGATTGGCTCCTTTGCAGCAGCCTCAAGGTTCTTGACATGGACTGATGCACCGTTTGCTTCTCCGTTGGCTGCCTTTGGCTCTGCAGATGCTTCTTTGCCATTGGCTTCGTAGATGTTGCGTCCAGCTAAAGACTTGGTCTCACTCTTTGCAGTCGGTTGCTGGCTAGCGGCGCGATCGGTGGCTGCAAGTTGCTTGCCTTCTGTCACTTTCGAGCCTGGTCCTGGCTGGAAAGGTTGCAGTCCGCGGGGAGTATCGACTGTGACACGGAAGTGGCCGGTGAATGGAGGACCAATGTTTGATGGCCGTTCTTGGGGATCCACCTAGACAACTGTTAGTCGTAATTCTTGTGCAATGGTGAAAAGGCATCTACCTGATAGTTAATCAGACCCCACTGTTCGAGAAAGGCGTGTACGCGCATGATGGCGCACACGTCTCCCGCGAGATTCCTTCGGCATGCGGTTACTGTAAGATACTCTGAAGGGTTAAGGCGGTAGGTATTGATCATGAAATCGCGGTAGTCTCGGTACACAGCTGGCGTCTTGCTGCGATTGCGGCCGTTGAAGAACTCGGGTAGGGCCTTGTGTTCGCGGTAGTCGATGTATCGCATGTCGAACCAGGTCGCATAGCTCGGAATGATGGTCGCATAGGTCTGAGTAACGAAATGGGAGCGTGCGGCTGATTGCAGGTCGGCCTTTGCCTGTGCCTCTGGGTCCATGGCATCGGCGCCTTCGCCATTCTCTTTCTTGGTATCATCTACACCGCCCATCTCCTCGTCTTCTTGGCCATCTGCATCCTCCGTCTCCGGTCCCGGACCGTCGGGTGCGTCTGGCGGGTTGTCTGGTGCATTTGCAGGTGTGGCAGTGGCTTCGTTTGATGACTCCTTGAGGGCGTCTTCGAGGAAGTTCGGGTCTGCCATGTGCCTTAGTAACTCGTCATTTGGCGCCGCAAATATACCCATCATGTCTTCCAATGTAGAAAGTTTATCTTGGCCGTCAAAGTAGCCGCTTTGCAGCCACTCGGAGTGGGCGGCAGACATGGTCGATGGTGGTGTTATCTGTGGGAGATATGTAGCTTACCTTGATCCAGTGCGTTTGCGTCTGCACCATTGTCTCCAGTGAGAGTGGGGTCATGGGCTGCTGTGCTTCCAGTCGCGTCGTCCGCCATAGCTACAATAGAGCTGTTGCGATGCGATAGCTCACTGTTAGGCGTTATGGGTGCGATGTCGCCCGAGGATATAGCTCGACGCAAATATTCTGGATGCGTGCGCAATAGTAGCTTATTTGCACAGAATTATCGCGTCGCAATTGTTGGCAAATAAGGGTGGGGATGGGGGGATGACGGGGATGCGATGTGCGGCTGGTTGTGCGGCTGGTGTCGCGTCTGGAGTTCGCGATAGATCCTCGAACGGCCTAAGCAAAAGTCCACTTCAACACTAAAGTTAGCGCTAGGAGCAGCACATCACGTGATTTTTCTGCGCTCCACATGCAAGGGCTAGCGCCGGATATCGACCATGTCAAACCGAGGTCATACCTAGGCTAGATAGTCATACTCGGCCTTCGACCTCTCCGCGCTTTTGACCTCGCTTTCACTTTTGTTGTTCCAGACAATTCCATAGGGATTTAGCTCTTGTGAGGGTAATTCTTCGTCTTTCGTTATAGCCCACCATGTTCTCCCTTGCACGCCGATCCATCCTTCACGCAGGCCGAACACGGCTTCAGTTCACACGCTTTGCTTCTACACTCGCCGTTCTCGAACAAAAAGAGGGAAAACTTGTATCACAATCGCTTGCCGCCATCACAGCAGGAACAAAAATTGGAGGCTCAATAACAGCTTTTATTGCTGGAGGTGGGGTCAAGTCTGCCGCTGACGAGGCTGCCAAATCAAAGGGAGTAGAAAAGGTGGTTTACGTTGAGAATGGAGCCTACGATCGATGTCTTCCCGAGAACTATGCACCACTCTTGGTAGAGAACATCAAAAAGGGCGGATATACACATGTTGTTGCTGGCCACTCAGCCTTTGGAAAGAACATCATGCCCCGCGTCTCAGCGCTCTTGGATACGCAGCAGATATCAGACATTACTGCTGTTGAAAGCGAAGATAGTGAGTGGGCCGCTCACGATTCCGGGATTGCCTACTGATTCCATCTGCAGCCTTCGTTCGACCAATCTACGCCGGCAACGCCATCATGACGGTGCAATCGTCCGACAGCGTCAAGGTCATCACCGTCCGCGGCACCGCATTCCCCGCACCCGAGCCCGAAGGTGGCAACGCAACAGTCGAGGAGGGCGTAGACCCCAAGGCTGAGTGCGCAACTGAATGGGTATCCGAAGACCTACAAAAGTCTGATCGTCCCGATCTAGGCTCAGCAGAGCGAGTTGTGTCAGGAGGGCGTGGTTTGAAGTCCAAGGAGGAATTCGACAAGCTCATGCCACCTCTAGCAGATGCGCTTGGTGCCGCCATCGGCGCATCGCGAGCAGCAGTTGACAGTGGATTTGCCGACAACAGTCTGCAAGTTGGACAGACTGGAAAGAACGTTGCGCCGCAACTATACCTTTGCGCGGGTATCTCAGGGGCTATTCAACATCTGGCAGGTATGAAGGACAGCAAGGTTATTGCAGCCATCAACAAGGATGGCGAGGCGCCAATCTTCCAAGTCGCCGATGTTGGTCTCGTTGGTGATTTGTTCGAAAAGGTACCTGAGTTGACGGAGAAGCTAAAGTCACAGTAAGACCTGAGAGCCTCATCAAAATCGAAACTCAAAAGCTGTACATACTCAGATTGATGAAATAATCAAACCGTTCACACAATTTCGATGCAGCATCTGGGCCTGCCAATATCCTTGTCCGTACATGTCTTTCTACAGCATCACTCCATATGGTAGATTATATAGCATGACCTGCATGAAATCATGCAACCGCAACTTCCACGCCAGTGTCAATCCAGGTCCTTGGCGTGCGTCAGTGGCCGATCAACCACTAGCACATGTCACCCACGATCCGTCTCCAGGTCCACCCCGCCGATAGCCGAGTATTGTGGCACTTGCAGACCTCTAAGAGACGTGCCATTATCCGCTGCCAAGTATCCCTCAGTTCATCTTCTTTTGTCGTGACATATGCTTTTTTCTTTCCTATCCTCTCTTTCTCCACGTTGTTTCGCCGCTTTCGTGTTAGCCTTGTTTGACCAGCATCTACCTAGACATGGCAGTCACCGGACATTATTAAAGTACTTGCACGTGCATACCAGATCATCTATCGAGTGATAAGTCTGTATGATTCACGCCTTGTCTTCTTCCTACAAGCTCTGAACGCGCCCTTCAAATTGATAATGTCTCGCACACCACATTCTATTGATGATGCAGCATGAACAAAGTGAGCTGAATCAGCCCCACGGCTCGAAACATGCAACCCATTTCGAAGCCGATCACTCAGGGCCATCTCCCAACGCGAAAGGAAGCAGCAAAAAAAGATGGTGGAACATTTGGAAGAAATGGGAGGGTGAAGACAGTGATTGGTGGTTCGCGAGTACAGGTATCCCGCTTCTGGCTGCTACGCTTGGACCACTGGCAAATGTCAGCTCAATTGCGGCTCTGGTGACGCCATGGAGGCAACTGAACATCATAGATGGGGAAAAACTAACGGATTTTAATGGTGTACCGTTTGGCGATCCGAGATGGTGAGCAGACTGTCCCTTGACCGTCTTCCGGGAATTCCCGGGTATCACATGATCCGATAGTGTTGTCGAAGACGATGGAAAGCTTATGGCTAACAGAATCAGGTGCTATTGGATCAATGTAGTTTCTTTGGTATGCGGGTTTCTTGGTAGGAAGCGCCCAAATGTACCACCTCTATATTTTCACTGACTTGATGTCGCAGGCAATCTTTTCTTACTCCTCAACTTTACCCAAAGAATTCGATATATTATCGCCTTGCCGGCAACAGTAATATTGTGGTACCTTTCGTCCGGCTTTCTGATTGCCATTACAACATGTATGCACGTCTACGTACCGCCCATTCGACCGGAGCAAGGGTACACCCAGGGCTTTTGGTACGCCATCGCAGCAGCAGCATTTTACACAATATGTTCTATGATTCTAATGATCAACATGCTTGGATACTTCCTGGGACATTACCCGGAAAACTTCGCTTTGAGCGAGAGCCAAAGAACGCTTATCCTGCAGACAATGGCGTTCTTCATATGGCTTGGGGGCGGAGCTGCGGTGTTTGCTAAACTCGAACAAAACGCTGGGAATGACAGTTGGAGATTTGCTGATGCTGTAAGTCCCATTTCCATAACATTTGTTCTCTTAAATCGCCTTGGGCTACTATGTACGACCTACCTGTTGTTGAGGCACTGGCTAGCCCAGGTACTGTCACACTGCCACAATGACGAGTACCATATAATACTATTTCTCATTGGATATCTCAAGCTAACAAAAGTAGCTCTACTTTTGTGATGTCACAATTCTCACTGTAGGATTCGGCGACCTCGTACCAACGACAGACGTCACTAGGGGTATTGTTTTTCCATATTCAGTAGGAGGTGCCAGTAAGCATGTCCAGTTACGATATACAGACATCACACTAAATCCGCACCCATCTAGTCACACTCGCACTTATAGTATCGTCTTTGTACACGGCAGTACGGGAGCTGGGTGACGAGAAAATTATACAAAAACACATCGACCGCATGAGATCACGCGTTGTTGAACGCACAGTATCCAATTCATTTGATCTACGTCATCAGGAGCGTGAAGCACATCACCTTCTCAGAAGACGCAAACTAGGATTTCCAAAAATCTCCCAGCCTACTGAACCCCGGCCCTTTCGTACTCCGATGGGTGAGTCTATTCAGCGCAGATCGACATTTCCACGCGTTACCAACGCACTCCGTATCACTTCCAAACCCCCAATTAGGCTTTTGAAGGAGGAGAAGGATCGATTCGAAGCGATGCGCAAGATCCAAGCTGATTCTAAAAAGTTCAAGAGATGGATGGCGCTGTTTTGGTCGGTAACGACATTTTCAATTCTTTGGTGCGTTGGAGCTGCTGTATTTTGGATGGCAGAGAAGGATACGCAAGGCATGACGTACTTTCAAGCCCTGTACTTCTGTTACGTCAGTTTGCTGACCATCGGGTATGGAGATCTAGCGCCAAAGTCGAATGCTGGACGGTGCTTCTTCGTTATTTGGAGTCTAATTGCGGTTCCGACGATGACAATTCTCGTTTCCGATCTGGGCGATACCGTGGTGGCGAATTTCAAGAGATGGAGCGACGAGTTCGCAGACTTTACAGTTCTACCGAAAGCAGGTATATGGCGTTCGTTTCTCGACAAGCATCCTTGGTTGCTGTATTGGCTACAGAGATGGACAGAAAGAAGAGCAAGGAAGCGACGGCTGAAGAAAGGTTTCTCCGTTGCAGATCCACGGGAAAACGATGCAGATACAAGTACCTCCAGTCTTGCTCATCGTGGGACCTCTCCAGATGACCCTGAAGATGCCGAGGAGCGGGAAGCGGAAACCGATATCGAACTAACTCAACATCCAACCATTGAAGCCCTCGCAGAAGAAGCAGAGGCAGACACCAACAAGACACCCGATCGTGCATCAATCTCCCGTCGCCTCGCCCTCTCCATCCAAAGAGTCTCCCGAGATCTCAAAATCCCCCGTAAACGCTACACCTATGAAGAATGGGTCGAATTCACGCGTCTGATACGCATGACGGACCCGGAACGCTTAGATCGCAACTTGGGCACGGCGAGTGGCGCGACGGAAGATGAGAATCAGGAAGAGGGACTGGTGAACTGGGATTGGATTGGGGATGATAGTCCGATGGTAGCAGGGGTGAGTGAGAGCGAGTGGCTTATGGAACGCTTGATTGAGAGTCTGGTGAGGCTGGAGAAGAGGAAGGAGATTGCGAGGGACAGGGCGGATATGGGGGCGTTGAGGGAGATGGAGGGTAGATATGGTAGAAGCAGCGAGATAGAGAGAGCAATAGAGGGGGGTGTGGTGAGAGAAGTAGATGGTGGTCAAGTAGGGACATTGGAGTAATGAAGTTTCTGGATAGAACTCCTCTGGATACACTCTGATGCAACTGCTGATTGGACATAAAGTAGTCGTTGATGTTGAATTTCTCATGGTATTGATATCAAGAAACTACACGCGGAAACCTCCAAACATCATTGATCAGCAGAAATACACGAGAGAATTTCCAAACGTATACCAGAATATTTTCAAAACGTTGGTGAAGTAGAAAAGAAGACAACCATAATGCATTAAACTGGTACACCTAGCAATGTCTAGAGTGGAGAATACTCTATGAGACCTTTTCTTCAAAAACTCCCCTCTCATCTAAAACGCCGTTGAATGCGAATCATAACGGCCTACAATAGCTAAGCTTTTACATGTCCATATCCGGCATCTGCAAGTCGTCGCCGGGTTCCATGAGATTCATAAGATACCGAGAACCTGAGAACCAATCTTGCATGGGGTTGTGGTTTCCGCGTGGTTGTCCAAAGCCGACACCCATTGCACCGGGAGTGTTAGTGGCATCCGCAAAGTCCATACCGGGAGAGGTGCCACTGTAGCCATCCATTGGCCAGCCAGGGTCGGGGTTCATCAGGCCCAACGCACTCAGATAGGGGTCGAACTGTGACATGGCGTTGAGATCGAGTTGTGTGTTATCCGCCGCAGCGTAATAATCTGATTGGTTGTTTTGTGCAAAATTCTGGGATCGATTGGCGGCATCCTGTGTCTTGGCTATTATGTAGAGTCTGGCAACCCGTAAGAAGAGATGGCACATCCTGTAGAGCTTGTCTGCTCCTTCGGAAATGGTGCGGCAGGACTCGAGGCTCCCAACGAATTCCGACAGTGAGTTGAGATCGGCATCGAGATTGGATGTGTCTGCTGTTTGGATGGCATTACAGAAGATAACGATAAAACTATGGTATTCAGTTAGCATGACTAGTACGTGATTTGTAAACGTTTGACGTACGGGGTAAAAGGTGCCTGAAGAATGGACCAGTGTACATAGCCTGACCATAATCTTTCTTGACCTTTCTTGTTAAATTGTGCATTTGCTCTCATGTGCGCTACAAGAGCCTCTCTTGATGATTGAAGACAAGCTTGAGTGAAAGCCATGTTGCCAGGGCTTACCGCACGTTGAATGAGTGCGCATATGGAGTAGTGCATAACAACATCAGAATAGAAGAAGATATCTTGGGCACGTTCAAAAGATCCTATGCTGATTAGATGGTTGTTTTGCTCTTGGAAGACTTCGCGACATACCTGAAATATATTCATCTGGGTCGGCATCCTTGTTGGTAGTCCGGTGTACGTATCGCTTGTATTGAGAAGGGCAAGGTGTCTCGTTGGGACTGCGGCCTATCCCTTCCGGCCGTTGTGAGACAAAGCTCATATCGTCATCTAGTCTTGAGAGTTTTAGAACTGATGCATCGCCTCGCTCGTACCAAGCCTGGTTCATCGCTTGAACAAGCTCGATTGCGGTTTGTGTACGCTCTTCAGTTGACCTCAAGAAAGCAGCGGGGCAGAAGAGCTTTTCGTAAGTCGACCCTTGCACGCGTGCAACCTTGATCCAATACGACAACAAGTGGTTTCCTTCAGGATTTTTGTCACCCGGCTCACTTGGAACGAGAAATGGCAAGGAGATGTCCCAATCCTGTAGAACACTGGAGCGACCCAAACGCAGCGAAAGAGTTTTGTCGAACATGTAGATCATCCAAAAGATTTGTATCTTCGAATGCCTCTCTGCGGGAGTGTCGTTGACCATGGTGTTGATACGGTGATAACCCAAGTTCTGACATAAGCTTGCTGCACACGACGTCATGATCCAACATAAGGAGGCCTTGCCCATCTCAATCGCCTGTGCAGCACCAAATACTAGGGCCAATATGTTCTCATAGCTTGCCGGCAGGAATATGTCCAGTTGACTCAAGGCTACATCTGATTGGCGTTTGCAAATAGCAGCGTAGGAGGCATATTCGGATACGTCCATGTTGGCTAGAGGGAACGTCCGGAATTCGTTGAATAAGTTCTCCAAAACGCCGTAGGTAAGTACGCGTCGAGCAGCACTACATGTTCCCGGATTGTGGTATGCGTCTTCGGAGATTTCCTTTAGGTTAGCCATCCGGAGGTACGGGAACGCTAAAGCGAAGGCCATGGTCGGATACTCTGCTGAGATTAGTCATGGCAGAGGAACGTCCGACGCTCGTACTCACTTATTGCCTTATCCAGCACTTTGCATACCACGGGCCAAGGCGGGCTTTCTAGCTGCGTAGGATCGACTTCGGCAAGGGAGCGATTGATTGGCGCATTACCTGACGAAGTGTTTTGTTGCTGGGACACCATCTCTGATAGAGCGGTAAGGGCCATCTTGACTTCTTTATTTTCACCAATTGAAGGTGTGCTCCCAATAGCTTGCGCGAGCATCTCACGAGCATAGTCAGACTGACTGTTGATAGAGCTCTCGCCTTCGAAAGGTACAGGCGTGGGAGCATCCGCTAGCCCACTTCCTGGGCTTCTCGCGGCGCCAACGCGACTGGATCGGGACTGACTCGTGCTGTCATTCCAATCCTTTTGAAGGTCAAGGTTCCCGAGCTTTGTAGATAGGCTAGCAAGAACATTTTCAATACCCGCCAGACGGTCCTCGATACGGTCGATCTTTTTCTCGCTGAGGAAAGTCAGTTCTAGTAGATGGCTCTCTGCATGCTGTCCAGAAAATAGGAAGGCATGCCGGCACTATGGCGAGGGAATCATTGTCCCGAGTGGACTCACTATTCTTCCGAGATGTGGACTCTTTGTCGCTGGGCTTTCTGTTGGGGAGCAGTTGTTTTGCAAGCTTCGCGAATCAGCTGTGACTCAGCACGTGCACAGCAGGAGCTTCATACTTAATTTGCTAGCTCTACAATTGGAGCAAGGGAAACCTCTATCGCAGCGTATCTTGCGTGTGCGACAATTATCACACTGTATGTAGATCGTCAACAGGTGTGGGTTTTAAACAACTGGGAACATCCACTTACAGCCCGCTTGGACATGCCGCCTTCGAGCGACGCATCCATGTCCTCCTCATCCATCGTGGAAATGGCGTAGTTGGCGCCGCGTTAATGTTCCGCGGGGTGTGTGGAGAGGGAGAGTTATGGGCAGTGTTCGGGGAAATGGACTTCTCGGGTTCCAGACCCAATAAAGGCGATCGACGATGTCATTACTCGACGCCAACGATCTGACCAAACAACAACCATCATAAAGCGCATTGTCAATAATGTATCTGCATATAGTCAGATGGCATGCTCTGGCACGATCAGAAGTAGCTATACTGTGTACTACGTGTAGATGTCGTAAAATGCCCTGACAACCCGCTCTTCGGAGACAGGTGCCAAGAAGACCCGCTCCCCGATTGGCCCGGATGGGTCGGGTCGTATGCGGTCCAACTTGGCATGACGGGAAGGTTGAGCAATCTGACACCTCGCCAGACAACAGCGGACGTGAGCTGTACTCATCATTCTCTGGTAGCGATATGGACTCCACTACACAATTCGAAGACAGACCCGAAAACCCCAAGAACACGTGATAACCCATTAGCCTGCGCACTCCAAGGGTTACTACCCAGTAGGGGGTCTATTGGATCGCTGAAACGGTCTTGGAGAACAGTCGATTTGCCGTCGAAACATTGGTTTGTTTGTTTGGCATACCCTCTACGACCAGACGGCTAGGTACAATCCACGACTTAGCCCTCTTAGGGTCCTTCAGGGGCTCCATTGAAAAACACAGGATCGTGTCCTTATCCTGCCGTTCTCCCGTGTATACGAATATAATTGGCATTCCATCTCCGCTATAAGGCATCGCTACTCTCCCTCACGGTTTACCCAACCATGTCAAAACCCGAAGAGATATCACAAACTCCTTTACAACAAGATGACAGCGATGGAAAAGCAAGTGGGACATCCGTAGATGATGGCGATGGCGATGGCGATGGGACTCGTGATGAGCCAAAAGATGAGTCGAATAGCTATATTGTGGGTCTCCTAAACTTGAAACAGTTTGCAATTTTGGAAAAATCACAACGTTAACGTTAACGTAACGACAGCGCATTTTCAAGTACGCAGATCGGACAAGTTGGATACTCAACATCATAGCGGCCATCGCAGCTATTGCCGCGGGAACCCTGCTTCCGCTACTGGATCTAATCTTCGGAAAATTTGTGTCGTCATTCAATGGATTCGCAACAGGTTCAATGACACCAGCGAAATACCGATCTGAAGTGAACAAGTATACTCTATACCTTGTCTATCTCTTCATCGCAAAGTTTCTCCTCGTCTACATCCATTCTGTAAGTACCTAGATTGAAATTACCAGCATCCCAGGTCTCACAAGAATACTTACATGGCCCAGACTCTCATGTCTATTGCGGCAATACGCACCACCAAAGCCCTACGCATGGACTTTCTCAAACATATCCTTCGCCAAAACATTGCATATTTCGACTCGGAAGAAGCCGCCTCGGTCTCCGCCCAGGTCACCACCAATTGCAACAACGTCAACAATGGCATCTCTGAAAAGCTATCGCTGACAATCCAGGGTGTATCAACATTTGTCTCGGCCTTCGTCGTGGCCTTTGCCGTTAATTGGAAGCTCACCTTAATAACCATCAGTATCGTGCCGACGATCCTTGTCGTTGTCAGCATTTGTATCGGTCTCGATGCGAAGAATGAGGACCAACTGTTACCGATATACTCCAGAGCTGGACAACTTGCCGAAGAAGTCTTTTCGACTGTACGCACAGTTCATGCGTTTTGGCTGCATCCTTTGATGTCGCGCAAGTACGACAAGCTGCTTGGCGATGCAATGGATGTTGGCATGAAGAAGTCGCCAATATATGCGGTGATGTTCTCCACCGAATTCTTCTGCACATACTGTGGGTATGGACTTGCGTTCTGGCAGGGCATCCGCATGTTTTCTAGGGGCGAGATCAAACAGAGTGGTATGTAATACTTCCATGTTGGGCTAAAATCTACTGGAATGGTTCCTGTCGATCAGTTGTAGTACAGTGTTGAGTTGAGATGGGGCCTGAGAGACTACATATCGCTCAAGAGCGGCACACGATACTAACGCGTACAGGCGACGTCTTCACCGTTATTTTCGCCGTTATAGTCGCAGCAAATGCGATGACAACAATAGCTCCCCAGATAATGGCCTTCACAAAAGCCGCTTCCTCCGCCACCGAAATCTTCAAAACCATCGACCGCAAATCTGAAATCGACCCCCTGAGCGACTCGGGCATAGTACCGACTAAATGCACCGGCGTCGTGGAAATCAAGGACATTGAATTTGCTTACCCGGCCAGACCTGACATCACGGTCTTGAAAGGCTTGACGCTCTCGGCTCCTGCCGGCAAAACGACAGCTCTAGTAGGGTCATCGGGCAGCGGCAAATCCACAATCATTGGGTTGATAGAGCGCTGGTATGATCAGAGTAAGGGTACGATATGGATTGATGGTGTAGACATACGCGAGTTGAACCTAACATGGTTGCGCACCAATGTGCGCTTGGTACAGCAAGAGCCCGTTCTGTTCTCTGGTACTGTATATGAGAACGTTGCTGCCGGTCTTTTCGGTACCGAAAAGGCTAGCCTGCCGGAGGACAAGCAAAGAGAACTTGTCGAGAAGGCATGCAAAGATGCATATGCGCAAGAGTTCATTGAGCAGCTACCACAGGTATGCTCTGCCCTTCACATCCGTGAATGGATTCGCTAACGGAGAAACCAGGGCTACGATACACAACTCGGAGAACGTGCTATGAATATCTCTGGAGGCCAAAAACAGCGAATAGCCATTGCACGTAGCATTGTTTCAGAGCCGACTGTCCTACTCCTCGACGAAGCCACGAGCGCTTTGGACCCAAAGGCGGAGAAAATCGTACAGCAGGCGCTTGAGAGAGTCTCTGAAGGCCGCACTACGATTGTCATTGCACACAAGCTCTCGACTATCCGAAATGCCGACAACATTGCAGTCATGACTGGTGGCGTTGTGGTTGAACAGGGCTCACATGATCAACTTCTCGAGGCGAATGGTGCATATGCTCGTCTCGTCAGGGCTCAAGATCTTGGTCAAAGTCAAGGTGAAGATATTTTGAATGAGGATGATGATGCTGAGAAGGTTGCGCTGGTACGTACTCAGACCCAGGTATCCGGTAGTGGTCAAGAGGCAAAGCAACCGGACAAGGACAGCATCAACTACAGCCTGATGAAGTGTACCTTCCTGGTGCTTAAGGAGCAGGGTGAAGTTTGGAAGAGCCTCCTGGTCTGTTCAGTCGCTTCTCTAATTGGAGGCGCTACGTTTCCGGCTCAAGCAGTACTCTTCTCTCGCGTTGTCGAAGCCTTCCAGCTGCCTCCTGCACGGGCCGTGGACCGAGGCGACTTTTTCTCGCTAATGTTCTTCATTGTTGCAATCGGTAATCTGGCCGTCTACTGCGCCGTGGGCTGGTCGAGTAACATTGTAGCACAGCATGTTGCAAGGAAGTTTCGTCGTGAGATTTTCGATCTTCTGCTCAAACAAGATATGGCTTTCTTCGACGACCAAAACAATGCGAGCGGTGCACTAGCGTCGAACATTTCGGCATATCCCGACAACCTCCGCGAACTGATGGGTTTCAACTTGTCACTCATACTTGTCAACATTGTCAACGTGGGCGCAAGCTCCATTCTAGCCATTGCGGTTGGTTGGAAGTTGGGACTGGTAATAGTTTTTGGAGCCTTGCCGTTTATTATTTTTGCTGGGTACCTTAGGATCCGACTTGAATTCAAGCTCGAAGAACTCACTGGCAAGCGCTTCGCCAGCAGTACCGCACTTGCTTCAGAAGCAGTCTCGGCCATTCGCACGGTGTCGAGTCTCGCACTGGAACGACACATCCTCGCCACATACGAAAATCGGCTACGCGGTGTCGCACGGGATGGCATCAAAGCTCTGTTCTGGACCATGTTCTGGTATGGGCTGTCGCAGTCAGTATCCTTCTTGGCCATGGCGCTTGGTTTCTGTAAGATATTTGTTTCTACTATCATCTCCGTAGCTAACGGAAAGCAGGGTACGGTGGTCGCCTCGTCAGTACCGGCGAGTACACGACTAGACAGTTCTTCACAGTCTTCATCGGTGTCATCTTCTCCGGGGAAGCAGCTGCCGCGTTCTTCTCTTATACGACCAGTATGACGAAGGCGGCAACTGCGGCGAACTACGTCTTTTGGCTGCGTAGGCTGAAACCTGCTGTACAGGAGGATCCGACGAAGCCACCTTTCGATAACGAAAAGGGCCAGGGTTCAGTGCACATGGAGATACAGGATGTTGTTTTTGCATATGAATCTCGGCCACATGCAAAGGTCCTTCAAGGCATCAATATCGACGTACGTCCGGGGCAATTCATCGCGCTTGTGGGTGCTTCAGGCTGCGGAAAATCGACCATGATTCAGCTCCTTGAGAGATTCTACAATCCAGTCAAGGGGCAAATTCAATGCGATGGCCGATCGTTGGTGGATCTATGCCCGCGCAAATACCGATGCGACGTGTCCCTCGTTCAGCAAGAACCTGTCCTCTACCAGGGGTCTGTTCGTGATAACATCGCCATGGGCATCGAGACCGAGGTCACGGATGCGCAGATTGAAGCCGCAGCCAAACAGTCCAACATATCCGATTTTGTCGCGTCTTTGCCGGATGGCTTCGCAACCATGTGTGGTAACAGGGGCACACAGCTGTCGGGCGGGCAACGCCAACGCATCGCCATAGCCAGAGCGCTGATTCGAGAACCGCGTCTACTTCTCCTTGATGAGGCTACGTCGGCGCTGGATACCGAGTCTGAACGCGTGGTTCAGGCGGCGCTGGAGGAAGCACAGAGTGGGCGGACCACCATCGCTGTGGCGCACCGTCTCAGTACGATCAAGGATGCAGACTTGATTGTTGTCTTTGCACGGGGCAAGATTGCCGAGAGTGGAACTCATCAAGAGCTTCTCGCGAGAAAAGGAGTATATTATGAGATGTGCCTGGGGCAAAGTTTGGATCGAGCGATACCAGGCTGAGGGTTGAGCTTGCATTTGGAATGCTCATTGACCCCTTTCTTCTATCCCGAGCCTGAAAAGCCTTGTTATATATCATAATTATAGTGTTGTTAATTGTTAATTGTTAATATACTTTGTGTGTCTAAGAGACGCCCTTGGGGGTTAGTAGGCAGATATTGCGCATTGAATGCCAATCGACGCGGAGACTCTCCATGGTACAACGTGCTGTTTTGAATCGTGCTAGTTCCACGGCAAAACAAGCGTTTGCATGGCAGTGGCATGGCAGTGCCGTTGGTGTACAATCAATTTGAAATGTGCGCCATGTACTATTTTCAGCTTGATGACTATGATGACAGTTTGGTGTTGGGCAAATCGGCAGCGTTGAGTGGCGTCATCGGAATGACAGACGGACCTCGACACGAATCCAAATCGGCATCTGGATAAGAAGATACGACATGCAACCTTACCCCACAAGAAGGTAATTTGAGATAAATGGTTGCGCCCAGAGGTAGAAAGGATGTTGCAGTTGATGCGGGAAGAAGGGCGCCCGCACGCCTGATTATGCTCAGGCCTCATGTATCGGCCAGGGTCCTACGGTCCTACGCCACAGATAGTCCCGGGACTCTACCCGGTGTTTCCCGGTTCCTGGCTTCACTTCACTTCTACACCCGGACTTGATAGCACCCGTACAGTACTAACAACTGTCCCTGAAGCTGTCAAACCATGTGCATGGCCCTTCACCCCCAACGGGGAACTGACTGCTGGCCTAGATTGGCCTTGCCGCCCGCGCTAGAATGCAATTTACCCATCTTGTGCACAGGTCCTATGTCGACGTGGCGCACTAGGCGCGTCATGCCTTTCATTCCATGAGGCACTCTTGCGATAGTCAGTTAAGAACTCTAACGCTTACATATGCCGTCGCCGCCCGTGTGGACGTGGTGAAGCACAACGCGCTGCATGATGGCGCGGTCAAACCGCCAAGCTGTCTCAGCATTTCGCTACACCCAACCACCAGCCTCATACAAGCACCGAGTTCCTGCGGCTACATTGCTTAGCATCGCGCCATTCATTCCCATTGCTGCTTGCTCATGTCGATCCTGCACCTCATGTCATGGTCGTTATTGAGCCTTAGTTTCAAGGACATCAGCTTCCCCCAAATCGCATCGCAGTCGTTTCAATGGCATCTGACCCCCGAGAGCTGGGGATCAGGGAAGTTCCAAGTAGACCCACTGATTCACCCATTCGGAGACGTTGCGCGACTGAGGCTAATTGACCCTGCCCGGTAAACTCCCAAGCCGTCATCCCACACTTGAAAGCATTGGCGGCTCCATCCTTCTGAAGCTTCACTCTCCTCTCCACTTCTTGGTTACGTGGAATCGCACGTTTACCGCACATTGAACCCCTTAGGAAGCTAGGCCTCCATATTCAACACCTTCTCCGTTGAACGGATACATTCTTTTTTGCTTTTTTGCTTTCTGGAGTTTTCTGTCCTGGAGACGTTCCCTAATACCCTAGTTTGCTGAACTCGTTCCGCGAACTACTACGTTCCGACTGTGTGAGCTCGGGATACGCCTAGCTACCTAATACTCTTTACCAATCACATCAACCATGGCACACTACCAATTACGGCGGCCATCACCCGTCACAATCTTCCCAAGGCGCGTCCGTCGACAAGCCGCCGCTACGTCGTCATCGGCTGCAATGGAAGAGGAGGAACCAGAAAGTCCAGGCTCTCCGCTAAGCAGCCCATCATCCGCCGGCTCTCAATCATCTGACAGCGAATCGGATTCTGATGACGAAGAAAGTGCGAAGAAAAAGGACGAGAAGAAGCAACAAGAATTAAAGTCGGCATCAAGTTCCCCTGCAGCGTCAACTGCAGCATCATCAAGGCCCGTACAAACACTCGGTCCCGACCCCACTACAGCTTCATCACAAATGCCACTCGCATCCTTGATCAGCTTGATGAATACGTCAAACGCTTCATCAATACCCCAAATTACAGGTACGACTCTGTCGACAGTGCCACGTCCGACCATTACGTCGACCATCACAGAGATTAAGAGCCAGACTGAAAGAAAAGAACAATCAGCGCCAACAGCCACGGCACCTCCGCCACCATCACCATTTTTACCCACCACTGCAAGAGCGGGGCAGAATGCGCCGAGCAGTATGCCACAGGAGACGTTGCCGCAAGATGCAGAACAGCGGCCGATAATGACAAGTGAGGCCAGGATAGCGGCAATTGTCTTGGGTGTACTAGGTACGTCATCGTCAAGATTTCTTTGAAAGAATACATGAACTAATGGCCCAATACAGGTGCTGTAGCCCTCCTAGTCTGCGCAATGATCCTATTGAGGCGTCGCAAGCGCAAGGACCGAGAAAACCACGTACCTCGTGGTCCCGACGCCTTTAACCCGTCCAACACCAACTCAGCCATTGCACCCGAAATTGTTAATGTACCCGACACCGCACATACAGGTGCCGCATCTTCTGTCTTCACACGTCTCAATGGCGGCGCCAGCGGCGGTGGCGATGGCCATATAACACGCAGCACGGACCGTAGCAACACGCTCTTCGGCGGAGGATCATATTATCGGCCAGAAACTGTTTCCACAAACCGCAGCATGTCGCGCATACCACCACAAACACCAAACCCCTTTGCCGATCCACCGCTCAACAAGGCATATGATGTGCTCAACAACCGGCCACGAAGTACAACGCTAACGGATCGAGGGAGCTGGATGAACAACCCGTTTAAGAATCCGGAGAGCGAAAGATTTGATCCTTTTGGCGAGTTGAAAGACAAGGCGAGGAGAGAAAGATTGAGGTATCTTCAGGAGGCGAAGAGGGAGGCTGAGCTGCAGAGGCAGATGGAGCAGAAGGAGGCAATGGGTTTGAGACCGGATGGGATGCCTTTGGATCAGAGCGGGTATAGGTGAGGGAGAGGAGATATGTGTTGATACGATAAGGAGATATAATATAAAGAAATAACCAAAATTTTGTCAAAGATGGTGCCCCTAAGTTGACTTGTCACGTGTCTGTGGTGCGTGATAGGCATGGCATAAAACTAACCCCAACGGGAAGGACAAAATGTGTACCCGACGACCCCTACATTCCAAGAAATATGCAAACTTCAGGTCTCGGCGTCAAACTTCGGATCCTTAGCATTCAATGCTTGATCATACTCAATCTGCACCTCATGCTCCATACCATCCTCACCCACCATAAGCGCGCAATTCTTCCCAATCAGATGCCACTCCTTCTCATCATACGTCGTCGGCTCACTTGCAACAATCGTATGCTTACCCATCTGGTCCGCCTGCGCAATAACCTCGGGATTCACAGCTGTCAACGAGTCTGGCAGTCCAGGATATTTAGTGTTCAATGTGGTGCCCGCAAACTCGGACCAGTAGAGCGAAGGTGGCTGCTGCGTAGCGTGATTACGGAAGCGAATAGCCAGCATCCTGGAGCCGTCGGTGGTGCAGAAGTTGAGCGAGTTTGGTGTGTTTTCGGTGGGCTTGAGCTTGGTGGCTTGCAGGGTGAGGATTTGGATGACGGTTTTGCACATGGCGGCGAACATTTGATCAAGAGGGTAGGACTCCTCCCATGTTGAGGCGGCGCCACCGTTGGTTAGGTTCGTCATGTAGAGGGCGGCAGCGTGCTCGGAGTCTGTGCTCCCGAGGATATTGCAGTAGGCGTCGAAGGAGAGCAGGTCCGTCATTTCGCGGCGGATGGCGGAGAAGTTTGAGATTACGCCGTTGTGCATGAAGACGTGGCGGCCGAAGACAAAGGGGTGCGAGTTTACTTGCGTTACGACGCTGCCGCTGCTGGCGCGAATGTGGGCGAAGACACAATGGGATTCGGTGTTGTGGCAGAGGGACTTGAAGTTGAAGTCGTTGATGGGTGGTGATTGGGATTTGTAGAGGGCTGGGCGGAGGCCCATTTATGTGTTTGATGTAGGAGGAGGTGGCTTTTGTGTACCCTGAAATGTGTGAGTTTTGATGACTTGAACGGGGTAGGACGGTATTCGCAATGATCATTACGCTATAGTTAGGAGGAATGTATGAGGGTCCAAGGTACAAACACGAAAGGCCACATACATGCAATACCCAAGCCATCCATATTCAACAATGAGTTGCGCATTCTCAGGAGCTGGTCTGCGTCATGTAAATCCTTGTCTTCATCGTGTGGCAGGAGTTTTGGCAAATAATGCTCAGAGCACTGTTTGCTGATACTGTTGGCGGGTGTGATGAGAACATCGGACAAGAGACATGGCTCCGTGGGGGAAATGTACGCAAACCAGCGACACATGATGGCGCTTATCGTCGAATATACTGATTGCTGAGATGATTATCGGAGTTGATTGATGCCAGTGCGGATCTTATACAGGTATGTGAAGGAACTACCGTAGTGGAGTGTTGCACTACAGCTCTGTTGATGCAGGCACAGATACGTGTAGCCGAGTAGTAGGTGAGGTCTCAACGTTGGTGTGTGTAGGCGTATTGAAGGGCACGTATCACGGAGAGTGTGAGGAAATCAAGATGAGAGATTAAACGTGGAGATGGTGGGCGATGGTAGATATGAGTAAAGATAACGGGAATAATGAAGATGGGAAAGCGCGTGCGGAACGCGCAGGGTAACCAAAGCACGAGGATACAAGACGCAGACAGAAGTTTAGGCTTAGAGATTATTTATGACTTTTGAAGAAGGGGCCAAAAGGTCTCAGTGCATGGTCAGCCAACGCACGATCAGCCACGTTACATGGACATATCGAGATACCTGGTGCCTGGTGGTGCGGGGCAGACAGGAGTGGGGCAACTTGCAGCTCTGAAGAAGGTCTGCGCTTCAGCAAGGCTATCCACATGCTTGTGTAAGAAAACAAAGGTTGTCAGCTCCGGGATCCAAATGATTTGTCCATGTACCGCTACATGTATTACGGTCTTCATGGGGAACCCTCGCCTGTCACGTGACACTACTGCTGCGGGTGAGCGTCACCTTAGCACGTGCCGTCAAAATTGCGTGGTTCCATTCCAGTGTTCCAAAGCTCTCGATTGACCGACGCGGTTAGACTGCGATGTTTACAGCATGTTCATGTAGTGTCATGTGATGCTGATCGGGATGCGGCTCGTTCCGATGAGGCTCTGCGCAGGGCTTTCGTCTAGAACAGCCTTATGGGAATCCCGCGGAGAAGAGCACGAGTAGGCAGTTTGCTGAAGGTGGTATGCTGCAGACCAGGTATCCTTGGTATGTATGGACAAAATCCCTGAGCCATGATAGAGGCGTAGTCTAGATAAGTCTTGTGGCCATGTCTTCCAAGTCCTAGACTCTCCTTGCGACGCACTTCACGGGCCGCCGCTAGAAGCGCAAAGGCAAAAATGAGAGCGGTAGCTTCTGGCCTGTTTTCCATGCAGAGGTCTGTGTACGTACTGTGATGAGTGAAGGCCGCTCTTGCCTAGTTGACGTTGTGAGCCTCTAATGCGTGCACTTTTGCTTCCGGTCCCGGACAAGTTCTCATGCGACGGTCCGACGGCTGCGGGGTTCAAAGACATCATCTCGCTATCGTGACTCTCCATCCCTCCCTCCCTCGCTCCCGTAGGAAACTCATTTCTAAGCGCATTATTATTCTGATCCTTCGCCGTTCGCCCAGCCATTAATGGGGTAACGCCGGAGAACCTCCACATCAAAGGAAACAGCAACCGACTAAGATGCAGGGCCCCTGAACCGAGGACAGGACTCGTTGTCTTTTTTCGCATCTGTGAAGCCATGATTGGGAACTGATATGCGGGGTCTCAGCTCAAAGATGTGGTCAACCTACCACCTCGCAGCATTCGTGCAAGGGGCCGCGACTGTAAGAGATGCAAGAGAAGGCTGTCAGCGCGGCTGAGAAGGTGCAGGCTTGGCCCATGCTCAGCTACGATTCTTGGGCTGCATGGCTTCGCAAGCACGATGCCGTCATTGGTTTTGTACAAGCCGGGGGGCTCCACGATTCCAGGTTCCACCCTTCCAACGCGCGCCCATCGCAAACTAAGCACCGGCGAGTTATACCTTGTTATCAGCCGAGAGGCGGCTTTGAGGCTTCGACGGTGCGGCTCCTAACACCTTGGACCGCGGCTCCCACCACGCTCACAGCGGTATCAGACGACCTTTTTCTCACAAAAGATGCGAGCCTCCATCTCTGGACTCTCATGGGCAGGCTGCGCGCTATCTTCCACCGCCACCCGTCTCTACATGCACCTACAAACCGCCGGCAGATCGTGCACACGCAGCCTGAATACCGCGCTGGATTACCTTCCCTAACCTGTCTCCTCGCATAGTGGACGACCTGGGTCCATGTCAGGATATCGCGACCACCAGCTGGTGCGTACACCAACACGGGTCTATGTCGTCTGCCCAGTATCTGCGACCCTGCGTTAACGGTTAGCCGCGTTGGCTCACAGCGAGAGAGACGTCTCCACTGTCTCTCGATGGTCAAGGCGCCCTCCAACCGGTTACCTTGAGTGGCGCCGCCTAGGTATGCTGCTAACCACTCTCCATTCGCACGCGACATAACGAGCGGGGTCGCGGGCGCCGGGGTTTGTTGAAAACTCTGTGCCGCTGCCGATAATCCCATGCCCAGAATCGCGGGAACCTCGACTAGGCCCTTTTCGACTAGTCAACGCCGTATGCCTAGCGCCCTGCCAAACCACTTTTGTCCACTAGAGCCATCCCACCGCTCACCACCGAAGAGGATCCACTAGCAGGGCAATTGCATGTGCCGTGCCTGCCTTTCGTATAAAGGTCTTGCCTGTCATGCTAGGAATCTCTCCTGGTCAAGGGCAGTTCACTTGTTTCTCCCCACCTTGAAGCCCCCTCCGTCCGCTGGCACTCAGTGCGACTTGTTTTGTAGCCCTAGCTGCTCCCCCACGCAACTGATAGTCAATCTATCTGCCCGCGTCCCGGCTCCAGAGCGACAATCCCATACCCAAGCGACTTTCCATACGCGACATCTCCCCCTTACGACATCTGCCCTTTGCCTGCGCGACAAGCCCCTTCCCACTGTAATCATGGGGCAAGAGAAGAAGTATTCTGGAGAGCTCGTCCGCGAGGAGCCACCCAGTGACGATATCCAACATGGCCATGTGTCCGACAATTCCGATGACTTACAGCGTCACCTTGGCAACCGTCAGATTCAGCTTATCGCTATCGGCGGATCCATTGGTACCGCTCTATTTGTGTCCATTGGTGGTGCCCTTAACAAGGGCGGTCCCCTTGGCATTCTCATTGCCTATGCCGGATATTCTTGCATCATTGCCCTCGTGAACAATGCCATGGCCGAGATGGCTTGCTTCATGCCTGTTTCCGGAGGCTTCATTCGAATGGCTGGACACTGGGTTGACGAGTCCCTCGGCTTCATGGCTGGCTGGAACTTCTTCTTTTACGAAGCTCTGTTGATCCCATTCGAAATTACGGCGCTTAACATTGTTTTGAGGTTTTGGAGAGATGATATACCAGTTGCTGCCATCTGTGCTGCAGTCATCGTTCTATACGCGTAAGATCACCGATCCTAAGCCAGTCATTGACCAAGCTAATACCGTCTAGTGGCTGTAACATCTTGGCCGTCAAGATATTTGGTGAAGCCGAGTTCTGGTTGTCCGGAGGCAAGGTCTTGCTGATCCTCATCCTTTACTTCTTCACCTTTATCACAATGTGTGGCGGCAACCCCCAGAAAGATGCCTATGGCTTTCGTCATTGGCGCGAACCCGGTCCAATGGCCGGCAATACCGATCTCGAACGGTTCGAGGGCTTTCTCGGTGCACTTTGGGCTGCTTCCTTTTGTGTCGTCGGCCCCGAATACATCTCCATGGTCTCCGGTGAAGCCAAGCGCCCTCGTGTTTACATCAAGTCTGCCTTCAAGACCGTCTACTTCCGATTCGGTGCCTTCTTCATCCTTGGAGCCCTCTGTGTCGGTGTCGTTCTCGGCTACAATGATCCAGAACTCGTCTCTGTACTCAAGGCCGGTGAGAGCAGCGCTGCTGCGTCTCCCTACGTCATTGCCATGAAGAACCTCAAGATCAGTGGCCTTCCCCATCTTGTCAACGCCCTCTTGATTACCAGTATCTTTTCCGCGGGTAATACATACACCTACTGCGCTACTCGTAGTCTGTACTCGCTCGCTGTCGAGGGTCGCGCACCCAAAATCCTACGCAAGTGCACCAAGAACGGTGTTCCCATCTACTGCTTCTGCGTGGTCATGGTATTTCCGTTCCTGTCGTTCCTCCAGCTGTCAGATAATTCCGCAAAGGTGCTGACCTGGCTCCTCAACATTATTACCGCTGGTGGTATCATCAACTACATTGTCATGTGTGGCACTTACATTGCCTTTTACAAGGCGTGCAAAGTCCAAGGCCTTGACCGTAAGACACTTCCCTACTGTGGGTACTTCCAGCCGTACGGCACCTGGTTCGCACTATGCTTCGAGATTGTTGTTGTCTTTGTCTATGGCTACACCACCTTTAAGCCTGGCAACTTCACCCTCGAGTCATTCTTCACCTACTACACCATGGTGGGCGTTGCTCCCATCCTCTTCATCTTCTGGAAATTCTTCAAGAAGACCAAGTGGCTCAAGCCCCACGAGGTTGATCTTGTCTGGGATGCTCCTCTGATTGATGCCTATGAGGCTTCTTTCATTACTCCACCCATCGGCTTCTGGACAGAGATGCTCCAGCTCGTCGGTTTTAAACGCAACGTTCCTGTGGACAAGCGTGCTGTTTAATTTGCTTACAATGCCCGATACGGCATGATGGATCATGTATAGCGACATGATTTGCGTTGATCTGACAGTACTGAATAACACCCTTTCGCCAGAAGCCTAAGGGCTTTGGTCACTCACTACATAGTTACAATACCCATTTGATTTGCGCATTTCAAGAACTAGCGATATAAAAATGATGAGCAGTCTGCTATTTCCCAAGCAAAAACAAATCCAAGCGACTTTCCAAGCGACATCCTAAGCAACATCCTGAGCGACATCCTAAGCGACTTCACAGGCAACATCCCAAGTGACAACCCCCATCTTCATTACAAATTCGATTGCGAAGCACCGTTTTAGACCCACGCGATACCAGATATGCGGATATACTGAACCCACTTGCTTGTGGGTAAGCTGTGCAAGCCCCTGGCGGATCCCGCCACCAGGCACGGTCGCTCTACCCGATTGAATTACAGAGTTCGCTGGGATTCTATTGAAGTGATTACAGCGCAGTCATCTCCAGATCTTGACTTGATTAGATTACGTGGAGCGTACCCAGGCATTATCGGACCACCCGAAATGCCATTCACGGATCAGCACGCCGCTATAAAACTGGGCAACGCTAGCTCCTCCCGGCTGCAACAACATTGTCTCGCCTTAAAGCACATGCAAAACTGCCTGTTCTAAAAGCGACTATCACGCAGCTCTCTATTTGCATTGTAAAGACGATCCAACACTGCGCGGAGCTAGAGGACAGTTATAATACCGCACGATGCACATTGCACAGATTCCGAAATCAGGTTGTCACAGAAGTCGCGTTTTTCGTGCCTACCGTACTGCGAACAGGAGCTCGCAGACGACAGCTCCACTCAGTCGCCAATTGCGGTTCCACTCCTATGAAACGTGCACTGCTACCCGACCAGAAAACCCCATGTTTGTACATCGACAGAAATAGCAATGTCAGATAACGACATGCTTGTTTTGAAGGCCTACCGATACGCATACGACTCAAGACTCGCTATCTACGTCCCAAAGCGTTCATTTGATCCCGTCGACCCGTACCCATGTCCCGCTTGTGGCGCACTGCACTCCCAGTGACCTCCTCTTCCATTGCCCACGCTCGCGATAGGAGGTTGCATGATACCTACTCTGCTTTCGCTCACAGCTGCAGAATACGCCAGACTTCCCCGCTCCTTCACTGTGGTTAGGCGCTCCCTACCTTGCATGCGTAAGACGTACGGTATCAGATACCGCGGACACGGGGCTCCCTCTACGAAGCGGCGCCAATTGATCTCACCGAGACGATAGATAACGGGCGTTTGGCAAGTCTGTGTCACATAAAGCTCTGACTGAGAAGTTGACTGTGGTTCAAAGTATGAATCGGCCCAGCGTTGAGACTCAGGACTCAGGGATAAGTCTAAGCATCGGCTATACCTGCATGATCAACCAGAACAAGCTGTTTTGGCGAAAAGGGGCTTGTTTAGTTACTGTACATTCATGCAGACTTGAACTTCTCTTTGATACTCCAAGTATGCATGGTAGGTGTTAAGTTTTCCGTCGGGAAAGGGGATATACGACTCAGGGAACAGGATCAGGCAGGCAAACTACACAGATATCAATGCGGCGCTACAGAGCCGGACTCCTTCGAACACCATGTCGTACTGTAGGCGCCATGTGATACTCTTAACTCGCGCATAACATAATCACACACAGGATACCCATGCCCATTCGGACAATGATAGGCTGCCACGGCCGCGGTCCCCTCGGAATCCGACTACATCGTTACGTACAGAATTTCTAGAAGCTTTCTTCCTTCCCCGCGTTGGACTACTGTACCCTAGGACGCAGCCTACTACCAAGATTCCGGGGGAGGCACGGCCACGATGCAAGGCACGTCATTCTTCACGATTGGAAGTTGTGGCTGTGTGTCAGCGATGTAGGTAGAGGCTAACCTGTGGCTGTCATCTCCTCGTGTGAGTCAAACATGGAAGAAGATGCACTATCGTAGATTCGCAAATATACATGACGTTTAAAACACAATACAGCATTATCAGACTCTCTAAACAACTTGATTTACACTCAATCAATCCTGATTTATCTAGCGAGAACACACTCATCTCGTACGCAGTCATATCGCGCATGTACGTTCTGTACCTGTGCTCTTATCTCACTTCCACATGTCACTCTTACTGACACCTGGCCATCAACCCACCCACTCGCTACACATCGCATTCTCTGCCTCTCCTTCCTCTGTAAGTAATTGGTACGCACCTCGCCATCCTTTCCATGCAGCCATCGTACCTGCGTTGATCCCATCTCGTACCATCCTATCTCTAACCGAGATCATCCGGTCCAACGGCCGACCTTCGACGACCTTCCCCCCGCGTTATCAATATTCGGCCCGTTCATATGCGTGTGGAGATGCGGATTGTAATCTTCGATGGCTGGGGGAACGGATAAATAGGCGGTGTTGGTACCGTATTTCGGGCCGAAGAAGGTGGGGTACTGCCGCGGACAAGCCTGATATGGGGCATGCATGCGTGGGGATTGGAGAGGCTGGGGGAAGTGAGAATGATGAAAAGTAAGCTGAGAACGGGGTTGAGTCGAAGAAGGGGCAAGATTAACGATTGGTGAGTGAATGGAAGAAAGCTATCTTTAGTACATGTGGCATTTTGTTATCGCCGATTTCTCGGCCCCTTCACATGCATACCAACAACAACGTGTTTCACATGGACGCGCGCGGACGCAATCGGTGGCGATAGGTGTGTAATACTGCCGTTAACCCAGAAGGTATAGAATTAACGCATGCTGAGATGGGATGTCCCATCTCATCTCGATCCAGATAGCGTAACTAGTTTCCCTTTGCGCGTAAACTTCTTCCTCTTCTTCCTCCTCCCTTTATGCCACACCTCATAACCCATACAACTGGCCCATGACATCCATCATATCGACCTCGTTGCGTGTAACCAGCGGTCTGGGGACCCACACTCTACGCACGAGTGCGTAAGCAAAGTGTGTGCCCAGAACGAGGAGTAAGGCGGGTATAACGATGCGACTGAGTATTCTGCCCCATGTGATGTTTTGCGATTTCCTTTCTACACTGTTTGTGCTATTCGAGTCCAGAGTTTCATTCCTGTCTTTCTGTATTTCTCCTTCGGTCATCGTCTTCCTCTCTTGCTCTAGTACGGTACCCCAGCTCAACCGCGCTAAGCACAGATGCCACATGGTCAAACCCGTCACGCTCAGGGCGATGCTCAGCCATGTACCGTACTCCCATGGTGACCGCGCTCTTCGCCCGAGATGCTCGTACACGACGTCCAGGGCGCGAACTGCTTGGTGTATGAGTGTGGGTACGAGAAGCATAGCGGCAGCCAGAGCGAGAATCTCTAAACACAGCATGCCTATGCGTTTGGGGAGACTGGTGGAGCGCTTAGTCATGTGCCATTCGGAGAGGAGAGAGAGGACTGGAGACATGGTGGGGTGTGTTGTGGTGGACATTGTGAGGAGCATGGTTGTTTGCTTTGGTTTGGTATTGATCCCGGGAATAGCGTGAGATTGAGGATATCGGAGGTAGTAATAGTAAAGCAACAACTGGTTTGTGAAGTGGCCCGGCGTGCAGCGCTGGTACTGTGTGCTGTGCCCTTTGGTATGTGAGGATGCAGGAGCGGGTCCGGGAATAGCAGTATACAAAGCCAACAATGCTGAAATCCCAGAGTTTTGTTATTCAATAGAATGGGATTAACGTTGCGAGGTGTTCTCGTTGTTCGTTTGTCCTTGGTGAAGGTGGCCCTTTCTCGTTTGCGACTGTCTTGCGCACCGATTTCCCTCCTCTCTTTCGTGTCCCTTCTGTCTCAACCTGTCTCAATCGAAAGCACTACCTCCCTCCTCTTCAAAGAAGCTGACTTGCTCCTTCCGCGTACCTTGCAGTTGACGCCTCGTCCCCGCGTTTCCCATGGGAATTCCGATGTCGTGTCGGTCCCACAGTATCAGGCTAACTACCCAGGTGACACACGATCCCAAACCCGGCCGTGTGTTTTTCCTTGTCGCTCAACCGGCGCCGCTGCTTTCCTCTCACTCACAGGGAAGCGACGAAGAGATGAAGATGAAGATGAAGATGAAGGAAACGGGAATGCGCATTCGTTTCCCTCCCCTTGGTCGTCTTACTCTCGCGTAATCCTCGTAATTGCACTTCTGCCCTTTTGCCCGCCAAGCCCCTCTTTGCTTCGCTCACCGCTCGGACCACTCCCCCCTGCAAAGGATGTTCCTGTCGCGGTGACTGTTGCTGTATTACGTGTGCGCCAACGACGACCAAATGCCATCCCAGTAACGATTTCAACTGTGTGCGGTTTGCAGCAAACTGAACGATACTCGATACAAAAAGTCATGCTCGTCATCAGGCCCCTGCGCCTTGTGGTAATGCGCCGTGCGCCGAAGCTGGAAGGGGATAACGGGCTTGCATGTGGAGTTGGCGCTTGCCCCGCGTTATGACTAACGAGATCCGCATTTGGTGTCGTGTTGCTAAGTCGCGTGGCGCTGTGGCAGTCTAGCCTCACGGTTCCTTGCATGAGAAGTACTGTAGTACAGCATCTGTCTTTCTGATTGAATTCCCCTACACAATTTTAAATAATCAAGTTTCTGTTTTACAAGCGGTCAAGTGGAAAAACACCCAGGAACACATACTTCAGGACTTTCAGCATTTCAAATCAGCGCAGAACAGAAACACGCTTGACGAACTAACCATGTTTCTTCACAGCCAGATCAACATATCAGCCATAGGCCAGAAAGGAGATACTCCCAGTCATTTGACGAGTTTCTATCGTTTTTGGAAGCGGTATTTCTAAAGCTTTAATCTGCTAGATAGCCAGTAATGCCTATAGACAGCATTCGAAAATATAGTGAGTACTTTATAAATCATCTTTTAGCGCCCCGCGCTCAACGCACTGCAAAGATGGAGCACAATGTCTTAGCATCCGGTGTCGTAACTCTAGGGGCAGAGCACTTCCATGAAAACTCATCGTGTGGATTCTCAGCACAAAGTCCGAAGAAAGCAAACCCATAGGGTCACTATTAAGGGATTTCAGAAAAGAGAAGAGAAAAATTGGCTTTCGATGTTTAACACGTAAATCCGGAGAACGAAGACATATGAGCTTCTTTTCAAGCATCTCTAAAAAAGGAATAGAAGAGCTGCAAATGTATTGTAATTTTTCTGATACGATATTTCAGAGAATAGAGACACAAGTGCTTGCTGTTGAAATATTTTGGAGAAAGAGGAAAGGAGGAGCTGCAGCTGTGTTTTGATTTTTAATACTCTGGTCCAGCGAACGAAGAGACATCGCATCGAATTGTAACTATCTTAGAAAAGGAAAAAGAGGAGCGGTAAGTTTGTTCTGATTTCAACATGTAAGTCCGAAGAACCGACATATGGAAATGGTGCTGTTGAAGTTTAGAGAGGCGAAGAAGAGAGGAACAGCACATCAAGTCTTGTCTTTGGGATTTCATACTCCAAAGAGCAGAAACACATCACATGAGTAGGAATGTGTTTAGAAAGACGTATAGAGGATCTGTAGTAGTTTTTCAATGTTTAACACTCCAGTCCAGAGCACGAGAGCACATGGTTTGCTTTTTGGTACGATATTTTAGAAAAAGGAGAGGAGAAGCAAATATATTTCAAGTTTCAACATGATACTCCAGAAAGCAGAGACACACGTCCCAGTATCTGCAAGAGTTTTAAAAACATAGAGGTAGAAGCTGCGGGCATTTTCTACTATTCAATTTCATGGTTCAAAGAACAGACACCCATGGCTGTTCGATTTGTCGCTTTTAGAAAAGAGGAAGAAAGGCTTCTAGTGTGATGGAGGAAGGAAGTAAGGAAAGAAAGAGACGGTAAGAAGAAGGCTTTATATACGTTTCCGGGAGGTCTGTGCGGTGGAAAGGCGGACATGAATATCATAGTTTAAAAGCCAGGCACGTTTTCGATCATGTTGTTCATGACCTCTATGCTTCACCACTCGAAAAAAGCCGTCAGAACAAGACCATGAACCAACATTAGCAAACACCAAAAGTCAGAGTAGAGAAATAATCATATTCCACAACCCCAAATCAACCGTCTATAAGTTTCAATAAACACACAATTCCCTCACATCTACCTCCTCACCCTACACTCTCTAATCTAATTATTTCACCAACCCCTTCTCCCTTGCCATAGCAACCATCTCTTCATTCTTCTTCCTCTGCGCATCCAACTCCTCCTTCCGCTTCCGCTCGTTCTCGCGCTCCAACTGATCCGGCCGCCTGATGGCGATATCCTTTGGCTTGTTATCCGAGAAGAAGAACTTGAGGCTCTTTTCAATAACGTAGCAGGCTACAAAGTCAAAGGCCATGATACTAGTAATCATGAACTTGAAGTCGGAGGTAAAAGGAACGAGCTTGAGTTTTTGGTTGAGCTCAGGGATGAATTCCGTGGCGCAGGAGAAGGCGACACCGGAGACGGAGATGAGACCCCAGTACATGCCCTTGTTCTCGCGGATGGACTCGCGGAAGGGACGGCCTTGGTAGTTGATGGCGAAGGTGGAGATTTGCTGGATGAGCTGAAGCAGGTAGATTGCCGAGTTGAGCAGCGAAGGTTCAAATTCCTTTTCTAGATCTGGGTTGGGGTCCTTGGGCTCAACGCGCTGAACGTACTGGGATACGTAGATGAGAGTGACGATGTGGATAGCAAATTGTCCTAGTACGGAACCGATAATGTAAGTGTTGAAGATGTTGTGTTGCGGGCGTTCTTTGGAGAGGGCTTCGACTGTCTTCGCGCGCGAGATGGAGAGGAAACAAACGCTCATCATCATTCCGGAGATGGTGACTTGACCGTCACCGAATTTGATACCATCAAGGTAAAGGACTGACAAACTGTATGCAGAGATCAAGCAGTTGAGCGCAAGAATCTTGTACATTTGAATCGTAGCGACGAGTGTGCAGCGACCTTGGCGAATGATGTTGGGAATAGCGACGACATTGGCAAGCTTCGAGGTAAAAGGCGCAGCGACTGAGGCGTCACCGAGCTTGATAGTCGGAGGCTCGCCAGCCAACTCTTCCATCTCTTGAGCCATCATCTTCTCCTGCATTTGCTGAGCGAAGTTGGCAGCAGCCTGTTGGGTCTGAGCCTGGCCAGGCTTCTGTTCTACCAGTGTACCGTTAGAGTCGGTTCCGTTAGCGATACCGTTGGCTGCAGGGAGAAGACCCTTCTTCTTCGCTTGAGCCTCCATAGCCTTTTCATAGTGCGGGTTGGCCGGGCCTGGTGGGTACAAGTGCGCAATCACAATAGGTACCGGTGGTTGAGGTTGGTTGAAGCGCTGCATGAGGTTGCATTGCTTCTCGTAGACGTTCTTCATTTGTGTGTTGCGGAAGTGCTCACCAATCTTGTCGAGATCTTCACGAGTACCGTTGAGCAGAGCAACACCAATATGGGCCTGCTTCAGAGCACCAACATCATTGGTACCGTCACCAGCCATGAGCGTTGTGTAACCGCAGTCCTTTAGGCCAAGGAGAATCTCTTCCTTCTGCTTCGGTGATACACGAGCGTAGACCCAGGTGTATCGCAGAATCTGCTTCCATCCGGGCTGATCAGTGAATTTGGCAAGTGCGTACCCAGTAAGACAGATATCCTTGGTCTTCAAGATCTCAGAATCCAAGGGCTTGGTGGGGTCAACAGGGATGCTAACTTTGTCATCAACGCTACGCCACACGAGCTTCTCGCCAGTCTCGTCGTTCTCGGGTGCATCAAGGATGTAACAGTCGCGGTCGACAATCTCGACTTGCTTAGCAACATGGACGGCGGTCAATGGATTGTCTCCAGTGATCATGACTACACGATGGCTAGATTCGTTCAAAGCGCGGACGGCTTCGATGGCGTCGGGCTTCAGCGGGCACTGGAGGACGAGGAAACCGGCAAAGTGTAGCTCAGATTCGACTTGCTCGCGCTTGAGGTCGTTGATACGGTTCTGGCCCCATTCACCTTCTTCAGAAAGGAACTTGTACGCGAGAGCGAGCACGCGACCACCGTTACGCGTAAAGTGCTTGAAAGTCTCCTCGTAGTGTGGCGGGGTGTTGACCAACATCTTGCGGATGGTCTCGGGCGCACCCTTGACCGCAGCAATTGTACTCCTAACCTTACGTCCCGTCTTATTGTTGTTCACGATGATGGTGGCGACAGAACTTTGGCGTTTGAGGGCAGAGGAAAATTGGAAACGACGACGAATGTGAACAAGCTCAGCGTGGGACTTGGCGGTAGTCGAAGTGGCCTGAAGAGTGTCTTTTGCTCCAAGCTTCCAGTTCAGTGACTGAAGGGTTGCCTTTTCCATGGGTTCTCCAACGGTCTCTCCGTCGTCCAACTTGACTAGGGCGTGAGCGGCAGCAAGCACGAGAGTTGTCTCAGTGCCGACGTCAGTAAGCTTCGTAAGGTCAGTATGCGCACCGTCAGGTGCAATTGTAGCTCCGCTTTCTCCTAGAGATAGACCAGCAATGCCATCTACGACCAGATCTTCTCCAGTCAATGTACCAGTCTTGTCAAAGCAAGCTACGTCGACTTGCCCGGCAAATGGAATACGGAAGGGCTCGGTACAGAAGATGGCGTACTTGCTTAGGGCTGCAAGAGACGTGTTGACGGCCAAGCTAAGCTCCATGGGAAGCTCAGGAGGAACAACGCTGGTGACGATGAGGACACAGTCGAGGAGAAGCTTGTTACGTTGGCGATCCAGTCTGACACCCTCCTGCCAGACGTACCATGAGGCAGCGACGGCGAAGACGGTAAGGAAGAGGATGAAGAAGAGGGCCTCGACGTTGTTTGCGGAGACGCGCTCAGTGGCGAAGATCATAGTGCGGACAAGGCTGCCCTGGTTGGTCTCGAAACCAGTCTTGATTACAACAGCGACGGCGCCCTTGTCCGGAGGTGGTGGAACTCCAGACGAAAGCCTTGAAACGGTGCCACCATCTTCCTCGGCGTCATTACCATGCGATACCTGTAAAACCTTGGTGCCTCCCCAGAGGAACGAGTTCTTGTCCAGACCCTCGGGCTCGATGCGGGCATCGCCAGGGCGCAGTTGTACCGATTCCTTGAGCACTGGGGTACTCTCTCCCGACAACATAGCCTCGTTGACAATGGCCGAGCCTTCGAGCAGAAGCATATCGCATGCGACACCAGAGTCTTCCTTTGTCCTGCCTGCACTGACGACATCACCGGGAAGCAGCTTATCGCTCATAATCTCCTGCCATTTCTTCTGCCTGTATACCAGAATCTCGTATGGCTTGATGCTCATGCCACGGAACTCGTTCAGCGTTCTTTGCCTTTGCCACACGACAGTGCTCTCGAAAACGACAAGCATGAACAGTGTGAACAGCGAGTAGTACCAGTATTCATCCAGCATCCACAACCCAACACAGAAGACCTGGAAGACGAAGAAGGGCGCGACGGCATGTTCCTTGAACAATTCGGTAAAGGTCGGGACGGGAATATCGAATGCGTTGTCGCCATAGTGCTGCGTGAGGCGCTCAATCTCAGCGGGCGTGGTAAGACCCTGTGTCTGCTGGAATGTCTTGAGCAGCGGCTTCGGTTCGGTATCGAGGGCGTAGGAGAGCGGAGCAAAGGAGCCCTTGTCGGCATCGTAGAGAAAGCGGCGCTTCTGGAACAAAAAGGACAGATTTGGCTTTCCGCCCACATTGTCGCGCACCAACTTGACTATCTCAGCGGCACCCGCGTTCTTGATCGGCTGCACCTTGATAAGCTGTGCCGAGCGCACATCGCTGGCTGCCGTTGTGGTGAATGCGCTCTTAAGGTTGACATTCCAATGCGTCATCAGCCAGAATAGCGACTGGAAGGTGGTGATGCTGGCCACCCAAACGAAGGTCCATTCCGAAGACTGAATATACTGTTCATAGCGCGACGGCGAGAAGTAGATTGCGGAGAAGGCCGGCCATACTATTAAGAATGGCCAGATATATGTGTGCAGCTGCAACGGCAGCGGATTGTGCAGGCTGGCCTGCTTGATCTGGGGGCTGTCGACAAGCGGCGCCATAGTTGTGGTTGTCGTGTCCAGATGAACGCAGTCCTGGAATAATAAGTATGCCCACCAAGCCTCGCCATCGCGTAACCGTGCGCCGCATCCTTGCCCCACGTGTGGCGGAACCTTGGAACATTCACAGCAGGAGGGTCCGATGGGGACTAGCGCCAACATCAGTTCCATATCTTGTCCGCAAACATCACATACCAGCATCATGGTTTTCATCTATATGCACTACACATACCAATTATCCACTTTCCATCTCCCGTCCTCAAAATCTATCTGCCCACTGTACCCTCTCTCGTCAGACGTCCAGTCATTACCGCTACTTGAGGCTTGAGTTTCTAGCGCTCCAGCATATCCAGAACTCGTAGAGAGCTGCATTAGCGACTCGTTGTAAGGCTCTGGTCGTCTCATTCGCATCATTTCCGCCCAAATTTTGTCCATTTTACCATGGAAGAAAATGTCTGTCCATGCGACATGCCGCATTGTATCTTCTAGTTCAGCCTGGCTGTTCAAGCTCATGGCCTCACATAACTCAGAAAGCTGAATGATCCACCAAGCCGCATCTGCACTGGGGATCACAGAACAAGCCACCACCAGCGCCCAGACTAGCATGTTGAGGTTATGTTCGCGTTCCCACACTTCTCGTGCAGAAGAGTTGGGGCGATCTATTGCGGCGCGCAGTCGATTCAGAAGGATGCTGAAGATATTTGCTTTCAATGGTAATCCTCGAAGGACCGCATACACGTAGATCAACATCGCTGCAAGGAGCCCTTCGACCACACTTGCTGCATCTGCTTGGTGTCTGCGATGCATAAAGTCATTGCGATGCTCCTCATCGGCGTCTCGGTCGAATTCTAGAAATACGCGCGAGTAGTCTGGTACCGAGAGAATGATGAACTGTGTTTCATAGAGCACATTACTCAATGTGAGGCGTGCAACCCGTCCAAACCAATGTGATGAAGCCGCCAAAGCCAGTCGATGTAGTTGGTAGAAGATGTTGAAACAGTCGACGGCGGCGGTGGATAGTCGGAGCAAACTAGTTGGAGATGTGCCCACTGCCTCTTCCAGTAGGTCCTCGGGAAATGGGGGTATGTCCAGGTCAAGGTGTACATGCTGGAAGGAAGGAGGTGTTCGAAAAGCTGCAGCGGTATGGAAGTCTATCCTGGTAGTATTCCAATTAGCAAGTGGGTGATAGACCCATTAAGTATGAGCTTACCATATAATGCCACGTAACAAGCCGTCGTTGTGTCCAAAAGCCAGCAATCCACCTCGTTCGTGAATCATGCGCTTCAATGCCGAGATATGAAGCTGAGCTGCATCATATTCGCCAGTGAGATTCTGACATAGTTAGCATACGAGCTACGATTTGGGACACGATTAAATAGGCCCACCTCGAAACTTGCCAGTGTTAAAACCGTACCAACTACTTCGTCCGAGATCTTCCCTCCTGAGCTTGCAAGTCTATTGTTGATTGTTTTGATGGCCTCGCTCTTATGATTGAGTTTGCACACACGCAAGGCGCTGATTCCTTCGACTAGCATGCCATACAACGCCCAGCCCGCGAGTGTAGCATGTAGCAAACCAGGGTCATGGAGAACGAATGAGTTCCATGTACTCTTGGCGTCGACAGCGACAGCATTGTTCTTGGGTGCGCCTTTGTCTGCGGCTGTTGTTAGTGTCGACAATTTACCTCCAGATATGTACCATGCGTGATTCGATTTCAAATTTGAGAGCGATACGTACATAGTCTGAAAAGCATATCCAATTCTGGCGTTCCGGGTACTGGCAACACATCGAAAGGGTCCATCCGATGGGCACCGGGATCGACGCTTAACATGGTTCCATTGGCTTCCGATCCATAAGGTATCCTGTTGCTGCTACTGCTCCCCGTTCGGTCCGTAGAATTTCTCCTACTCTTTCCGTCACCCGAATGGGAAGATACCTTGGTTGTGCTCGAAGTAGTCCTTGGTGCTCGAGGTCGTTTCCCTTTAGCTATGCCCTTTTGACTGTCTTGTTCTGACTCCCTGCTCTTCGTTCCTTTCTTTTCATTGGTTGGCTTCAACAATCTGAATCGGTTCTTCAACTGCTTCTCCGACATGGCTGTGCTTGCTGAGCGATGCTCTGATGCATTGCTTGGTGGCGTACTTGCTTTGGTATCGAAGAAGTTGCGCATAACTAATCGACGGATCATGCCTCGTTCCGTGCCATTCGGTTGCTGTGGCTCTCCCGTAGTCACAAAGAACTCATACTCGCGTTTTCTGCTCGTGGCTGCATCCACAATCTCTGATTGGCGATCTGATGACGATGATGCATCATGTTGCAAATATTGAAGATCATCACATGGGGTATCCGAAGCATTGCTCATGATGAATGTTTCTGTTTCATCCAAGTTCGACTGTAGAGTTATCTAAACATACATTGTTAGCTATATATCAGGTACAACACTTGAGCTGCTTGTCTATCATCATTAATCCTATGCAAATAGTAGTCGCCTCGTCGGCCGAAGAAAGACAGACCTCCGGGATCTAGTTCGTGCGAACCCGATCATAGAAATTGACGATATCAAAGGCAGATGCCGATTATATAATGGTTGTGTTGAGAATACAGTCCGTAAGTGACTTGGTGGTATCAAGCGGAGGAGTAGTCACATGATTGGTGACACGTGCAGGTGGGTCCTAGCGGGGAGCTTGGACGCAGCTGCACGCAACACGGATCTACGAACGTGTGAATAGCTCCTTAGTCAATACAATACGAATCCGTACCACCACTACCGTTGTGCCTTAGAGAGCGCTCTATTAGGTAGTCATACTACTACTAATAGTGCCAGCTTCTCAATAGGTTGCATTGATTACGGCAGCGGGGCAGAAGCGGACGAAAGTTCTGCGATTGGGGAACTTTTCGCGTATACCTTCCATCTTGCGATCAGCGCCGAACAGGTGCTCCACTGACGTATGAGGATCCATCAGGGCCGTGCAATGCCACATTTTGTGATATTGTGATCCTGTGAATGACGGAAGGTCGGGCGGCATTGGAGCGGGTCAGTCGACATGGTTCTTGCTGCGTCAGCACCCGTAGCCGTGTCAAGCTCGTAATAACCGCATCCCCGGAATGTTCCACGTTATTCTGGTAAAATGTGCAGGGAAATAGGATTGGGGCTGGATGTTGCACCACCGTTGATAGGTTGCAGAGGGTTGGTTACGTAGGTGGGTGCATACCGTAGTGGAATAGAGCATGCAGAGCCTCACGGGTAATACTCGTCCTCGTGCGACGCTTGGGTTATCCGCAATATTCCTATCATACTACTCTACATGCTTCAACCCTAGCGCAAACGCCTCTGAACACCACATCTCCGGCGATAAGACGCACATGAAATTTCTGTTCATCTATTTTCCCTTGTCTTCTCTCAAGCTCACAATTTGGTTGAGTACGATCTTGTCCTCGGTTGATTCGATATCGACACAGAAGTAGGCTGTTCGTAGCGCCTGGAAGCGGACCAATGCATCTGACGAGCCACTCAGTTCCAAAGAGGTCTCGCTGATAAGACCCTTGATTCCCTTCTCGATGACTGCGTTATCATGAATAATTTCGGAATTGGGGTTTAGGTCATCTGCCCAGCCACCCGTCTTCCAGTCTAGGGTGTTGGGCGATTCGGTCTTGAAGAGCGAATTGTAAAGACGCGCGGTAACGGGAATAGCAGTCGCCACATCCACCCATTGGATGTAGGCTTTCGGCTTCTCCGTCGCTGGGACCTTGACTGCCCTGATCTCTATGACTTTGCCATCGTCGCCCTTGGTGAATGAAGTCGCATGAACCGCGAACGGAACGTTGTAGAGACCGACGGCTTTGTTGGGCGCCAAACGGAAGTAGTCCTCGCTGTCCTCTTCCCTAAAGTCGCTACGATCTATATAGACGGCGTTACCGACCTTGACTTTCCGTTCACCAGGTATAGTGCCCTTTGGATCATATGGTACTGTCACCTCCTGATCATCTTCGGCCGCGAAGTCTTCAATGATGACTTTGATCGGGTCGAGAACGAGCATCTGGCGAGGTACAGTTCGTTCTAGATGCTTTCGGATTGAGGCCTCGAAACGTGGAGGCTCAATCTCAGATAGCGCATCGGTGACGCCGAGCTCATCAACAAAGTTGAGCATAGCCTTGGCTGGGATACCACGACGACGTAGGGCAACCATGGTGAACAGGCGAGGATCATCCCAGCCTCGTACCGCGGGAGCTATTTTTCTTGTCTCGACTGTGCCATCCGCATTTTTCTTTTCCACAGTTGTACCCTCAACAAGCTGGAGGATGCGCCGCTTGGAGAGAATGGTACCACCGACGCTAAGACGGCCAAACCTGTGTATGGTCAGTACTGAATGATGTGACTCAGAGCCTTATCACTTACTCTCTCTGCATGGGACCCTTCTCCTCAGACTTGGGCACTTTCATGTCCAGTTGCTCCAATAGCCAGTCGTATGAAATGCGAGATTGGCGAAACTCGACTGTACAAAGAGAGTGGGTGATGCCTTCTAGTGCATCGCATATGCAGTGCGTGAAGTCATATGTAGGATAGATTCTCCACTTGTCGCCTGTCCTGTGATGGTGGTTCTCCTTGACGACGCGGTAAGCGGGTAGGTCCCACATTTGGGGGTTGCCTTCGTCCGGGTCCGTCAACTTCTGCTTCATACGAAGAAAAGCCTCTCCAGCCTGATATTTCCCGTCGCGCATGGCCCTGAACTCAGTGATGGACTCTTCAATCGGTCGAGTGCGGTGTGCGCAAGCATAGCGTTTGCCTCGATTGTCGGGCCCGCCGCGCTGGTTATTAATTTCCTCGCCTGTGGAGTGATTAGTCTTGTGTTTACATATAGACATGGGATAACATACGCGAACAGTGGCACACATATGCGCCGTCCTTGTTGATAAGTTGCTCAGCAAGCTCGTAAAGTTTGTCGAAGTTGTCGCTGCTGTACGTGATCTTCCAAGGCTCAAAGCCCAGCCACTTGACAACATCCAGGATGGCAGTGAAATATATCTCGTCCTCTTTCTCTGGGTTTGTGTCGTCGTAGCGCAGGTAGCACTTTCCGTTGTGATGTTTTGCGAAGCCGAAGTCAACAGCAATAGCCTTTGCATGACCAATGTGCAGGAAGCCGTTTGGTTCGGGCGGGAATCGAGTTCGCACATCTTTGACTGGCTTTTCCTCGTAGATTCGCTTTAGCCATCCCTCAGAGAAGATACTGGTCGGCTCGCTCTTCGCGGTAGGTTTGGACTGCTCTTTGGGACGAAGCGCATGCTCTGCTTTCTTTGCTTTTGCAGCTGCTTTCTTAGCTGCCTTCTCGAGCGCACGCTTTGAGGGTCCCTTCTCCTCTTCTGCGGCGGGCGGTGCTGGGGCTGTCGGTTCGGCCATGGCTGCGTCATGTTAGTATACGAACTTGACATCTCTGATTATGATTGCTACTACTACGACGAAAAGGTACCGAAATGATCCACTCAGGTTTTTCTGACGGGGTAGAGCAAAAGAAAACGCGTGCAAGATCGCGACTTACCTGTTAATGTTGTGCAGCGACGGACTCGTGTGCAGCTGAGGCGCTCTCTATCAACTGTTTTGGAGGGGCAGCATTGAGTCAATCACACTAGCCACTCACCAGCCACAGACGCCACATCTAGCACCTTGACGTTTGCGGCATCGTGACCCACAACCGAACTCATCACTCTCGTGGTAACATCGCCCGCAAAATCTTATGTAATTCCCACTATCCATATTTTCAACAATCTACCGTTAGCAACTAGCATGTCCTCTTCGTTAACGCGTTCAAACGCCGTCATGGGCGTTATCATCCAGCGTGCATCTTCACCGAGATTGGGGTAATGAACTCCATTCACACATGCATAGACTCACAGTTAGTTCTTTGCGCCTTATACTAGAGTGTGACCTGTACTGCTCGGACATGCCACCCTTCAAGGGCTAGAAGTCACTGTAAGCCATGTCATAGCATCTTCAACGCCGACTTGTGACAATAATTGGGTATGAAAAGTCCATAATCTGCATCCTCATTAACTTCCTCATTTCAAATATATCCTGTTACATGTTCAACAGCCGCAAATCTATCGTTCGCTGGGGTTTTCGCACACACGCTATCGTTCGCTACCCGAAGCACTCTTTTCTATCAATGGTTTCCACAAGAGCTAGAAGCTACATCCATGGAGAGGAATCCGGGGTATTGAAAGATCTAATCCCTCTAAGAGAAAATCTAAATGAACGACGACGGAGATGGGCGCATCTTCTACATGAACAGCATTACCAGCCTCTGATCTCCGAGGTACTCGAAAATGAGATTTCCAAATACAACAATAGCACCATGATTGATTCAACAAACCGAATGTCTTATATGCGCGAATGTGCGCTCATTCTCGCTTCGGCACCTCCTGTCTTCGCCGCAGCTGTGGATGGAACTCTCGTAAGTCGACTGATGTCGGACACTGACTTTGAGAAACAATATGCAGCTGTTCTGGACCGAGCGTACCGCCAGCCTTCCATCTATGCACAATTCCTTACCGATAGATATGGCAAGCCACCCAGCGCCAACCATTACCTAACTATCCGCGATATGGTAGCCGACTACCTTGCACAAGGAGAGGCGTCGGAGCATGCATGGCAACTAGACAACATTTCGCCCCCTTTCATAACGAAACAAGCATCCATAAAAGGCTATCGCAAGTACTTACATACATGCAATCGCTCAGCCAAACGTGTGGAGGCCCTTCAACGCTTCTGTCATGGTGTCCAAGCACGATGGCTCGAGACACCAGAATCACTACGCGACACGCCGTTCAAATACCCTCCTGGTGAGTGTGGATACTCCAAAGACTCACACGCTCGACTTGCACAACACCGAGCGCATCAATCTTCCAACTATATCATGAACCTCGTGGAGGATATATGTACCTATCTTCATCGTACAGGCATATTTGAGCAGCACTTTACCATGCATCAGTTCATCATCTACCTCATCTTCCAACCAGATCAGGCAGCTATTGCAGAAATATTCTGTTCTGGGCTTCTCCAAGTCTGGGTTGAGAATGGTGGCGGTTTCAACGCTTACCCGGCTGGGCGCAGCGTGGAAAGCGCGAGGAGAGTGAGTGATGTTGAATGGGGTTTGCATGAGAAGCATGCGAGGCTGAAGTCTTTGCTTGTCGAGAACTTGAGGCTTCAGCAACAGCGGGCTGGTGAGTGGCGCAAAGCGCTGGAGTGGGACGATGGAGCTGCAGAGGATGAAGAGGCAGCCACAAAGTCTGTGGATCAGGTTGAAGAGGACTGCATGTAAGTTATGACACTACAACGTTTTTTCAGCTTTGACTAACTTATTGATATTAGTATGCAGCTTTCTCAGTTGTCAGTCTAGATCCTATGTACTGTTTTTACCATGAAGAGCCTGCTTATCTTCGCTACCTAGGTAGCTTTGCATTTCTGACCCTGCCACACATTGCCTTCCTTTCTCACAGCACTGTTATTAGATTACATGCGTATGATCTAGCAAACCTTGATTACAGTTAGACTTGATAGCTGTCTCTTCCGCGACTGGTTCTGGAGATTACTTGGTTGCACGATAGACACAACACGAAGGAGGTATGATCCTTAAGCCGTTCCTTATTTCAAATCCCCTCAAGAATCGGTTGCTGACTATGCATGACGACTGCAGCACGTAGGGACATTTCGCATATCGGTGAAAGGTGAAAGTGGAAGCTGCAACCCCAACGCTCTTACCCAACTAGGACGAACACTTTCTCACCTGTGGACCTTCAAAACCCGCCTACAAATCTATTTAAAGGACGCTCAGTACCTTACGAAAGCTTGTTCTCCCTTAATTCTCGATTTGACAGTCACTCTATCCTCTCCACACAGTACAGTACGTTCTCTGCCCTCACCCCATACCCGCACCAGCACCGTCACTAACACAGCCGTCAAACAGACGACAAAAACTAAAAGCACAAGCACAAACACAGACACTCCAACATCTCCACTACACCACGGAAAAATGTCTTCCAACCCCAATCCCACCAACGGCACGAACGGCACCACCTCCTCCGAAAACGCCAAATACTACCACAACTCAGTCGAACTCGCAGACCTAGGCCGCGCCCGCTTCGACCAAGACGTAGCCGCAATCGGCGACCGCGACGTCGCACTCATGACCCACGGCCCCGTTCTCGCGCCCATCGGCCGCGCCCCCCGCGGCATGGAGAGCGCAGTGCACGCCTGGAACACGTTCCAGTACACGACCGACGAAGTCAACGAAAGGGAGGAGCTCAAGGGCGACTTGCACGGTGGACAACTTCATCGCGAGAACAGGGCGGCACGGGACGGACAGGGTGGCATGGGGTACATGGGACAGATGATGGGGAGGGGTGGTAGGGGTGGTGGTAGGGGTAGTGCTTGGGGTGGTAGAGGTGGCAGGGGAGGTAGGAATGCGGCGAGGGAAGAGGTGCAGGATGAGGGGCTTTGTGCGGGGAGGAAGCCGGATGTTGAGGCGCCGCCTATGGCGAAGGGTATGGCGGAGGAGATGGACAAGAGTATGTTTTGGGATGGGCCGATCATTGCCGAGGAGGAGGAGGATTAGGGGTTAGTGAGATTGTGTGATGGATTGGCATGGTAGTACGGAACTGCTATATTGAGTATTTCGCTCATCATCACCTCGGTTAGGTACATAGCTAGGGCCCTACTTACCACGGCGTTTTGCAGGAAATGAAAACAAAAAGGGATTTAGAATATACAGCACCTACCTGCACACTATACGCCCTCCTCATCACGCCTTCCTAAAATGCCGATGCACCAATCCACAAACACTCTCCCACAACACCCGATCCGTCCCTGCCAACCACTCCAGCACAACCTCCCTCGCCAAATCCACCACAATAACCCGAAAAGCAATCTCAACCTTCCTCTCCGAATCACCCTTCATATCAACCAGCCCCTCCTTTTGCTTCCTCTCATAGTCTCTGCGGTACGCACGCCGCCACACGTTCTGGCTTGCTTGGCCGATACCCGTCGATGTGGCGGGATCCCAGGTCCAAATGAGGTCCAGCGAGGAGAACTGGGTGTTGATGGTGTGTTTTGCATCTTGGGGGTTTGCGTCGGGTGGAATGGTGATTGTGTAGGATGTAGGGAAGGGGAGGTATTCGTTTGCGATTTTCTCGATACGTGCGTGACTCTGGTTTGGAATGTTAAGTAAAGATGATGTTTTTGCTTAATCCAGCAATGACACTTACGTTATTCGGTCTGAGATGTCCGAAACTCCACGCAACGATCCAGCGCTTTGTACTCGAACCGACTTCTACAACGCCGACAGCCCAGTTGTTGATACCGTGGTGCTTCAGGAGACGAATAATGGCTTTGGCACTGTCTAGTTTGCCAAAGAGACTTGTGTACCATTGTACTTTTTCCCGCAGCACGAGACTTTCATTGACCATCTTAGTTACGAAGCCCACATCGCCGCCTGGATACACCATTTCGTTCTCGGAGCCTGTACATACGGCATTGGGTTTCCAGCTCTTGCCCTCGCCTTTGAGGCTGGATTGCATGTCGGCCACGTCATTGAAGAAAGGTGGGTTGCAAATGGTGAAGTCGAGATGGTCAACGCCTAGTGCTGCGAGTGGGATGAGGGGGTTTAGTTCAGTGGTTTGGAGTAGCTTGGTTCGTGTCATGAGGGTGTTGAGGGCGAGGTTGCGAGCAGCCGACTCGAAGCTCTTCTTGTCGATGTCGGTGGCACACATTGACCAATTTGGGCGCGATTTCAAGCAAAGCAGAGTGTATATTGCAGAAGCGCCGGTGCCGATATCCAGACCACGGATTTGTCGGTTTGGGTCATAATTGCTCGTGTAGTTTGGTGATGTGGAGTCAATTAGGCCTTGCAACCACGCGACGTAGTTCCAGCGATTGGGTATAGGCGGACACAAACGGTCACCGGGAACATGCAGCTCAAGGCCAAAGTCTACCTTTAGAATCGCTTTCGATAGCGTCTGGATGGTCTCGGGATCTTGAAAGTCCAACTTGCCCAACGTGCGCTGCCATAGTTGTTTGAAGTTCTTGTCGCTTTTAGCAAGGGCCTTGAAGTCAACAGTTTCGTACGGCGGGCGCTGTGCAAGTTGCATGCTGTTTCAGGTTTGAAGTTTTCAATTGGGCAAAAGAAGTGGAGAATGATGTCGTGATGTTGAACATGGAGAAGGAGGAAAGTGCTAAGGTAACGCACGGGCCAAGTTACCCTGATTGGCCGCTGATGTCGCGATTGTTGTGATGGGAAAAAGAAGAGGGAAAAGTAGAATACACAATCGATATACAAATGCATGGAGAATTAGCGTCGCCGCGACTCCTACTTGGACCTACCACAATATGCCCTCTATCCAACGCCGTGCCATATGTCATTAAATCAAAAAGGGTCCGTCATACGCTCCATCTGGCTCTTGCAGTCGGACCTCTTCGAGTGTGGGAACGGCGCCCGGCTTGTAGAAACCGAGAAGCATTTCCATGTCTTCTTCGGTCATGGAGCAGAGGTCATCGAGGGAGTATTGCTCGCAGACTTTGGACATCCTATCTTGAGTCAGCAAAAATGGGTGAAGGGTAGCGCGATATGACGCACCATTGCATTCGCTTTGGGCCTTCTTCAATGTTGGGGGCGACCTTCCGTAGCTTCCGGCGCAGTATTCCAACTCTTTGCACTGCGGCCCCGATGTTGTATGGGAGAGTAGCCGCTATCTGCCTCCTCACAATGTTGGCCAGCTTGGGACCATTGCCGTTTGTGCTGACCATGATCTGCAATGGTCCGTCGCGATGGACACTGCCAAAGTAGAAGTCGCACTCGGGCGGTACGTCGGCAATGTTGGCGGCTATGCGCCTCTCCTTGCACAGCTTGTATATCTGCGAAGAGGCCTCCGGGTCATCCACGGCAGTCAGGACCATGTCGACGCCGTCCAGGTCAGAGGGCTCGAATTTGCGATCGACATAATCGACCTGACCCTGCTCTATCCGGTACGCGACTTCGTCGTTGAGTCCTTCGCGTGGAGACACGAGGGTGATTTTGGCGTCGGCATTCAACACATTCACGATGCGACCAGCGGCGACCTAGATCTTTGTCAACCGTCAATACTCTTTGCAACACCCAAGAGACGTGTAATTTACCTCGCCGCCGCCGACTACAAGCACCCGCTTATTCCGGATCTGCCATGCCAATATCAGGGAGCCGCCGCCTTGTATCTCTGGGTAAGGGCCTTTCATGTTGTGGAGAGTGTTGCGGAGAAAGCACTAGGGCGGAGAAGGTGAGATGAGGGTTGAGAGATACCGAGGTATTGCCAAGGCCGCTGTAGAGAAAGCCGGGCGCACATGCAGGAAGCAGGAAGCAGAAGCAGAAAGCCTCATTTGGAGACGCATATCATGTCATGACGAAGTCCATGACTACGATGCGCAGTAATTCATCTGACGCAATCACGGAAATAGAATCAATCATAAGCCGTCTCCAATACGCAGCGCAGCCCTGCGGAAGACGCCTTAGCGTGGCTCGCATGACGGCTCGCGCGAGACCCACGCCCCAGGTTATGCATCCTGGCTCGTGTATGTGTACATACATTCACCACTCTCCAGCTCCTCGACACTCCCGAAAATGGCCTCGCGCAGGTCCCTGGGTGGCGGCCGCGTGCTGGGGAGCGGGAGAAATCTGTCGCCCGCTGCTGCATCGCCGCAGTCCGCAGCCATCCACCGCCGCAATGCGAGCCTCCTCTCGCCCTCGGAAAGCTCCGTGTCGCTGAGCTCGCAGACGTCAAACAGTCCGGCAAGCACTTCGGAGACGAGGGAGGACATCACCAGTAGAGTCTTGATTGGCCCGAATGATAATGCCGCCGCGCGTGCTTCCAACCGGCTCGTGTGTCCGATATGCAATGAGGAAATGGTGGGTTCATAGCACCTGCCTTGACCATGTACAGTGAACTGATGTAGCAGGTGACCCTTCTACAACTGAACCGGTACTGCTTCTCGACACACATCCAATATGCTAGCCCTGACATGTATTAGGCATCTCGACGACAACCACCAAAACCTGGTTGTAGAGGAGCAGGATGAAGTCAAGAACTGGTTCGAGGCGCAGATGCACAAGGCGAAGAGCTTCCAGCCACTCGCCGTCCTGAACCAGAAGCTCAAAGGTCTCGACGTCTTCGAATCAAACGATGCTCCCAAACCGCCCCAACCATCCCACTCGGCCAGCAGTTCGACTGCTTACGTCACCCACGATCCTGCTCCCGTCCGCAGAGACCCAGAGGAGGAAGTCACACGAGCGCATTGGCAGAGGCTTGGATACCGCGATGTATGTTCAGATCCGCTGTGTGCCAGACCAATCACAGCCTCACAAATGGCCCTGGGCGGAAGTCAATCAGCTGTCAATTGCAGGCAGTGTGGAAGGCTGTTTTGCGAGGAACACACCATGTATCAAATGAAGCTGTCACGCCAGGCGAAGCACGAGCCCGTAAGGGGGGTGTGGTGTCGAGTGTGCGAAACATGCTACAAGTCAAGAGACGGCTACAACGATCATCACGGAGTCGAGCGCGACCACTTTGACGAATTCGCCAACATCAGACGGAAACGGGTCGACAGGGAACGAATGGAAGTTAGCAGACTGGAGAAGCGCCTTACCAAGTTGACGCAGCTTCTCGCAAACCCTCCACCAGTAGAAGAGACTCCGATGGCAGGGAGTTGGTTCTCGCTGCCTGGGCATAAAAACCATCGCAAAGCGCTAGAACAATCCATCATCACATGGGAAGAAGATGCGAGCGTCTCCAACTGCCCCTTTTGCCAGCAGGAATTCTCCACCTATACTTTCAGAAGATCTCACTGTCGCATGTGCGGCCGCGTTGTGTGCAGCGACCCCAAGACCGAGTGCTCCAAGGAAATTGGTCTAAACGTTGCTGCGGACTCACAAGATACGGAAAAGGGCGCAGGGCAGCTCAACATTGATGTACGCATGTGTAAAGACTGTCAGCATACCTTGTTCGCTAGAAGCGACTTTGAGCGCGAGCTAGCCGACAAGCCCAAAGATCAACGCGCATACGAGAACCTTGCGCAGTTCGAAAGAGGCATCCGCTTGCTGCTTCCTCGATTCCACAAACTCCTCCAAGCCCTCCAAGACCCTGACAAGTCGCCTACACCGCAGCAACTCACAGACGCCACAAAAGTACGCAAGCGACTCATGGATGGGTTTGCCCAGTTCGATGTTGCTGCGAAACGAATACGAGATCTTCCCACAGATTCGCCGACACAGCAGAAGCTACAAAGGGCCGTTTACCAACAAGCTTACAGCTTTTTGAACCTACACATGCTTCCATTGCGGTCACTGCCAAAGATTTTGAAGCATGCAGCGCCCCAGGGACGGCCCAGCGGGGGCAGTGCTCTGGCCTCTATCAAATACAATAATCATTCCACCGGCAGCGTCGTGAGTAGTAGTGAAGTTTCCGCAATGGAGTCGGAGGAGAAGGAGCTCAGAGAACGATTGATCGTACTCGAGGAACAAAAGTTCATGGTTTCGGAAATGGTCGCCGATGCAACCAGACACAGACGATTTGATGAGGTGTCCAGCTTGGCACAGAACCTGGAGGATTTGAACAAGGAAATTGACCAAATCAACGGGCAATTGGGACAACTTGACTTCGCCAGCGCATACCGAGGAGGTTTGGACAGCCCGCAACCTGGATGAAAGTCTAGGGCTATATGACTCCAGATCTATCCATCTAACCATTCCTACGCGGATGTATAGGCAAGCTGACTGGTCGAGGTCCGTTGGCTCGAAGAAAAGGACTCCCCCAAGGTGCTAGCATCAGACAAGGACTCCACATATCGCAAGGCCGTTGCATGGCTATCAACACATGGCTTGCTTCTTTGCATACAGCAGTACAATCACTGCGGGATCAGGAGACGATCACCAGCGACATTGCCGGCGGCAATCCGGTGCCGGACCGATGCGGACCAGGAGACGTTGGCCTTGGCATCTATGATCAACGCACTCCACCAGGAGAGTTTTGTGTACAAACGTTGATCAGCAAGAAGCTCAGGAATAAAGCAAGCATTAGGCAGATAACTTCGCACGTCAAGGTGCGTGTTGGCTTTTGTGTATCTCAAAGTTTTATAGAACTACAGCATAGCGAATGAAGCATAACTCTCTATTCAAATTCATACTCCACACATAATTGAACAAGAAGAATCCATTATGAGAACAAAATCGGAAACTCAGAAAACTCAAGTATGAGAAGACTATTACGGTAAACACGTGGGCACCATCTTACACCTAACCCACATCCCACGAACACACACACTCTCCCAACCCACGTCACCTCCCCTACCTCCCCGTCCCAACCGGCACACCATCCCCACCAGCCCACGCCCTCAATATCCCCAAAAGAGCAACTTCCCTCTTCTCCCCCCAAAAAGCCATCGAAAACAGTGCCAACTTTTTCTCCCCTGTCTCCCTGCTTCCCTCCGTCCTTGGTCAAGCAAGACAACGACCAAGGCACACATACCCCCACATCGGTCCTATTACCCCCCGCTCTATACCCGAAGCGGATTGACTCAATAACTCTGAATTACCGCTTTTGGTTCCGCACGGCCCGTTTATAAGGCCGCATGCGGTAGTGACGTGCCTAAACGGGGCGAGGGTGGGGCGGCTCTTTTTGGGGGACGGGGATGGAAAGTTGGCAGGATGAGCCGGTGCGGTAGGGGCGGATGGTTCGGGAGGGAGATGATGAGGTTGGTTGTGGGTTGTGGGTACTAGTGATGACATTGGAACGTTGATGTGGGGGGTTGTGAGTGTGAATGTGCTGATGACGGAAATGTGGTTTTGTTTCCAAAGTACAACGACGACAAGGTGCGATGACAATAGATTTCTTTAACTCAAGTATTGGTGATTATGGTAGTCTTGCATTACACCTCTTCACAGGAATCAGAATACCCATGAAATGCTTGACAAGCTTTTCTTCCCTTCTCTTAAAAAAGGGCCGGCTAGCTGCATAGGTACATGCTCAAATCCAACATCAGCCCAGGCTAAACTAGACCCAACAGCAGCATCACCACTACAATCCCTCATCCCCTACTCCTCCTTATCCGCAATACTACCCCAAACATCGCTCCCCTTCTTCCTCTTGTCCCCGGCTTTCTGTCGCTCCCGTATCTCAGCAAGCCGGCTCTGAATCTCCTTTCCCTTCTCCCGAAGGCCCTTGCCGCGAGCCATGAGAGCATCGCTTTTCGAGGGTGTGTTGGTTTGCTGGAGGGAGGAGGGGGTTTGCAGGGAGCTGGGTGGGGTGACGTAGAGGCTTGGTGGGGTGTTTACGAGGGTCGAGGATGAGTGACCTGTTTGGGGGGTGATGGGTTGGGAGGAGAAGGGGCTCTGGTGAAGACGTGTGTATGGGGAGGAAGGGGTGGTGTGCATGGTGGATGATGGTGGTGGCGGCGGGGAGTGTGGTGGTGATGTAGGGTGTGCTAAAGTTGCGAGCCGCGTGTGTCGTCTGGCTGGAAGCATGTCATCTTCGGCTGGATCATGATGAGGGGGAGCTTGAGTCTCTGCGCGCGAGACTGCGTGATCTTCTTGTGAAATATTTCTTTGCTCATCGAAGACTCCACTGGCTTGTAGGCTGACGCGTGCGTACTCTCGCAGTAACGAGTCCTCATCGGACTGCAGTTCTAGGAGCAGTTCGCGGCGCGATCGACGGGAATGAGATGAGGGCTCGCGGTTTCCTTCAACACTGTGATTCAGCATGGACTGAGAAGGCGATGGTGCTAGGGACCTCTTAGTCCGCCTACAATCTTCCTGGAACGAATCGGTATCTTCGCTCGGGCAGGCGTGACGTTGTGACGACTTGTCGTCGTCTAAGTCGGATTCACTGTTCCATCGAGAAGAAGTTCTTGACGACTCAATTGGTGTTATGTGGCTCCTTTTGTCAGCTTCGGGGGCGCTCTCATGTTTCATTTCACCGTCTTCTCCTTCTGTATCCACTTCACGGATCGTATGCAAGCTTCCTGCTTGAGACAAGCTCTCACTGAGGGGTATTGTGTCCAGTAGCCACGTTTCCTCTGCTTCGATCCTTTTTCCGTGCGCAACTAGTAGCGCATACTTCATTAGTGATGTAGCACGTTGTTGGTCGGCATTTGTGAGAGATATCGTCGCGTCGCGAGTGGTGACCTTGAGCTTTGAGCTTGGCTCAGCACTGCTTTCAGTTGAGCCGGCCACTTTGAGGGAGAAAGAGTTTAAAGAGCTTCTCCGAGCGGGGATATGAGGGGGAGGTAGGGAACTCGTTGATGGGCTTCTTCTGAGCTTTGCATGGCTCGCCTGATCCCGCCCTCCTCGTGTGCCGGGTTGTCTTCTCGCTTGATCCTCGCCCTCTTCCTTTTCTTGCTCGCCAAATGCCTTCCCGACAATTTCTTTCGCATTGCTACCGGATATCTTTGTACTTTGGCTGATCTTTTGTCGTACAACAGGCTGGCAAGCAAGCCACTCTTCCTCCTCGCCTAGTTTCTCATCTATACCCAATACGATCCTCGCTTCAAGAAGGCAGACCCAGACTCCATCGTCTTTCACAGTCCCATGATTACCGGTATTCTGTTCAACCCAAGCGGGCACATAAAGACCTTTTCCTATCACTAGCCACACTGGCGTCATGTCTTTTACACACAGCGCCAAAACACTTTTCTTCTCGGAGCCCAGTCTTCCTTTCGAATACAATGCCGCATCTTCACTCCGATATGTAGAAACTAGGCCAGATGTGCTGTGCTCGCCCTCTCGCTTATTTGCCAAGTGCGCTTCGATGTTCGACTTGGTGTATTCGCTGAATCTGCCATATTGCGGTATACCGAGACTGGTGGCAACTTTATCTGCTTCTGATGCGGCTATGTATAGATGTTTGGGGGAAGCGACGCGGTGTTTTAGGAGCGCAGCGGGGTAGTCGGTCGGCTGGGTGAATGTACTAAATTTTGTTAGTTCTTCGAGGTTGCCGGTTGTTTGTTCCTTCCCAGCGGATACGACGATGACGTACATGGACATTTTTGCTACAATTGCAACTTGTTCTAGTCGGCATAAAAGTCAATAGGGCGTTGCAAAAGGTAGATAGGCGGGAGTGGAGGGAGGAGAAATCTGGCTTTGCCCCCTCCGCCCACGATGTACTTTCTTGGTAGCGGGTTTCCCTTTTTTTTACGCATCATGCAAGCTTCTGGTTGGCACGATGAGTGCGGTGGCCGTGGACCCATGAACAGTAGCCATTTCTAAGAGGCGATGATGTAAAGGATAACTCGTTATTCATTTTATCATGTGTATGTGTGGTGTGCATCAAGACTTAGATAGTCATGAATTCCGAACAGCATGGTGAGAGCGCTGCCACAAGTCTGTATGTATTCTATGCAACTAACTGTGCGCAGGTACTGGGCAGCAGTGATGCATGTAAAATATACCAATCGAGAATCAAGTCCTAAAGACGTTTTGGATTGATGGTGCCGCCGCGCATCAAGAGGACGTCGATGAGGAGAATATCCCGTCTGTTGTGGGTCATTCACTATACCAGTGCGCAAAAGGTGGCGGTCAGACGTGCGATGGTCCGGTTCAAAGTGGAGGTCAGACGTACGATGGTCAAGACCGATCCGAAGATACGGCTTACCGACAATCAATACGTCCCGACTTGGGGACATCAACAAGCGTTACCAAGATATGAAAAATGGCTTGAGCGGCGGCACGCTGACATGCTCCCTGGAATCAGCCGAACGGTGGTCATGGGAAAGGTCCATCGGGCATTGATTGCCATGGTGATCTGATCGTAAGCTTGTGGGAGATTAGCAAGCTCCAAACTAAACCCCAGATTTCCACGCGTCCCGGATCCATGTTAACCCATAGCGCTTACCTGATCTGCTGAACCACTCAACTGAGCCTTTTCGACTTCAGTGCACTTTCTCCTGTGGTCCACCCGTAGTTCAACGGGCTACGGCTATAATTGACTTACTACTACTAGTGGGTCTATTCCAGCCCAAGTTAATCTCAGATTGAGTATGCTGCCTTTCTTGCGTCGCACTTTTTCTGCTTGCGTCTGCCACTGTTGACGTATAATGTTGCTATCGTGAGACTTGCCACTTGCCCCACACCTGGCGTTATTGTCGCTCTTTCATCAATGCGCTTCATTCATCAGACGGTGATTTCTCTTCGTTCGCTTTGCTGCGTCGATCCACTCAACAGCGCTCGGGTCACAGAGGGTACCCAACGGAACACAGTCAGATTCCCGACACCGCAAGTTACTTCCTGGAGCTGCAACTAGTACACAGAGAGTCTCGGATTCATCATCATGTCGCATACGACGAATCGGTACGATCACGGTGGTCCATCGTAACTGACAACTTTGCCGTATCATATTGATCTTCCTGAACTGTAACCAAGCCTTGCAGGTGCGGGAGGATGGGAGTACGCACAGCAGCTACGCCGGTGGATTGGTCCTAGCCTTATTTCGCTATCATGAAGTATACAGTTCGCGTCAGTTACTAGGAGTTTGCGGTATATGCTCTATTCAACCTCTCGCATTTATCATGGACTACCTGTCTAATCTATCTATTATTTCTCCTTCATCTGCATTCTCGTCATACTTTCCCTTCATTTGAAAACTTGGATTCGCTTCCTCTATCCCCTAAATCTACGTTGTCACCCTCAGGACCAGATTTGTATTCTTCCCTTCGTCTCCACTTATTGTCAGAGAAATCGGCATGTACAGTTACATCATTGTTTAGCAAGACTGCTAGCTTGATCAAGTCTAGCTCTCATTCCCGCGCGTAGCGCTGGTGTTCTTAGCAATTGACGCCTTCTTCCAAAGTAGCGTTGACTATCTCCTCATCATAGGAGACTCGGTTCATCCTAATCCCTCCCTGCTTCTTTTCCTGGATCCTCTCGTAGTGACTAGAGCAGCATGCTTCCAATCTAGTTCACAATACAGGCAACATGATAAGGAAGGCTAGTTGGAAGAGAACAAGCGCTGCACACTTGAGCTTAGTCGGGGGGTGTATATACCGATCATATTCTTGTGGTAGGTAGACTACTCCACAGACGCTTACGGAAAGTCTGTCGGGGCCAAACCTCGTATCCATGGATATCCGGCAACAATCGACAAGCCGCCACGACAACATGTGTACCGCTACCTCAGATTTGCTTTGCAACGATGCACACTGTCCACATGGGTCACGGTTGAATTTGGTGATACGTGGGCGTTTTTGTAAGCCAAGCAGTGAAAAAGCCACGTCGTACAATATCCATCCCTCGCCGATGTCAATCCAGGGTAACCAGTCATGCTTGGCTGGAGATGAACTGCGTTACCATCAGCATTGGCTAGTATTGGTTATGTATCCAGATGTAGGTAATAATGTAGCGCTTTGGTAGAAAAACAGAGTATCGTGGTTTTGAAGCGCCCGAAAAAGGCCCGCTTCGTTCATCATTACGGCCTAAGTAGGTCTGAAAAAACCATGAGAATTATCTTTATGCAACTCGGCCATATTTCCAGAGCCCGAGATGCCATACGAGACCATAATCACTCGACTCGGCCATATTTCGAGAAAAAAGGGTGCCTGTGTAGATCGCTGTGCGAAATGAACTTGTCTCGTCGACATACAAGTATCTGTCCATCCCACAGATATCATAACTTCACCACGACATTCATCAACACTACCGTACAAATTCAAGCAAATCCTCCGAAACCTGCCCCCGATTATCATCTCTACCAAGACCTACGCAACAACCACTCCCTTTCTACGCATCCGGTATGTATATACGAAGCTAATAAGATGACTTTAATAACACGCGTTCTTTAGTTAAAATGCATTTTTCAACAATCGTTCAGTACTTCGCCATCGCAGTAGCCGTGGCTCCAGCAGAACGACTTCAGGGAAGAGACGATACTGAAGCACTCAAACGCCAAATCAATTGCGAAACTTGCTGCGAGAACACCCTTTGTAGTGTGGAGTCGACATGTGTATGCTGACAAAGGTCGCGATATGAGGATCACAGGAGGATATTGGTATTCATCGGTGGAAACTTTGCCAAGCTACACATTCATTATATTCACCGAACAATATAACTACTTCTTCAAAAAAAACTAATTGCGAGACACGGGTCAGCTGCTACGTACACTGTCTTATATGATGCAAATCGCAGAAGAAACAATCAAGACAAATGGTATCGCTGTAAAGAAAAAAGGCAGGACTAGCTGAAGATGAGAAAGACCGGCGGAGCCGGCAGCGGCTAGATTGAGTCACCTGGCGTTGCTAAGATGTAGAGAAGCTGGATCCATCCCTTGTGTAAGCGGGCCATGCAAGAGATGATACTGGCTGGGCTGCGGGTACGCGTGCGTACTTCGCATACCACGGCGGCGGGAGATCGGCATGATAGTGAGTGTTTCACTAGTAGGAAAATGCCTCCTCAAAGAAATCGATACTCCGTAGGCGTACTCTTTGCCTGACAGCTGCCCTAACACTGCCACTAAGGCCTCTTGGCCCGCACACTGAGACCGCCATGGCACCGATTTGTGCGAGCACTTCTTCATCCAGTAATTCCTGCACCTGACATCTTTGCTGTCTCACATCGAGGTATGTTGGCAATAGCATGGCGTGCGATATGGGTGAGGTTGTCCTCGTCACGTACAGACGTATCTGGACGACTTCATGGAAGCTTGGTACTGTCACGATTTGGTCAAGCCATGGCTGCACCCATTCCAGCGCATCGAGATTGGCTACGCACCAGACGAGAACAATCTTTTGTGTGGCCGCCATGTTGCTGTTGTGTGCATCAAGCAGGTGTCTTATAAAAGACAGTTGATGTGTAATCCCTACACCACCAGCGAAGAGCACCACTGTGCCATACGAGTCGAACGAGTGATGTCCGCCGTATGGTCCCTCTATTGCTCCCCAAAGATGCACCTGGTCCTTCTCCGTTTGCAAGGCCAGCTTGTAGAGAGACTGAGTCATACCTTGGCGTGATCGAACGATGCAGGTAACGGTACTGGGCCCGTCTTCAACTCTGAGGTCATCAATTGTAGATGGGAGCTCCTCTGACATAATTTTCGCGTAGCCAGACGACTGGGACCAAGCCACTGAGAACGGGTGTGACCCCAAAAGCGAGAGCCTTGGCAAGTAGATGTGAACGTGTGATCCGGGTTTCGCGTTCCACGAACGTGGTAGGGCAAACGTGACACGAGTTGCATCGCCGGGTAACGCTTCCAAACTTACACGAGTCCACGCCCTTCCCTCCCATGACAGATTGTGACGTAAGATGAGGAGCACACGGGCCGAAGGCTCTAATACCAGAAGGGCAATGACAAGATAGATCCAGGGAAGTTGTGGCAGGGCGTGTTTTGCCAAGTGGAAGTAAACCCCGGATATCGCCGTCGCTATACCAATGCGGTGCAGTGTCAGGAATGTTTCGTAGAAGGGATGTCGTAATAGCCTGATCGAATGGACCATGAGCAGTATGAGAGCCAAGAAGCCCACCAAACCGCATTGGAAAGAACTGGATTGACTGAGCAGCCAGCCGATGTTCTTCCATCCTTCTGCGCCGTCGTGGGTTGTGTGATACGTGTTATACAGGAAAGCCGATATGTGTGCTGTGGACTCGAGGACGACAAGTCTAGCCATCCACCGATGGAACAGGTTGAATGTATCGTAGCTGACTTGGAGCAGGTATATGAATGGGTTATTTCGAAGAGCGAAGAGTACCGTGAGGATCAAGTTAAGGGTGGCCAAAGCTCCAGAACGACCACGAAATGCGGCGACCATCTGAGGAGTGGGTTGCGCTGGAACCGCCAAACAGTACGCTATGTTGCTGATGAAATATATGATGATGATGGCCAGTTGCGGTAGAGTGACTTGATCTACCGGCTTGGTGTTTGAGGGTTTTGTCGTCTTGTTGAGACTGCGATCCGACCGTATTGGTGCGTACAAAAAGTGACGTTTGAGTAATCCCCAATATGGATGACGATCCTTCTTCCAGAAATCCTGTCCTTTGCAAGAGGTCATAGCTGAAACCTGTCGTCTATAGTTCTTCGCGGCTATGATTACACGGAAGCAAAGGGTGAGTACTGCCGGTAATAGTGCGGTTGCGATAAGTATGTTGGCAAAAAGGTAGTTTGACGGCTGATCTACACCAGCAAGACCTTGGCTGTACTTGAAAGGATCGTGACTTGGACTTGGCTCATTTCTGTGGATGTTGGTAGGACCCGGTAGATCTGTTGATGGGGACTGGCCCAGCGTTGTAGAAAGATCCATTGTACGTCGATTTTAGGACCCCGTGATTTGCCTCAGCTCTGAGCAGCTGTTTTCTTCTAGAGGAGACTGAATGGTTCGAAGAAACTTTATACCCAGACGACAGAAACTTGATAAGATACATTGCGTTCGGACTGACCCAGTCTGGACCAGTCTCGTGCTGAAAGATGACTTTTGCTTTAGCTACAAACCCAAGCGTCTGACTGTTTTGACTCACATCATTCATCCCCTAGTGTTTGTGGCAAATCAAATATGTGGAGACTTTGACCGGTTCGATGAGCCCGGTGGTCAAGACGCAGCGTCCAAATTATGCCAAGTTTGAATGGCTGTACGACTTCACCTATGCTTGATCGGTAGAAATAGGTCTGGCGCCGGTAACATCGCTTCTGTGCAGCACCATACACTGAGCGGCGATCGTCTTGTCTGTATTGAATTGGCATTTGTATCGAGGCCAGAGGAGCGAACAAGCGGTACTATGGTTTGTTGGGCCCGAGCCACCGGCTGCTTACTTGCATCCGTTCGGCTATGCCTGTCAAAGACGACTTTCCAATCAGCCTACCATAACGGGTACACCGTGTCAGGCGAAATCCAGGTAAGAGTGGCGTTGTGTTTAGACTTCGCGTAAGACCGGGAGAAACTGGCGGATGGCGTGTCAATACTAAGGTTTGAAGGCAGAGACCGTATTGCTGCCACGACGTCACGCAGCAACCTCGGGAATGAGTCTAAGGTTTTGGTGAGCCTCAAGTATACAGTTAGCAAGTCCAAGAAAAGTTCATGATCACGATGTGTGACGGTGATGAATCAATTCATGGCACAATACTCCCTCATAATTTCACGCTGGTAGATAGCGTGTGACTGCCATGGTATCCGATACTGTATGAAACTGTAGGAGAGTCACCAAGATAGCAACTTGATACCGCACCAATGAAGTCCGTATCTTGAGATTTCCGTTGACTTCTGCAACTCCTTGCCGGTACAGAGAAACCAGGTCGGTATGTATTGAGCTGAAAATAGGACAAGGGACATATCACCTACTTGGGTAATTAAGATCTCGCCGACGTTTGCCGGTCGTACGGATCTGCCTGGTGTGGTGTGTGAAGCTGAGAACTGTACACGTCAACTGTCAATAAGCTGCCAACCCGGCCAAATGCTTGTGCGGACAAGTATCTGGATGCACCACAAGCTTCTGTCTGCGGTGTTGTATCCTATCGGCTAGATCGCCCACAGCTTTGGCACTTGGTAGGGAGCACTCCTGTTAGTGTGCTTAGGAACACACAGTGCTCGACACGGGGTCGTGAGTTGAATGGAAGTTCGCAACGTATGGGAACTCCTAAGTGCCACGAGAAAGGTGCGGACTAACGTCTTAGTACTCAGTACCACAAGATCTATCGGTGATACAATTTCGATTGTGGTGTACACCAAAGGGACCACCGGAGTGAAGGGACTAGTGCAAAGAGGTATGCCATGGCAAAGTGTTGCAGCTGATGGGCAATGAGCCGTGGTGAAGGATGTCGCGGCGTGCGCACTTATTGCCTGATAGTCAACCGAATGAGGAAGTTACTGTCTGGTGGCGAAAGCCCCAAGATCTAGAAGCATGACAGACTCCGCGGAATAAAAGACCAGATTACCATTGTGTACCGGCATGGTGGGTTGGTTGGGCTTCAAGGCGCTGGTACTGCCTGGCAGTGAGTGTTCTTAAGGGGTTCGGGTCAGACGCGGGGTTCAGTCGCCCCACTCTCATACCACCATCTAGGACTGGCGCGATGCAGAACCGCCCACGACAACGTACCTACCAGACTTTTCGTAGCAGTCATTCGACAACTCGGGCCCGAATTGAACTTGTGTATTCTATATCAAGTTTTACTGCACACATGAATTCCAAAGATAAGTATTGAGCACTAGGTAGCTGGCCTCGTAGCCTTTTCTCGTGGACCTCTCGGAGTCATACTTCGGACAAACGAACTGAACCACACTGTGGCCGGTATCTAGGCAAAAATGCGGCTCTATGCAGTAGCTGGCTGTACGTTCTCTATGGTTCCTCAGTGTTTAGCTCGCGAATTGGTCCCACGGGCTGTAGGAACAGCGGCTCGTACGGAGTTCGGAACAGCTTCACAAAGCTAGGCGGAGCTGGTAGAAGTATTTTAATCGGCATTGCTTGTCCCAAGAATCCCAGGACGTATGTCTTCGCAGATGGCAAAGGGACATGATGGCGGTCACGGCCAGGGAAAAGCAAGGTAACACAACAAACCAAGCACGTGCTGGCTCCTCAACCATAGCTTGAGGCCGGCAGATCAACGTCAGTGTTGTCTATTGCTGTGCCGCTTTGTTACTGCTTTGACCTCACGGCGCAGCAACCATGCCGCAGTCTCGCTGGTACCTTATCCGGCAAGGCATCTCTGATATGCGCTACAGACTGTAAACTGTTGTCAAACAAGAAGTCTCCCAGACTATAAGTTATACTTTACAATCGCACCGATGGCGCGACATTCGTATTCTTGAAATCAACAAAGATTCACAGCTTGACGTCTGTCACTGGTGTGCGTGGCACACGCAACGCGGCTCACGCAGCGCGGCTGAAAGCGAGATTGGCTAAGCTTCACGGAGAATTCACCCACTTCAAGGAGGGGGTCTGTGCCGCAACACCATGCTGGCGATATACCAACTACTATCGATACAGCCTCGCGTCGTCAGCGGTGCCTCAGCACTAGCCGGGCGAATAGGCCCTTTACTGGTATCCAAAAATTGCTGCAACTGACCGTATCTGACAAGACTAACAAGGCAACTTTGACAGCAACTGCATACCTACAACAAACGCATGGCAAATCTTGTCCCACAAGAACCGTCAAGTCCGGCAGTTGCCTGTAGGCAGCACATAGCACAGCAGAATCTGCAATAGCATGAAGCCAGTGATTGCGCCAATGGCTTGCAGAGGACTGGGCACAAATTTGTGCTCTATGACGAGCGGGTCGTATTTTGTTTCCGACAGGAGTGCGACGTTGATGGTGTTTCAAGGAGTGCAGAGACGGCAAAACAAACGCGCAGTACCAACGAGCGACCTTGCGGCCTGGTATCCCAGGAACATGTTTGCTGACTCTTACGAGCCCACGGACCCAAGATCGTCGCCTGTGCTGGGTTTAGCCTTTCCGTATCAAGACGGCACGGTTTCAGGCCTTCATGCGCGTATACGCCGCTTTGCCATCGGGCTGCTGGTATCTTGTGCGACATGACGAGTGTGGGCGGGGAAATAGAGACGAAACCAACGCCAGCAATACAAATTGTAGCCTATGAAACTAGGGACACGGCTTCGCCTGGCTGCAAGAAGGTTCGCGGCGACAGGTGTGAGATGTGGCAGCGGATATCCGTAGCCCCGCGCCCCTGGACAGCATTACGGCGCTGACCCTTGGCGTGGAGAGAGACCTAGCAGCACCCCTGGATAACATATAGTTGAGGCCACCGAGGCCACGGAAGTTCGCTGATCTACGCATAAACATTAATACGCCTCTTTTTGCTCTTCTCCTACGGAGGTGCCTTTCAAAAGTTATTGCTAGCGCGGTAGATCTATCGGCCCGATATTTCTTGGCACAGTCAGAGTTTTTGAAGCTGAAGATAGCAGTATCTTCGCTTTCTTTGGTGTTTCTCAAAGGTTAGTTATACTAGTAATGGCTCCTCGTTCTCACACAGACTCATTCACACGTGCTATAATTGTTACTTTAAAGTCCCGCTTTGTGGGCAAATCAACGAGCCAGATCAGCGAGATCCTGGGTATTTCCCCACGCACTATCGACGCTATCTTCAGCCGAGCCTGCCTTCGAGGCTTTGAGCCAAATGGACCAACCCTAAAGGTTCTTCCTGAACACCTTGAAGATGCTCCTCGCTCAGGCCGCCCACGTAAACAAGAGGCTATCCATGAACCTACTGTTGACAAAGTACGCCGTGACCGTTATGGACGAGAGAAGAGCTGTGCTGACATAGCTGGTGATCTTAGTCTCTACGGTTACGACGTCTCTCCTACCACGGTGTGGAGAGTCCTCAAGGCAGCAGGATACAAGAAGACGAAGCCGACGAGGAAGCCTGGGTTGACGAAGAAGATGAGACAAGATAGACTTACCTGGTGTCTCGCTCGTCAGCACTGGACTCTTGAGGACTGGAAGAACGTTATCTGGTCAGATGAGACCTCTGTCGTACTGAACCACCGCCGTGGTGGGTATCGGGTGTGGAGAAAGGCAGATGAGGCTCTTACAAGATCTGTGATACGAGAGAGGTGGAAGGGATACTCTGAGTTTATGTTCTGGGGCTGCTTCACGTATAATTACAAAGGTCCCTTTCATGTATGGAGGCCAGAGACAGCCCAAGAGAAGAGAGAAGCAGCTCTTAAGATTGAAGAGATGAATAAGATCCTAGAGCCTATTATGAGAGAGGAGTGGGAGCTTACTATAGGCATGAAGAGGATAGGCTTAAGGAATAAGCCTGGTAGAGCTCCTCAATGGAGATGGACTAAGGAGAATGGGAAGCTCACTCGTGGTAATGATAAAGGTGGCATTGATTGGTGGCGGTATCAGACTGAGGTTCTTCTCCCGAAGCTTATCCCCTTTGCTAAGGAGTGTATGAGAGAGAGGCCAGGTACTCTTGTTCAAGAAGATAAGGCTCCCTCTCATGCTCACCAGGCCCAGAATATTATCTATCAACGAGAGAGTGTGGAGAAGCTCTTCTGGTGTGGTAACTCACCTGATCTCAACGCTATTGAGCCAGCCTGGCCATGGTTAAAGAGAAGAACTACCAAGAAAGGAGCTCCAAAGAGTAGAGGAGAGGCCACAAAAGCATGGGAGCAGGCCTGGAGTGATCTCCCACAGTCACAGATTCAGGCATGGATAGAGAGAATTCCTATCCATGTTCAAAAGATTATTGAACTTGAAGGTGGGAATGAGTACAAGGAAGGCAGAGGCCTGCCAAGAGTTCGTGGAGACTGATCTGTCTGTATTTCGGTAGTTTCTCGGTCAAATAGGAGACCCCCCTGTCAGCAATAACTTTTGAAAGGCACCTCTGTAATACAAACATTGTTTCTCTCAAAGGCCGAATACCTCTATCCCTTACGAACGACCGACTAAGCACCGGATGCTACCATCGTTTCTATAAAGATAACATTTCCTCTTCACGAAAAAAATCATCCATCACACTTGAACTACTCTACCATTCAACACATCCAATCCAACACATCCACCATGCCATCTTACCCACCACTATCGCCCACTGGCCTTCCCAGCTCCCCACGAGTAAACCGCCAAATGCAGATGCTCTCTCCAGTCGAAACATACTCTGACACGACACCACGCAACTCGTCATCATCACCAGACGCAATGACATCTGAAAAACCAAAGGCCCGCGACATCTTCGCCGACGCCACCATTCCCCTCAGCCCAGCAACATCAACCTCAAGCTCCGAAGAGAATCCCTACGCCGGTCTCGCACCACGAAAGCGCAACGGCTTCGCCCGTCTATTCTGCTGTCTGGGCCGCGAAGAGCGCGCCCGCCGACGAGCAGACCGTCACCTTGAATTCGTCAAAGTCGGAGAGGAAGTCCATTGGACAGAGTACTAGATCGAAAAAAATTCGATGACGGTGATGCGGACTTTCCACTGTCCGGTTGCATAGCCGTTGCCGCTCTGAAACGCCTACACGATACCCACACTGCCGCGTTTCTCATCGAGGCTTGCGAAACCGTTCGACTGCCCGGCGGGCGGGCACATCATACATGATCGGAAGCACCCGCGGTTGGGTCGCCAACGCGAAACCCTGTTGCGACCCGAACCTTTGTCTTCCAACCGTCACTGCGACGTTTCTTATGTTTATATTTAGCGATCCTCGTCGGATTGCCACTGTTCCGAGAGTCTTTTTTTGTCTATGGGCTGGGTTTGTCGTGTTGTCTCCTGGGTCTGAGTAAGACTTGCAGTGATTGACTTGTCTCAGCACTGGCGTTGTGTTCTTTTTGTCTGTCTCGACTTTAAGGAGCGAGTGCGCTTCTGGAAATTGGGACTTGCTGTTTGTTGCTTGAATATACCAGAGTCTATTTCTCATACCCGAATTATTTCGCTACTACCAAGTGTGTGTCATTGAATCTGTCTGCATATGTCATTAGTTGCCACGTTCAAGTTTCCCCTCAACCCACTCCCCAAACTGTGTCGCCTTCCTCCCCAACATCCACTCAAGCACGTTACTATTCCCCACCAGACCCCTCTCATTATAGAACCAAATCATACTCTCTGCTGCATCCCTCCTCCTCCTCCTCCTCTCCACTGTTGTCGCATCCTCAACCCCATACATTCTCATCAACAAAGCATCCACCGCCTCCCAAACGCCAACCTCTCCATCCTGACCTCCCTCCCAATCTTCTCCCCAATAACCATCATAGCCTCCTCAAACGTAATTGGCCGATGCGTCGAAGTGAGCAGATACTGGGCATAGAAGTGTGCTTCGCGCTCCTCCATCACCTTCTTGAAGCACTCGGCCAAGTCCCCCAGCGCAAGCATAGAAAATGTATTCTGCGTACTCCACATGGCTGGGAACACGGGTTCTTTCTGCCCCACTAACATGTTTACAGGTATGTTATCCATAAAGGTGCTCGGCTGAAGGATGGTATCTAGGATCCCACTCTCCATCAGCCACTCGTCGATGTCGTTCTTGGTGACATTTTCAAGGAGAGAGACGCAGTTTGTAGGGGAATAGAGGTCGGTTTGGAGGACATGAGCTTGTGGGTATTGTTGCTGAAGATTAGACTGCGAGGACGAAGAGTGCACGGCGAGGCGGATATGTTACCAGTGTGAGAGAAGGGGGAGAAATGTAGTGGCGTCACCACGCAAAAGCTCTTCCAGGCGCAATGCTCATGGCAGACCACAACCTGTGAGAATATCTACCTTTTTGCTGAAATCCAAGCGCAAAAGTGAGATGGCTATAGTGTGACTTGATTACATGATTGAGAATGGAATATCGCGTTCGTATTCACATGGCATGCTGTTCACTGTTCACGGGTACCGGATTGATCACGTGCACAAGCTCTTTCCGATGTGGGAACTCTCCAAACCATCGACATTAGTCCAGCTCCAACCCCCTGAATCGTTCACGGCCCAGGCGCAAAACGTAAACAAATGCGATCAAATGATACCCCTGAGCTACTTGTACGAGATTGATAGATGCTTCATGCTGAGCGTGGCTGCGCCTGCTGCGCCCGCTACATGGCTTTAAGTTCGGTCGAGGATCCTCGGCTCCTGCGAAGATGCCGGCTTGTCGCGTCCGTGCCGAACGACAGCCTTGCCCAGAAGGGGCTTTAGTCCGCATGGCGGGGAAGTCAAGATGCCCATGTCGACTAAGCCCAAGGCATGGCTATGAAATCATCAAATTGATGGAATACAGTGTTGGCGGGTTGGGAGAGCGGGCTGGCTGGCAACTGTCACAAGGAATAGCCGCAAGGATGCGTCGGGCAAACGGGCGTCGGTTAGGGCTGCATCGTCTTACGTCACGGGGCTCTACTCTGTTGTGTGCTGGTCGCTTCTCCGAGAACCTCGGCCCAGATGGTGTGGGTTTGCCATATTCACAGCTCCACTACCCTTGTCATCTTGTCAGCGCGTGTTCATTTCGCCTCGGGACTGTGAAGCTAGGACTTCTGACTTCTGATATCTTCTTCGACCTTTTCTCTCTTCTTCTCAGATAGTTTTGTTTGTGATGTTTAGCAGAGCTGCACGCGCGCGAGTACCCTCCTCGATACTTCGCAAACCTCTTCTTAGCCATCAAGCTTTCGCACAGCCCAGGGTATGTTGTTGTTGACGTTGGTGGGGTAGCAAATGCTAATGTTTTGGTCTGTAGATTGTCACAATGGCTCCAGCAAGGAAACAGTCGAGTTTGCCCGCTGGTAAGTGGCATGCGCTGCATTCACATGCTTCCAACTTCAAAAGCTGACGGTGAGGTTTGTACAGGCTACAAGGAGGATCTCAGCAAAGGCGCGATGCTGCGCTTTGAGGACTCTCTTCCGCGTCTTCCTGTCCCTACACTCGAGGAGACAGCAAAGCGATACCTCAAGTCTGTCCATCCGCTGCTTTCACAAACCGAATACGATGCGACCACAAAGGCTGTCAATGAGTTTGTAGCCCCTGGTGGGCCGGGGGAAAAGCTACAGAAGCGCTTGGTGGAGCGGAGAGAGGACCCCAAGCACAAGAACTGGATCTACGAGTGGTGGAATGAGGCTGCGTACATGGCCTACCGCGACCCGGTTGTGCCATACGTCAGCTACTTCTACTCGCACCGCGATGACAAGAAGCGAAGAAACCCTATCAAGCGCGCTGCTGCCATCTCAACTGCAGTCCTGGAGTTCAAGAAGATGGTCGATGGAGGCAGCTTGGAGCCAGAATACATGAAGAAGCTGCCCATGGCAATGAGCTCTTACGAGTGGATGTTCAACTGCTGCCGCGTGCCCAAGAAGCCTGCAGACACCACCACAAAATTCCCTTTTAAGGAGAACCAGCACATTATCGCCATTAGGAAGAACCAGTTCTGGAAGATCCCTCACGAGATCAATGGCAAGCAGCTGAACACCAGCGAGCTCGAACTGCAGTTCCAGCGCGTGTACGAAAAGGCCGAAAGAGCCCCCGCAGTCGGTGCTCTCACATCTCAGAACCGCGATGTTTGGTCAGACATCTACCCCAAGCTCAAGGTTTCCCCTGTCAACGCCGCATCCTTACAAGACATCGAGTCCGCCTCCTTTGTCGTTTGCCTCGACGATGCATCCCCCGTTACTCTCGAAGAGCGCGCACACCAGTACTGGCACGGCGATGGCACAAACCGATGGTTTGACAAGCCTCTCCAGTTCATCGTCAACGAGAACGGCACATCTGGCTTCATGGGCGAGCACTCGATGATGGACGGCACACCCACTCACCGTCTCAACGACTACGCGAACCAACAAATCTTCACCAACGCCCTCCCCTTTGACGACCCCAACGTCCGCTCCGACCTACCCAACCCGAAACCCCTGCGCTTCGAGATTAGCAAGGAGCTTCAGCAAGACATTGAGGATGCCCAGGCACACTTTGCCCGTCAAATCGGCGCCCACGAGTTGAGGGTACAGGCATACCAAGGCTACGGCAAGGGCTTAATCAAGAAGTTCAAGTGCAGCCCCGACGCCTACGTACAAATGATCATTCAACTCGCCTACCACAAATTCTACGGCAAGAACCGCCCCACATACGAATCCGCCGCCACCCGTCGCTTCCAGCAAGGCCGCACAGAAACATGCCGAACCGTCTCGGACGAAAGCGTAGCCTTCTGCGCCGCCATGGCCGACGCAAACGCCACACCAGAAGAGTGCCAGCAGAAGCTCCGAGCAGCAATCGACGCACACGTCAAGTACATCTCCGACGCCAGTGACGGACGCGGTGTAGACCGCCACCTCTTCGGCCTCAAAAAGTGCCTCAAGGAGGGCGAGGAACTACCCGCTCTCTACCAGGATCCGGCGTACACCTACAGCTCCACGTGGTTTGTTTCCAGTTCGCAGTTGTCCAGCGAGTACTTCAATGGCTATGGCTGGAGTCAGGTCGTTGATGATGGCTGGGGTATTGCGTATATGATTAATGAGAATACTATTCAGTTCAACGTTTGCTCCAAGGGGCTGGGCTCAGTAAGTTTTGTTTGTATATGATGAGATGAGGAGGGCGTCGCTAACAATTGTGCAGGAAAAGATGAGCTTCTATCTTAATGAGGCGGCGGGTGATATGCGGGATATCATGATGCCCACCCTTGATGCTGCAAAGGCCAAGTTGTAGTTGTTTATGCGAGGGAAAGTTTGAACTGAGACTATGAGCTAGATCTGGTGGTTTTAGAGACCTTTTTAGATTTTATTCAAGATTTGTTCAATATCACGAGTCGTGATTTGGCATCGTACGGATGTGCATTAGTGCATGTGATAGTTCACCATGAAGAACCTCGGGATAATCACATGCCATGCCTATGTAAATACCCATGTTACCAGGACGAACTCTTGCCAGGCTGGAAGCTTGACCAAACAAGTCTAATCCAACGGTAGTCTAGCCCTAATTATACTAAGCGGCGTGATACCTCTCCCACTAATACATGTCATTATTATCACTATCTAATACCAAGCACAATCCCCGCCACAAATATCTACCCTTAAAATCTTCTCTTTATCTACCCTCTCATCTCCCACCAAACGTATCCGCTTTAGGCAATCTATCGAAACCCGTTGATCCTAGTTATTCACTGTGCTCAAAAACCGACCCCTACCTTTCGCCTAGCACTCTCTTCTCTGGAAATTTGGACGTTTGGGGTGGTGAGGGAGGAAATATGGATGAGGGTGAACCAGGGGACGAGGTCAAGTTTGGGGATAAAGGCTAGGATAGGGGATGGTGTCCAGTTTGGGTGTTGTGGGGGTGCTAGGGGGGTGGGTGAAGGTATGATTTAGATGTAACCATCGTTTCTGAGCCGAGGTCTTATTGCCCAATATCATCCATTAGATCTTACACACGTCCGACAACTTAATAAGCTTATTCTTCACGTTCATGTCATCCATGTCTCGGATGGTAAAATTATGAATAGGAGTAAATTTTGGCATTTCAAGTACGGGTCAATTCTACACATCAGCGTTTGCTAGAATAGCAGATCCTGAAACGCCAGAAGAGGCCAGTCCAGCCCAGATCCCGTAGCTCATGTCATTACTAATGTACATATTACCCATGATTCCATTGCGGAATTTATGGGTTGGCCTTGACCCACTCAACACCCTTCTTGATGTTGCCGGCGAGGTCAGCGACGCAGGTGTCGAGGAGCTTCTGCTCGTATTCGGTGATCTTGCCGACGGGGTGGATCTTCTCGACACCGTTAGGACCAAGCTCAACGTTGGTGGAGAAGTAGTCGCAACCCTGGTCCTTGAAAAGAGGAGAGTCGACGAAGGTGGGCTCAATGACGTTCTTCTGGCCCTGGGCAGCCTTAAGCAGGGACTCGGCGAAGCGGGCACCAGCCATGGCCATGGAGAGGGTGGCAGAACCAGCGCCGTCCTTGGCCTGAACGACCTCGTCACCACCAAACTGGACGCGGTGGACGTATTGCTTGAGTTGCTCGCCCTCAAGGTTGTGGCCAGACTGGGAGAGGAGGGGAACGATGGTAGCACCGGAGTGTCCACCAATGACGGTGATGTTCTCGTTGGCGGGGTCGGTGTTCTTAAGCTGCGAGATGAAGCGCGAGGCACGGACGACGTCGAGGGTGGTGACACCAAAGAGGCGCTTGGGGTTGTAGACACCCTTAGACTTGAAGACCTCGGCGGTGATGGGAACAGTGGAGTTGACCTGCAAATATCAATATCCTGTATCAATACCATGGTTTTCATCTCAACATACAGGGTTGGAGATGATCAAGATGTTGGCGTCGGGAGCGTGCTCAGCGGCAGCCTTGGCCAGGTCGCGGACGATGGAGGCGTTGGTGTTGAACAAGTCTTGTTGCTGTCAGCTGTGTACCACTTGCGCCGCTTTCAATGCCTACCATCACGGGTCATGCCGGGCTTGCGGGGAACACCAGCGGGAATGACAACAATCTCAGCACCCTTGAGGGCGGCAGCGAGACCTGAGGGAGTGGCATCGTGACCAATGACCTTTTTGTGTATCAGCGCATGATTCCGACCTGACTTCGGATCCCATGTCGTACCTCGCTCTTGGTGTTGATGTGGCCAATGTCGGCAGCGACACCTAGATGATATCAATGGCTAGTCCTCTATAGTATACCGAGCCTGTTGGAGCTTACCGGGAGCAAGACGGATGTCGTAGAGCGAGAGCTTGCTAACCCTGGGGTTGAGCTTGAGGAGCAGCGACAATGGCTGACCAATACCACCAGCAGCGCCGAGAACGGTTACTTTTGAGTTCTGCGACACTTCAATTAGCATCATCTACATGCCAACTCCCAATTGCAATTCATGAACGCAGTCAATCACCCCACCAAGAAAATGAGGCGCAGATGCGGCCTTGCGGGAATATGTATTTACATACCTGGCGGGCCGAGGCGGAAAAGCAGCGGCGCTGAGCCTGGGAGAAAGCTTGTCTGGCGGCAAACATGATGACTATGATTGAGGTGCAAGAAGTGGGTTGGACTGGATGAGGGTTGAGGTGTAGGAAAGCTGCGGAGGTTTTGCGATTCTTCAACGTCAGTGCTTCTTCGGCTGCTCGTCGGACCTACGGCTGACAGCCGCCTTCACTAAGACGTCGCCTATCCCGCGGGGATTCCAACGTTTCAGCTCCAGTCACGGAATGCTTGCGCAAGGCGCGTCCATGGAACATCCAAGGAAAGGACCGATTCGGGGTATATGTAGGCATTTACCCATTGCACCGCCATGCCGGCATTATCTTCAGTTGGCCAGAAGCGTGGGCTGTCAGCCTCATCTGTCACAGTGCTGCGCCTCATCGTGCAAGGAGCCGCTTTCAACCTCTCGCTGCACTGACCCTAATATGCATGTATCGCATCATCTCAACACAGCTCTGGAAGCTGCTGCATTACAGTGCTTGTCTCTTACCCAATGACACGTCTCACCGGTGAGTCGACACAAGCTAAGCCAGGTAATCCGCTACATTACCAGGATAGAAACCCACATTCTGCCCCTTGAGTCACTTGAGTCACAGCGGCAATGCGTTTAATAGTTATATATCAAACCTGTCACTTGTCTGAAGACCTTCTGTCCGTCCTTCCCCTCCGTCACCACTACAGCTTCTAAATACATCAAAGAACCATGGCAACGACAACAGAAGAACACGGCGCAACGCAGAATGACTCCATCGACACTACTGCTCACATAGTCGATGAGCATGTCGACACTCCTGATCGAGACACGGCAATCGCCGAGCTCCAAGCTGCCCTGGGCCCGCTCCTCGTCACCAAACGGAACAAAGACGAGGTCCCATTTCCACCAGTCTATACTGGCTATCAGTCTCCTCCGCCCGAGGAACCCTACGTATATGAGGGCGTTTTCGATTTCTTCAGCTTGCCACGAGAGTTACGAGACGAAATATATCGTCTTGTCCTGCACCGCCCGGACGGTGTATACTATGCTCGACATTTTAGCCGGGGTTTCGATTTCTGGTGGAACAGAGGAAAGGTTGATGACATTGTGAACCTGTCCCTCGTTTCCAAGCGAGTCCATGAAGAGGCATTGGAAACCTTCTGCCGATGCAACACAATCGTCTTGGCCCTTCCTTATTGCACCGAACGAGACGGTCTTGGGAAGCCCCTCCGAGGCCAGCTTCGTCTGTTCCCTGAAGGTGCTGCCGGGGAGTTGACCCAGGTGAAGAACTTGTATCACGATGTTGTCGAACGGTTTCTTAGCTATCGGGGTCCTGCGCCAAGCCATAGAAGTATTGAGGAAGGCGGTGACGGTACTGAGAATCACCGCAAGGACAATACTTCTCAAGAGACGTTTTATGAGATACTAAGGGATGCGTATATCTTCCAAGAATTCTTCCCAAAGCTTCATGTATTTCACGCTCAATGGCGTCCGCGGATGGATGGTCCCATTGATCGTATTGTGCAATCCATGAGTACCAACACCAACAGGGAGGAGTGTGTAGCAATGTGGATCAAACTTATGAAGGAATGGTTGCAGGACGGAAATGTTGTTCCGTTGGCATGTATCAGGTTCAATTTAGACGAATCTATATACCGCGGATACGACCAGAGAGTGGACGAACTAGCGAATGAGGCATACCAGACAATAGTGAGTGAGTGGAAGGCATCCCAAGTGGACATTGAGGAGAGTGGGAAGCTATGGCTAGAAGAGATGGACAAGGAGGAGGTGGCTAGGAAAGGGAAGAAGGAGAAGAAGGGAGGAAAGAGGGCAAAGCAGAGCACATGAACGGTGATCAAAGGTTTAGCTTGACCGAGGATAGACAGCTTAATTCGTCGTCCGGATGGAAAGTATTGTTCCGCGTGATGCCACGTTCCCTTCTATTTGCATGAATATCGACCCAATCGTTGGATGCAACGCGTTGACTTGATATTCGATGTCGCTAACAGTGAATCGGCGAAATAGACAAGTAATCCGACGTGGGGGTTCTCATCTGGGGTTGAGTCGTCAGTACATTTCATGGAGCCTTCGTTGTGGATGCTAATGCGTGGGGATGGCACCATCCGGTCAGCTGTTGGCGCCTGGCAACCATACATATGCATTCTGCCCCATCTCTTTTTTCCATGCAGCTGGCCAGTGGTCAGCCGTACGGAAACCCCAATGACCCAGAGAGGGGGCGCAGGTAGCGGCATTCACATCCGTTACCTGCTCATCAGTACGGAAATACGGAAAGGGCCGGAGCTGATGTTCATCGTCGCACGTTTCACTCAAGACTTGGGGGTTTAATCTGCGGAAGAACCCCGAACAAAATCCATGTTTCCCGAAATCTCATCGAACGAACGCCGCAGTCCCTTTCGTGCACCGCAGCGATCGGGACGTTTCCCGACGGACAGATTGGAAACGGGACCCCGAGAAGTCCCTGAGCTAAGGCTCAATGTAGCTTAGTCCAAGTCTTGACCGACATCACAGTGCAGCTGCACGCCTTTCGCTTTCACCCTTCTCCGCACAGCAGAGTCTGACGGATCCGCCTCAACCGGCAGACCTCGTACGCGTTTCGAAGCAGCCTCGGGGACCCACATCCCACCCGCCCAGCACCCTACTGTCAGCATAAGACAGCGCGTTCCCCAAGTTTCGTTAGGAAAAAGCCGCGAGTCAAAAATTTGCTGTCTTAGTCCATGCGCGTTTGAGCTCAGACTACGAAAAGTGCAAAGCCCTGACACAATTAAACCTTTTACCGCTTTCTCTATCCACGTTGCTTACATATGCGTCAAGTATATATGCAAATCGACTCCCTTGCGACAACTTTACCTGAGCGACAAACTTCCACAGCGACATCCCCCTCCCATTCATAATTGACAACCATCCTTCCATAGCAACACTCCTTTCCTGAGCGACTTTTTGCCCATCGACACATCCTTGCGACATCCCACTGCCACGTTACCTCCTAGCGACATAACGTGTCGATTGAAGCCTTTGCTCATTGCATCCCAACCAACACAATAACCATATCGCTACCAGAGTCCGACTCAGTATATCCCCAGCGACACACTTCAACAACATCTTCCCAAGCAATAATCCGGACCCAAACCTTGCCAATTCCCTCATTCTATCAAACGACACCACCAATATGGCTTCCCTCCAACCCCAACAACCATTTCGCTTCCTTGACCTCCCTGGAGAGCTTCGCAACACCGTATACGACCTCCTGCTCTGCTCCTGGAATGATGATACCGAGCAAGACCCAAACATGAGCACCAAGTTCAGCCGGCGCAGCCCTAGTAGCCCATCGACAGCCCTCCTCCGCGCCAACAAACAAATCCATGCGGAAGCATCCGACTACATGATCAAGCGTAATCAGTTTGTCCGCATCACCTGTCGAGGTCTAGAGGTGCGGAGACTTTTCCTAGGCGAAGGGACTCCCGTCATCACGACCGACGCGTGCGAAGTGAGCCTGTTCAACGGCTACGTTATGCACATGACACTTTCCAAGCCCGCCTACATACCTTCAGCTTTCCAATTCTCCGAGTTCGAAATAATGATGCTTCGATCTGATCTGCCCAAATTATGCGAGCAGCTCGACATTGAGAGCGTCATGGCAGACGCCAACTTGACCACAAGCGAGCATACATCCATTCATGCGACCATTAGGCTGAATTATGCTCAAGCCCGTCACCTCACCCCGAAGTTCCAGGAACGGCTTCTGGAACCCATTGCAACCTCGCTACGTGGCGTTCCGGTTGTCAACTTTATGGGACCCGTTGATTCCGCTCTAGCAGAGAATGTCAAGAGCGCCGTTGCAAAGCCCCGATGGACAGAACCCGACGCGACCATTGAAGAGATCGGCACCGGTGTAGACGTTGGCAAGCGCCAATGGCAGCAGAACAACTACTACGCCGCCTCCGAATCGTGGGCATACGCTCTGCGCACCCTCGAGCGCATGCGTCACAGCTCATCCTGGCTCGGACTCCAAAAAGCCGGCGGTGAAGATTTCGTTAACAAGATCGCCGATCTCTATTTTACCCTCAACCTTTTCCACGCCCAGTTCCTGCAAGTCGACATGGCAAACGACCAATCACAGGGCCCCCTCCTTCAGCGCAACGGCCGCGCTGCAATTGAGCACCTGCGCAAATGCGAGACGGCTAGTGCACGTTTTGCGCAGCATGCCGGTGCTACTTGGACACCCAGCAACCAGCAGTCGGCCAGGATGCTATACCGCCACGCGAGGTGTTTGAGGCTGATGCGTCAGACTGCAAGCAGTGTCAGGGCTGTAACTTTGATCGAAGAAGCGGCAGCGCTGGCTCCTACAGACCTTTGCTATCCAGGACGAGAAGTATGCTGTGCTGGCGTGGGAGGCTGAGCTTGC